ATTTGAAATTAATAAAAAAAAGTCTACTTAATTTTCTTTTCAGGTGCTCCGGTTGGATTCGCGTTTCACCAAATGTTTGCAAACGTTCATCAATTTATATGCGTCGCGATTGTGCTCTTTCCTGTGGATTTTGTAGTAGCAATTCCCGATAAAAATTAAACATTAAATGGAAGAAGTCAAAAAATACAGGATTCTCTAAAAGAAAGCAGTGCCAAAACAAAAGAGACAATGATCTCAAAAAGGTGCAGAAAATTGTACCTAACAAAATGGGTATTTAATATAAAATATATTAAGTTTCGAAAGATAAAAATTCTTTCATTTTTAAATGAAATTTATTGAAAATTGTTTTAAAAATCCTTCGAAACTTATTCAGTTCGCTGTCTCTAGTTTGTTTTTTAATTGAAAAGAGATAAAGCAATGTTTAAATATTAACATTATCTTTTACACAATGTTTAATTTTGAAATTGAAAATTATTGACAGCAATTCAATAGAATAAAAAACCCAACAGAATCCTAGTCCTAATGGAAGACGTACGAGTTTATTGTTATTATAGTTACCTATTTTAGTCACAGCAATTTTCAAGTCCAGATTGCTGTGACTATCAGGACCTTTAATATATCTAAGTCCATATAAAAACGTTTCTCAGAGTTCCTTTATTTTTCTCGGCAAAATTGCCTCGACTATTGTGAGAAACATAACAGATCTGATTACTAATCCTTACCATAAAAAATATAAACATCTATTTAATTTTATATCAGATATTTTCATTATAATTAACTTGATTTTCTAAATCTTGGCTTCTTCTTTCTTCCTTTTCTTTGTTTTTTTGTTCTTTTTTACTTCTCCAAGGTTTTGTTTCTTTAAATGCTGCATCAAATTCATTTAGATTTAATCCTTTACTTTCTATCTTTTCTAATGCATCAACAGGTCTTCTATAGACGGGAGGGAATGGAAATGGATGTTTAGCTAATTCAGCCATTTCTACAGGTTCACGATGATCGTAAAGAAAAAGACCAGGCATTCTAAATTTAAAAATTAAGTTATTTAGAACAAAATGGACAAATTACTCTCTGCATTGTTTTTCATAGAAAAGGCACATTTCTGCAAAATTTTGCATATCCAACATAGGAACAACCATTGTTGGGTCCAAACGGCAATGCCTAAAACGAAAATATTTTTTGATAAACAATCTTTTAATTTTACCTAAGTAAATCGTCTGCCATATCATCGAGCATAGGTTCTGGATAAAGTAATCTAACAACTTTTCTGAGGTATTTTCTCCTCAAATGGAAAAGAACGCGAAAAACCTTATTGGAGACCTAAAAATTTGAAAAGAAATTAAATAATTTAAAATCACTACCTCAAATGCAACAGGGATTTGTGGCTCTAATCTTAATTTTTAAATTATTTAATGTTTCTAAAAAATGAAAAACCTTGGCGTCAATCGGACAAACGCAACACTGACTTCTGGCTGAGGTGTGAAACATTTTCCTATTAAGATATTATTCATAAAATTATTAAAAAAATATAAAGCTACCAGGTATATCAAACATAATTTTTGGTTCAGCCCAGTTTTGACAAGTTAGGCCAATACGAGAACGGAAATCACTTCCCTTAAAATTAAAAAAATATTTTTCAAGAAATTTAAAATTAAAACTAACTAATGGCGCAACCATTCTTTTTGCAACTTCTAATTGAAAGGAAAACATCATTGGAACACGTCCAAAAGCAAAAGGCCCAGTTCTGTCACTTATTGCCCTCATTAACCTTAAGTTATTTTTTAATAAAATTAATTTAAATAAAAATAAATACTTTATAATAAGTGGAGTAGAAATATGAAAAGGCAAATTTCCAATTAGATTAAATGGCGGGTTCTAAAAATAAAATATTTTTTGATTTTGATTGTTTCTGTCATCTAATTAAGAATATTTATTGTTTAGACCTGATCCATCCAATCACATTTATTAGCACCCGCTTCTTCCCAAATTCCTCCAACATCTGTTTGCATTATATCACCCCGATGAATGAACATTCTGTCCTGTGCATGGTGTTTAAGATGCTTAAAATTTTAGAAAAAATAGATTGTTGACAAAAATATAAGACTACCTCTAATGCTGGAATAAATTGTCTATCCAATTCAACGACATCTAATCTATGACAAGGCTTTTCAAGAATTGCTAAATATAAGTAATAGCTATATAAAAACAAAACCTCTCGTAATCCCTCCAGGTCCAGGACCAACTTCGATTACATGGCAATTTTTCAAATCACCGGCGCAACGAACCATCTACAAAATTTTTAATTTAAATTTAAACAAAAAACTTTACTTTTCTGCAAAGGTTCATATCCATTAAATAGTTTTGACTCAATGCTTTGTCTGCATTTAAACGATATATTTTAATAAAATCTCGGAGAGCAGGCAATGGAGGCAAATATGTTGAAGTCTCTCCAAATACCTTCAATGCAGAGGAAGCCATGCCTTAAACAATTTAATACCTAGAAATTCTTAAAAGAAATAACCTCATAAAATATAAAAATAATTTTAAACATATTTTCTCAAATTTATAAAGAAAAAATTCAAAATATATTTTTATTCTTCCAATAAAAACAGAGAATATATTCATTATTAAATATCTGACCAGCTTTAAGGAATTTTGTCTAAATTGCATACAAGACAATAAATTTAAAAAAGAAACTAGCGAATTATTGCACAAAAAGCAAGATAGAGATAGTAAAAGAAAAATAATGATCGGAAAATAATTTAAAAATTTTTTGAAAAATTTCTTCAAAAGCCTTTTAGAAATATTAAAATTTTCCAATCAATCAATGATTAATTAACTAACTTATCAAGCTTGAATAAAAATTAGTCAAGACTTACAAAGCCTATAAAAATTAAATTATGCCATAAATAAGCTCTTCAATATTTTTTACTCAAATATTTTTTAATTCTTTACATTTTTTCCTTCTCCATTACTCATTTCCTTCTCGCTTCGTTTTTGTATAAAAACATCCAATTCTGAACGAATTGCGTTAAGAAAATCAGAATAAGCTTTGTCAAGTTGCTCATTAATGACAACGACATCAAAAAGAGTTGACTCGTTTTCAACTAAAAAAATTTAAATTTAATTATTTTAAAAGAAAATAATAAAAATCAACCTGCCAAAAGATCCTCTTTTGCATGTTTAAGTCGCTTCTCAAGCGAATCATCTGTTTCCGTGCCACGTTGACGCAAGCGATTTTCCTGTTTGAATAAAATTTAAAAAATGTCTTTTAATTCAAAAACTAACCAAAACTTCCATTGACGGGGGACGAACAAAAATATATTTTGCTTCAAATTGTGCCTTCTTAAAATTTCGAACCCCTTGAAGTTCAACATCTAATACACAAATTTTTCCACTATTACAAATATCTTGAACAGCTTTTTTGCTAAAATTTTTCAATTGTTTTCAGGAAAAAAATTAAATATAAAAACCTCGTCCCGTAAAAGTTACCACCAAATTGGGCATGTTCAAGAAATTCGCCGTCTTTAATCATTCGTTCAAATTCAGACTTCTCTATAAAATAATAATGTTGACCATCCAATTCTCCATCTCGAGGTTTACGAGTTGTGTCTAAATTAAAGAAATTTGAGAAAAATAGAAAAAATGCTTAAAAAATGTTTAAAATTTTCACAAAAAGATCCCCAAAATTTTTAAAATATAAATTATTTACGTGAAACACTAAAAGCAAAAGCATCTGGATATTCTTTCATTGCTTTAGCCAAAATAGTAGACTTTCCACCACCTGAGGGGCCAGAAATAATAATTGGTTTTATCATCATCATAAAATCGCTGCAATTGCTGTTGTTTCTGCTGCTAATAGTAACAACTTCTTGAACACTAGTAGAGGCAGTTGCCGGTTGATGTTTTAAATTCTGACGTGTGGAGGTTGTGTAGACGTGAGAGAGAAGCCAGGAATTGAGACGATTCACACGAAATCGGCGAATCACTAAAATTTAGAAAAAAATGAAAATACAGGAAAGACATTTTAAATGAATTTAAGTGCCGTCTTTTTAACGAAAAATAAGATTTATCTATATTAATAGGAAAATAGTAGTAAATGCCCTACTTATGTAATTCTAAATATATGGAGGTTTACATATACACGCAAATGTATTTTTTAAATCCTTTATAAAAGAGAGCTCAACAACACTCAATGACTTTTTATAAGAAGACCATAGGAACGAAAAAGTATAAAGGATTAACTAAAAAGATAAAATGTCCGACATCTTAAAATGAATGTGGCAGAATTAATTATTAAATAAAAAATAAAAATGAATTTATTTTTAAAAGAAATAGACAGAAAAAAAACTTGTTATTGAGTATCCGTAATTAAAAGATTTATTTTATTTAAAAAACATTTTTACACGTTCCCTCTAAGTAAAATTCCTTCGGAAAAATGTACATATGAACTCTTTTTCTAATTTTACATTTAATAAAAGGTGAAAAAACGTGGAATATGTTGATACATAAAATTTAAATTCAAACTCACAAAAGAATGCATATCGCAGCATAGAATGAATAAAAGAAAAGATTGACAGTCACCCTTTTTTTTTGATAGGCGTATGAAGATGAAGAATTAAAATTGTTCTCTTTTGGAATATTAATTAAGATTGCTGTAAATTAAATTGTTTTTTAAAGATTTACAAAATATTTTAGAGATTTGAAGTTGTAAAAACTCTGTCTGTCTGTGACTATCCTCGTTTTCACAATATTTTCATATATCGAAATGGTAAATAACCCACTTTGACGCGAACCTTTGTTTTCTTTCCGAGAATATGGTCTTTGTTGTTTTTCAAAAAAGGTTTTTCCAAACATTTTTTAATATCTCCTTTCCAAGAATATTCTTTTTGGATCGTCTTGTTGTGAATTTTCTTTGAATTACATATGTATTTATCTTATTTAAAAAAGAATTATCTAAAGATTTTATTTACGCGACAAACCTGCCGCAACAAAACAGATGTTCTCTAAATTATTTGGATTTTCATCGCCCATTTTCTCGCAGAAATTTTTCGCAGCTCTATCTTCATTTTTTGTTTTTAGGGTTTTCAAGGTTTTTTCGTTTAACTTACTTTTTTGGCCGATTTAATTATCGTTTACTTTTATTTATTTTTACTTAAATTCTAATGATTTTTTTGTTTTTTTCTTGTGACCAAATACTTAATAATTTACTTTTTAATTTTAGAATTTTATCAAAAACAATTTAATAAATTAATTAAAATCATGGAGTGTCCTTCATGGATGTTTTCTAAAGCATTATCTCATCGTCAAAAGGTTATGCGTCTTTATAAGCGTTGTCTTCGTGAGATTCATGCTTGGTATTTTTCATATGATACACACGGATTGTTTGTTTATTTTTCTAAATTTTCTGATCTTTTTTCAAAACAGTTTGGAGTTTCGTTTCCAAATGGTTTTAATGCGCGCTCGTTTTGATGCAAATAAAGATGTAAAGGATATGCAAATGGCTCAATTTTTGTTGGCAGATGGATGTCGTCAAGTTTGGGCAAATCGTCACCCAGACCCTTATCGATGTAATTTTTAAATTATTTTTAACAATTTTTATATAAAATTAAAGTTCCAAATGATGTTGGCGGGGCTAATTATGATCGTGAACATTGGACACCTGATGAAATTGCTGAAAGTAATTTTCATTATACTTGGCCTGAACGCGAACAATTTCCGTATTATTACAATAAAAGAGAGCAGCGCAAAAAGGAATTAATGGTTCTTATTTTGTTTAAATTTTTCTCTCAATGATATAAATTTTTATATTTTCATAGGAGCATTGGCACAAAATTGAAGAGTCTTGGGATCAGGAGTTGGATTCAATTCAGAAGAAATTACCTGAAGAGGAGGAGGAGGGAAAGCAGCAGCCAAGTAAATTTTTTTTAATTTTTCTTTTTTTTTTTAAATTTTTCCTATTTTGGTAAATTTTTTAGGAAGATAATGAGAGGGTTTTCCAATTAACGTGTTTTAAATTGTTGGGGATTTTAATTTTAAATTTTTTATTAATTTCAGAGGCTCTTCCAACTATGTATTAGACAACAAAAAATTAGGAAATTATTTACGAAAACATTTTGATTAAAATTTGTTGTAGTATTTCTGTATACAATAAATTGTTTGGTTTTGGATTTTAATGGTTAAAAATAAATATAAATTTTTAAATTTTTTCTCGATTTAATTCCCAATTTACCAACAAAAATTCAACAATTTTTCTATTAATAAGACTTGATTGACTCTTTTAATTTTTCTTGAATTGTCCTTTTATTTGAACTAATTCCTTTAAGTATTTTCTCTTTAAAAAAGTCTAAATCAAAAGTTAATTTATTTCAAGTTTTCTCTTAAACTTGGATAATTGGTCTCCAATCACAATAAAAAAAGAATAAAATAGGGTAAATAAACAAATAAATTTAATCTTTCATCAATTAAGTTTTTTGTCTTTTGTATTTTTTAGAAACACAAAAAAAAACTTTTTTGTGTTTTTATACTTGCGCATTCTCAGGTTCTTTTTAAAATTCTCCTGTCAATCCAATATTTATTTTCTCTTTTTTATTCCTCTATAGGCTTATTTATTAGTCAATCAAGACTAAAGTTTAGTTTAATTTTTGATTTTATTTTAGCAATTTTTACAAAAATAAATTTTTAAAAAATAAATTTTTTAAAATTTTTTGGGGGTTTTCCTGAAATGTTTTCTACAACAAATTCCCTCATTGTCCTTCCTTCTTCCATAAAATTTGTAATTTTAGTTTAATACTTTAATTTTTCACTTTTTAATTTTTTAATAAAAAATAATTATTTTAATCATTCCTCTTTTGGCTAGCAGGTGAGAAATTAAATGTTTTGTTTAAAGGAATTAAAGTAGGTCGGTGGAAATCGGTGGCTGTTATTGTGCAGTATAGAATCGATTTAGTTTTGAGGGAATTGCCGTTATTATTTATTAATGTGTGGAGTAGTGCTTATGTTCCCCCTTACTAATTTTCACAAATTACCAAAATAATTTTATTAATTTTTTAAATATTTTAAAATATTTCTAAATATCCTCATAATCTAATACATATTAGAATTTTTAGGAAAATTTTTTGAGAGATACGGACATTTACCCTTCACAAGAAATATTTTTTTCAATTTATTTGTTTCTATGTAAATATCCTTCTGCTCTTTTTTCAATATCTTAATGCCCAATTTAACAGAATTTTTAAGCCTAATTTTGTTCTCATAATAATTTTAGAATTATTTGTAAATTATTATTATTTGTCGTCCGTTCATTAATATTGAACCGCTTATAAATAAATAAATAATTTAATCAATCTCTCTCAAAAAATTTTCTTATCATCAATACACCATTCACTAACACTTTATTTCTCTTTATAATTGTCAAAATTTGACTTAATACTTTGTATTTATTTTTCATTTTTCCTTCGTTAGAGAATCCGCTTTTGTTTCAAAATTTATTATCAACATAACTATTTTTGAATATTTTTTTAAATAAAAATGATGTAATAGGGGAAAAATAATAATTTTATCAAAATAAAATTTTTAATTATTTCTCTCTAACTTTCCCTTGTTTAAAATTTAAATCTCTCCTATTTTTTATTATTTAAAATTTTTACAAAAAAAATATTTCATTTTATTTTTGTTTTTAAAAAAAGTAAAATCCTTTATTGAGCAATTTCGCATAAATTCAAAATTTGGTCACAGGTTGCGCAATTTAATCTTTTTTTTTTAATTTTCTCTCTCATTTATTTATGCTCAATAAAATCCTTTTTGAACGTGGATTCCACTAAAATAATGATTTATTTATTTATTTACAATGCATAAGCATGATCATAAATTTGTTGTTACACGTTTTAATTTTTAAGGATGTTTTTGAATGAAAAATAAATTATTTTTAATGGGAAATCAATAAATTTAAATAATAAAATTTTAAAGCCCTATTTAATTGTTTTAATATCAAAAATAATTATTGGGAACGTTTCTAAATTTAAGTAGAGAAAAAACAAAATAAAAATAATTTAAACTAGAGTAGCACCCCGTCCCCCGAAAGCCCTACCCGAACCCCGAAGGATCTAACCTAACATACCCCGATCCCTGATGCCCACCCCCGTGCGAGCAAAACCCCGACTCGGCCTCCGAAATCCCGACTATTTTTATGCCAAAAAAAGTCTTGGCCCGAAGGCTCTACCCCGACAAACCTCGATCCCCGACGATCCCGCCCCCGAAGGCTCGGGTTGCTACCCTAATTTAAACTAATAAAATTATTTTTTTTAAATTATTTTCAGAATTTCTTTCTAAATATTTTTTATTTTTACATTAATTATGAATATAATTCCTCTACAAGCTATTCTTGCCTTAGCCATGTTTTTGACAACTGCATTAGCTGGTTTACTTCCTATTAAAGTTTAAAAAAATTTTCAAATTAAAAAAAAATTAACTTTTTAGTTATTAAATATGATAAATAGAAGGAGAGACGAGGAAAATGAAAGGCAATTTATTTTTGTTAATTAATTTAGGCTTAAAAAAGAAGAAAATCCTTAAAAATTAATTTTAGAGAAACCAGACTCGCAGAATGGATACTTTCTTTATTATCATGTTTTGCGGGAGGTGTATTTATGGGAACTTGCTTTCTAGATATTTTTCCACATATAAAGTATGGAGACTGATTTTATAATGTTTAAAGAATAGGACGGGATTTGGAGTAAATTCTCTTCAAGAAATTATCTGTAGAATTAACGGAGTGACATGAATTCATAAGGGAATTATGAAAATTTACTTTAACTAAATGAAGAATTTCTTAGGAAATTCACTGGACGACCTTATTAATTATTTAAAAAAATATATTTTTCAGTGAAAACTATGAACGTTTTATAATAAAATCTAAATGGAAAATAGAATATCCATTAACACAATTCTTCGTCTGTTGCGGGTTTTTTCTTGTTTATTTATTAGAAGAATTAATTTTAAAAATATTTTCTTCATCAGCTTTACATGCCGGGCATTCACATTCTGCTGGAAATAATAAGTAAATATTTTTGGGGGAAAATTGTTAAAAATTTTAAAAATTATTTTCTCCAAAGTTCACATCATCACAAACATAGAAGGGATAAAATAAAATGTAGAGAAGAACATTTAAAAACATCAAATATAGTAAATAGTAATAATAATTGTAATAGTGATGGAAATGTTTTACAACAATCTACACATGTTGTTGTTGTTAGGTAGTTAATTAATTTAGACAGAATTCCTTAATTTTTAATTGAAATTCTAAGAAAATTTAGTATTTGAAATTTTAAAAGTTCTTGGAAAATCGTTAAGAATAACGGACTTGCTCACGGATACTGATTTTGGTATCCGTATCAGGATATTTACGGCGGATACAGGCGAATACATGCGGATATCCGCGGGCATCTTGATATTATCTGTATCTATCTATATCTGTATTATCTGGTCTGAAGAATAATATAAATTTTAATAGGGCTCATTTTAAGGCTATTTTAATTCGAAAATATATTTACATATTTAAATTTATTTTATAATACCTAATCCATTTTTAAATTAAAAGGAGATCAGACGGCGAGGAGTCTGATTCAATTAATTCTGCAAAACAATTTAAACAACGTTCAATAAGTATATTAACACAAGAATATCTAAATAATGAACAAGTTGATGATAGTTTATTAAAATCTATAACATTTGCTGTGGCAATGTCTTTTCATTCTATTTTGGAGGGATTTGCACTTGGAGTTCAAGTCTGTTTTTTAGGGAATTTACAGTTATTATAAGTTGTGTTGACTATTGGAAAATATTATAAGAAAATTTCCAGAATAATCAAAAAGGCATAATGACACTCTTCATTTCCTTAATCATCCACAAAGGAATAGAAGCATTCAGTGTTGGTCTACAGATAACCAGATCAAACGCCAAAAGAATGGTTTCAATAAATATTTAAACTTTTTTTCAAAACCCCAAAAATTGCCGTTAGATAATTGTTGTGTTGACTATTGGAATTTATGCTATGATGACACCTTTTGGATCTATGGTTGGAGTTTTACTTACGGTAAGTTTTTTTTATAAAATTTATGGAAAGACAAAAAGAATTTTTAAATTTATTTCAATTTTTTGTAGAATCTAAACATTGACGAGGTACTTAAAGGTAAATTAGTTTCTGTTAATAAAAAATTTGGGATGAAAGTAAATTTTGATTTAACCAATATTAAACGTGTGTAATATAACTCTGGGTGAGTAGGGCCTTCTATTCCCAAGAAGATTTCATGTGAATTGCGTGGACTACCCACCCAACGGCTCAATTGCGGAAACCGGTGACTTTCGGCATAGACTGTCCATTTGATTAAAGAAAGTCGGACTATTCTGTTTATAAATGAATCCTTAAAATAGTTCAAAAAAGGGGTAGGGATAACAGAAAATACCGAAATAACTAATTTACCTAGGCTCTAACTTTTATGAAAAAGTTTAGATATTTTTATCTATTATAGATGGCATCGTAATTGTGTTAGAATCATTTGCTGGCGGAACTTTTATTTATGTATTTTTCAAAAATATTTTCTCTGTTTAATTATTAAATAATTAGGTAACATTCTTCGAAGTACTTTCTCAAGAACGGGCCAATGAATTTTCTAATCTTGTACAGCTTTGTGCAATTGTTTTTGGTTTTCTTGTAGTTAGTGTTTTGCAAATAAATGAAAGTATTGCCGAAAAATAGTTTGGGAAATTTTAATTAAAAAATTATTTTTTGTGTTGTTTTTAGTGTAGAACGAGATTCTTCTACAAATGGAGTTTGAATGAAACTTTAATTGAATAAAAAAAGGAGAGGAATGAGAGGAAGTTGAAAAACGGAGATATTAAGTAATTACTATTGATAAATAATGATTCTCATTTTCTTAAAATTTCATTCCTTTTTGTATTTTAACAAATTTAAGGCGTTTAGGTAGGTATTTCTGACAAAATTAGGTATATAATTGTGCAAATAATATTTAATCTCAACAGCACAGCTTTTATTAATTAAAAACCCAGGAGATGAAAGTCGTTAATAAATATCATGGCGCTCAATTCACCCAGTTATCTAAAAAATAACTCTTTATTTAATTTTATCATCTTGAGGGAATCTAAAAATTTATTTGAAACTTCCGAATTTTCAACAAATAAAACGCCTAAAATTATTTTTTTCCACAAATTCTATTTTGAATATTAAATTGTTTTAAACTTAAATTTAATCTAAAAATCACTTATTATTTTTTATTCTCTATTTATTTAAAAATCTTTGATTAAATTATCGCTTAAACTTCTATTGATAACTTTAAGTTTCTGTCATTTTTCAAAGTATTTTACTGTACTTTGTGATTTAGTAAAATAAATAAATTTAAATTTTTATTCATCTCTTTTAATTTTAATTAATTTGAAATTAGTTATTTTTGGAGGGGGGGGGGAATATTTCGAAAAAATTAATTTCTCTCAGGGATAACTAAAAATATTTTTTAGATTTTTTAAATTTTCCAAAAATTAATTTAAAATTAAATGAAAGAACGACAATATTTCAACAACTTATTCAACATTTATTTGTTAGTGAAACAAAAAAGAAATTCTCTTCGAAATTTACGTAGAAAGTTTAGGTAGGTCTTTCCTTTAAATATTTAAATTTGATATTTTAATTTAAGTAAGAAACTACATATGTAATACTTCCTAAAATTTAGTTTTCCTTTAAATTAATGACATTGCAGTTTATATTTTGATTTAATATTTTATTTGTCTCTTTCTAATCTCAATATATTTTTTTGCTCGCGAAATGCACTCACAAGCAGAATTATTTTTATTAACTTATCTAACTTTACTAATTCTTATCTCATCAACATGTGCAAATTTTCTTTTAAATAAAAATGTGATTTTATTTAATTAATTAAATATTCAAAACATAAGATTTAGTTCTCATTTTGTTCTGAATTTGTCACGTTTTTATAAAATTTATAACAAAGAAAATTTCTGGAATTTTATTTTAATTTTTGACTATTTAAAATAGTATTAAAAAAATTTATTTTAATATTTTTTTAAATACTTTTTTTCTTCTTTTTTCCATTTCAAATATGTATTTAATTTATTTAAGTATTTTATATTTCCAAATTATTTTGCAAAGTTTATTTCTCCATTTTTTATAATTACATCATGGTGACTCAAAGTTTTCCAGACACTCTCAATTCATTTAAATATAGCTTTTTTCTCTTCACATTATTTTTAGTATTTTATGCTTATTCTATGTATAGCTCATTCAATTCTTTATTAAATGTTTATTAAATTTTTATTAAATAAAATTCTCTTTTTAATTTTCAGGTGTTTTAAAAAAGTTTTCGTAGACCATATTAAAAATTTCCCCCAAAAATTTATTTCCATAACTCAATATTGGGAGCCCGATTGGGGGTGATCTGGACATAATTCAATTAACATTTTGCAAACTAAATTCTCACTCAAATTTTAAAAATTTGCCAAAAAACATCAAATTTCCACCCTGCATTTATTTTTCCTTTATTTCTTATAAAATAAACTAGAGTGCGTCCGAGTCCGAGTAATTTGTAAAAACCCGAGTACGAGTAAAGCCGAGTATGAAAAGTCCGGGTACGAGTACGAGTTTCAATTTTTAGGCCGAGTACGAGTACGAGTAAAACGGGTAAAACGAGTAATTTTTATAAAACTGTATTCTAAAATAATTTTAACAAAAACAATACTTTTACTCATTATCAGTGCTGGGTATTGGGCATTTGTTGACAGTGATGCATGGGATCATCATCCAAATCCCATTTATTTTCTTAATCCGCCTATATCCCTCATAATCCGACGAAATTCCATGATACGCCCATGATCAATGCTGGCTCCGGGCTCCGGGTGGAAAATGAATGGATAATATTATTTCTATTTCGGGGGATTTGTGTAGGTTATGCAGATATAAGTGATAACCGAGAGTGAGATGGATAAAAAATTTTGGGAAATGTAACTTTTTCTCTATCCTTCCAAGTTCAGAAACTGGCCTTCCAAGTTCAGGAAGGCCAGATCCTTCCCTTGAAATGTCCGGCTATCACTAGAATCCACCCAAGTCCATTGAAATCTTCAGATATACACATAAGTCTTCCTTTTCAGTGCCGCAGGCGAAAATTTTGAGAATTTTGGAATGCCAAGGAGCAAAATTTCTTACTTTTTCAGCGCCGCAGGCGAAAATTTTGGGAAATTTGGAAGATCCTTAAGCCAAAAATCTTCCATTTTGCGCCGCAGATAGAGACATAAAAATACTCGAGTTACCCGAGTATGAAGTTTTCGAGTACGAGTAATGCCGAGTACAAAGACCTCGAGTATCGAGTACGAGTAAAGTTCTAAAAAAGTCGAGAGATCGAGTCGGGTATACTCGTACTCGACCCGACTCGGACGTACTCTAAAATAAACTGCAGTTAATTTCCTTGCTAACCAAACATATAATTAATTTTTGTCTGCTCTTTAGCCTTTAAAATTTAATCAATTAATTACAATAAAAGCTTTAATATTTCTGATTAAAAATTTTATCAATTTAATTATTTTTTGATAATGAATAGACAAAATATTTATATTGTAAAATTCCTATTTTGTCTTGCAAAAGACAAAAAAGATTTTTTAAATAATAATTTAAGAAGGTAAAATATTAATTAAATATTTTGTTTCCCAGTCTCCCACACATTTTAATTCTCATTTAAATATTTTTTCAAAGAATTCTTCTTTCTCCATTTTCTACAACTTCTTTAATGTCAAAGGAAGATAACAATCACCCTACACAAAATGGAAAAGAAAAACCGATTAATGGCCATAAAATTATCTTAACATCAGATAACTGGACGGGAGCACATCATTCAATATCTGAAGCTTTACTTAGACATTCTGCTGGTTGTGATAAAGCTTATGGGGCTGGGGATTTGGATAAGAAAATTGAAAGAACTTTTAATCAAATTTTTGAGAGAGAAGTTGCTGTCTATTTTGTTGGAACTGGTTGGAAATAAATTTTAAAAAATAATTGGAATATTTAGCGTTTAAACAAATCCTTTCCTAAAGAACCCTCTTTTCAACCTCTCCCCCATTCTTATAAAAATAGGAATAAGGGAGACATCTTTCTCCTTGGATCACCTTATGAGTATTATTTTATCTAAATGATACTCTCAAGTAGCTATTTAATGATTTTTGAGATTTGTTTATCTTTCATAAAATTTAATATAAATATTAGGAACAGCCGCAAATGCATTGGCAATGGCATATTTGAACAGGCCAGGAGGAATAATTTTCGCTCACAAACACGCGTAAGTAAATTCTTTTATTTTAAAAACTAATTAAAAAATTTTTCTAGTCATTTAATTGAGGATGAATGTGGGGCTCCTGAATATTTTACTGGGGGTGCTCGAATGTTTGGAGTTGATGGGGCTTTGGGGAAGATGGATGCAGAGGTGCTAAAATAATTTTTAAAATTTATAAAATTATTCTTTTAGGAATTAAAGCATGTTAGCGCACGTTTTGCTGCCAATCCTGATCATGTTCATTCTGGACAGGCAATGGCTGTTTCTATTACACAAGTAAATAGAATTTTTATATCCATCCACACTTCTTGTAATTTACAGAGTACAGAAAGTGGGACAGTTTATTCATTAGAAGAAATTAAACAAATTTCTAAAATTGCTCATGATAATGGCCTTCCACTTCATATGGATGGTGCTCGTTTTGCAAATGCATTGTGTGGTTTAAATTGTACTCCGGCAGAAATGAGTTGGAAGGCTGGGGTTGATATTTTATCTTTTGGTGCAACAAAAAATGGTTGTTGGTGTGCTGAAGCTATCATTGTGTTTAATGATATACAACAAGTGAATATTTATATTTATTTAAACAATGATCGTTCAAGAATATCGAAATATTGACAATAAGGTTGGCGGATCCGGATATACGGATCCGAAAAAGGCCGGATATCTTTAATTTTCGGTTCGGATATCGGATCCAGATATCCGAAGATTTCCAACTATCCGCCAACCTTACTTGACAAACAATATCTTAGATCAATTAGTCCCGAATCTCCCTTTTTAAAAAAAACAAAAATTGTTATTGTTTAAAGGCTGATCGCAATTTCCCTTATCTTCGTAAACGTGCTGCTCACCTTTTCTCAAAAACTCGTTTCGTTGCTGCTCAATTTGAGGCTTATTTTCGAGATGATCTTTGGCTTAAAAATGCTCGTCATGCAAATAAGTAGAAGATTTTAAATTTTCTCTTTCAAATCTCCTTTTAAACTTTAGAATGGCCACTCGTCTAGCTTCAATCATTCAATCTTCAAATAGTTGTAGACTTGCCTGGGAAGTTAGGGCAAATGAAGTTTTTGTTGTTATGAGTCGAAGTATTGTTGAAATGCTTAAAGAACAGGGAACGTCTCCTTTTTATGAATGGAATGTGCCTGATAGGGAGAGAAAGTAGTTGAAAATTATTAGATTAAAAATTATTTTGGATATGGTTTTGGAACATACCATAGGGGAACACAATTATAACACACCATAAAATGCAAACTTATTATTCTGACTGAAATTATTTTTGAACTTTTCTTAATTTAAATGGACTCTTATTAAATGGACTTAAATAATTCCAAATAAATAATTTTTTTAATTTAGAGAATTAAATCTTGGCCAAGAAGAAGGACTTTATCGTCTTGTTGCTACTTTTGCTACTACAAAAAACGAAGTTGATGAATTTGGAAAATTGCTTTCTCGTTTCTCTTAAATATTCTACAAAAATATATTTAATTATTTGAAAGATTATTTATAAAATTTTCCCTTATTTTTTGTCATCGAATTTATTGTCTTAAATAGAAAATAAAGCTGCTCTTTAATTTGATGTTTAAGCATTTATTAGGGAATTTATGGTAAAGTTCAGGCTTTGTAAAAAATTGTGGCAACTTGTTTTGACTTCTCCTTACAAAATAAGAACCCTTCATCAGTTCTTAAAATTTTGTTTGTTTAAACAAATTTTGACCCATTTAAATTTCCAAAAAGGTCTCATGCAATAAATAAATATATATTTTAGTTCTTGAAAGAGAATATTAAATGGTGGTCGACCCTAATATTTTTTATTTACTTTTGAACAAACGGGGGATGGGCAAATAACACATCAAGTGTTTGTAGTGGTCATCAAACAAAATTTTGTTTTAGACTGGTATTTAAATATATTTAAAAATATACTATTTCCTTTTAAACGGGTTAAATTACTATTGATAGTGTTTAAAAAAACAAAAAAAATTATTTGTATTTTTAACTTTATATAAAGTCAAGATAACCCCTCCCAATTATTTTTTTAATTTTATATAATCTTATTTAAAAATACTTTTATTTATTTTTTAATTTAATTCCTCCTTTCACCATTCACCATATTTAAAATTTTATTTCAAAATGCGAGCACAAACATATATTAAATACAATAGAGCGATGATTTTTGTTTGTGAATATTAAGAATTTATGTATATGTGTGTATTAAATGTGTGAAAATGATTGTTAAAAATGAAAATATATTTTTAGAAAATTTTTGAATGAGAAAATCTCATTGTGAGTGGACGTTAAGCGCCTCCATCCGGTTGTGTGAATTTATTTTATTTGAAGGTTGAATTTAAAGGGAAAAGCTTTATTTAAAGGATTTTATTGAATAAAAAAGGGGAAAAGAAATAAAAATAATAAATTTAAATACAGTCGGGCATTAGGAGAGAATTGAGACTGAAAAATTATATAGGTATTTTATAATGAGGAGGGGTCATTTTATAACGAATGGGTACCGTTTATTATTGGATAGCCACCGCCCTCTCCCCTTCAACACCTCTTCTACCGGCAACAACTTTAAAAAGATCTCTAAAAAATTATATCTACATATATCTTAAATTAACTTGTTTCTATTTATTGTGTTATCTTATAGTGAATTTGACTTTAATATTCATTTTAGTTTTGCTTTACAAATTACTTAATTAGAATATTCCGTTTAAATTCATTTTTAAGTTAATTTAATATTTTAATAATTTACCTATTTTAAATTATTTTTAAATTAAAATCGACCTCAACAATTCTTTCCATTTCCATTCTCTCTACGCCCATTTATTTTTGTAAAATCTAAAAATTCCGCCTGGCGCCTTCTCTCTTAACTGGCACTACAAAAAATAGGCTGGCGCCAGAGAGACAACCACCGTGGGATTCAGAACATAAAAAAAAATTACATAAATTTGGCTTGTATTTTTGCGCATAAATGAAAAAAAAACACTTACAATGTATTTTCCTTTCGAGTATTTGTAATAAATAAATAAATTTTTAATAATAATTACCGGTGTTTTTAAAACAATTATATTTACCTTCATAATTGTTATATGGAAAATATATTTTTATTAGAATTTTGAAAAAAAATTTAAAAAATAAGGGGAAAAACAAGCATTTATAAAGGACTTTAAAAATTAATTAGAAATTATGATTTAAAATTTGGAATTTCAAATTTAGCTACTCTCTTTTTAACTTTATTAATTAAAATAATTTACTAAAAATTTAAAAAATTCTTTTTAATTTATTTAAATTTTCTTCCAAATTTTTAACTAGCAATTTTCATAATGTACTTTCTAAAAATTTACATAAAAATATAGAGACTATAGCTTTTATTTTCTTTTCCTTTTTCTTTTAACTAAAAACTCTCCACCATTAATGGCTATTTAAAATGTTTCTAAGTAAAAAAGTAAAAGTAAAGGCTGCTTCTTTTTTTACTTTTTAGGAGGCTTTTAAAGCTTTTTAAAACTTTTGTTAAAATAAAATATTTAAATAATTCAACAAAAAATAATATTTTTCTAAAAAATTTGCATAGATAAATTTTTTTAATTTTATTTTCATTAATTTTTGTAAATGTAAAAATATATTTAATAAATAATTCTTCTCAATTTCTAAATAGCTTCCTATTTTTATCTCTACTTATTTTGTACTATTTAATGATTCATTGAAAAAATAAAATTTATTTAAACAAAAATATATTTTTGTTTTTGTACAGTCACCAACCATTTTCATTGAAAAATAATATTTTTTAACCATTTCTGGCCAATTTATTTGTGAAAGTGTTTTTGACGGAGAAGAAGAGCTTTTCTGAATTTTTATCGGCTTTTTATTTTTATTTTGATAACGACGGGAATGGGGAAAATTAAAATAAAAAAATATTTTTATTTATTTAGAAAAAGCTAGACAGAAATAAAAGTACAAAAAAATATTTATTTTTTTTAGATTTAATCGAAAATAGCTAAACAGGAAATAAATTGTATTAAATTTAATTTTAAATAAAAATAAATAAATATTTAATAATTTTTTTTATTTTTAAAAATTTGTCTGTTATTAATTAATTATTTTACAATAATTGGATTTGGAAGAATTTATTTTTAATTTATTCCTAATTTATTTTCTTTTTTTTGACATTATAAATAAAATAATTATTATTTTAAATATTTATTTTCTTCTTCTTTTTTATCTAAAAAGCCATAAATAATGAATTAAAGTGTTCGTTGATTTTTTTATAATTATTATTTTTTTTGAATTTTATGCATAAAACATTAAAAAAAATTTTTTTATTGGCAATTTAAACAAAAAAATATCCTCCTTCTTTTCTTCTGTCCACCTGCATTTGCTTTTTCCGGTCATCCTTCTTTTTCTTCTCAATAACACATTTATTTTATTTAATTCTTTTTTTCCCTCTTGTAAATACTTCCCTCCCTCCCTCAATTTTCACATTGCGCAGCTCTTATTTATATGCTATTTTAGTAACCACCGGTGCATGCATAATTACCCTTTGGCAAGAAAAGGGATAAATGAGAGAGGAAGGAATACTAAATAAATAAATAAAGTATTTAATGAGTAGACTTTAATTGGCTAGAAAGTTTAAATAAACTGAGCTCTCGGTTTAGTTTAAGTTGGCAATTAATGAGTGTGGAGGCAATCAAGTTTAGTTTGATTTTAATCCCGAGGTATTGTGTTTATTTATCTAAATTAACACAAAATTAAAAATTTTTTACTTTTTCTCCCACGCCCTTTTAATTTTATTCATTTAAAATTTATACTGTTTTTGGTTTCATCGTGAGAAAAGGCAAACTTCATCTTTAAAAGGAAAATAAAATTTTTAATTAGGATATCTTTTTAAATTATCCCACACAGTCTTGGCAACATTTCCTTAATTTTCTCCCAATTTTGTTTTAATTTTTAAATTATTTAAAAATAAATATAGTAAATTATTATTAATTATTCTTCTCTCATTTTTTTATTTTTGTATTTTTCCACCATTTAATATCAAAACTATATTTCCCCCAAAAAAAGCTTTATATATATTAATTTTATCCAAAAAAGCAATCATCCAAAAATTATGCGCGGCACTTCAAATAAAGGAAAAGCTTATTTAAAAACTAAAAAGAGAAGATCTACACAATTCAAAATAATTGGTTGGATACTAAATTGGTTTGGTAGATGAGTGGCAATGAATGAATAAATAGATGCTCTTTTGGCCAATAATTATATTTTTGTTTTTTGACTTTTATATTTGGGCTTTTCTTAGCTTTTGAGAGGAAATATCTTGAATGGAAAACAAAATTAAAAACTTAATTTTTAAATTGCCTAATTGACCTTTTATTTGTTTTTAACTTTCTAAAATAATTTTAAAGAAATTTTTAAAATCTTTCTTTGACATTTTATTCCTTCTGTTTTACGTAAGCAGTATTGAAGATTAATAAATACTAACCACTTATTCAGTTCAATCCCAACTGAGTTTAGAAAAGTGGATAATAATTTAATTGAAAAAATAAATGACATGTTAATATTTTAATTTTATTATTTTCAAATAATTTTTTATCATTTTCTCTTTAAAACTTTAATTTTACTAAAATAAAATTTTTACTCATAATTTTTCGCCAAGGAAAATTATATTTTTTTAATAAAAAATTTTGAATCAGAATTTAATTAATTATTTAATTTAAAAACTTTTCTTTTCTTTAAAAAATATTTTTTCTTCTCCAAATGAAAGATTAACACGAAAATCAAAGGATTCTCTTTTAGGCACATTTTCTATATTTTAATATATTTAATTCCCCCCTCCCCCTCTCTCCTCAAAAGTGTGAAAGTCGCTAAAAGCTTTTTTTTCTTTTTTTCTAATTTTCTTTTTATAAAAATATTTTTAAATCCTTCGCGCTAATTCCAACCAAATTTACAAATTATTCTCCTCTTTTTGGTTGTTGACCGACATGGTCTATTTATTTTTTAAAAGATTTTTTCTTTTTTTTTTATCAAACATTTTAAAAATTTTAATTAAAAAAGATTTTTTTTGATTTTTGATTTTCTCTTTCTTTATTTTTTATAATATAATTCTTCAGGGTTGATATCACCTTAAATATAAAAAAATTAAATTAATTAGAAAAGCTTTTAAAAATATTTAAATTTAATTAAAAACCTCCTTCAAAGTTTGTTTCCATTATTGGACCAATAGAATGTTGTACATAATGGTTTACACTAGAGGGAACATGCAAAACTTTTTGTTTACTATAAACCTATATTTTAAAAATTAAAAAAATTTTTTAGTTATTTTTTGAGGATTTATAAATAATTGAGAGTTTTATCTAGATTAGAAGGAAATAATTTAAAATTTAATAATAATTTAGCTATCTTCTACATTTTTACTTTCTATTTTCCCCCAATTATCCAATAAAGTCAAATCTCGATAACAAGTCCATCTCTCTCCCTCTCACCTTATTACGTTATAAGATTCGGTCCCGAACGTGACCTCTTATCTAGATTTAACTTTAAATAAATTACAGGTTTTCTAGCCACAATAGCAGCCCCTCCAATTCTACTACTTCCACCTAACCCTCCATAATATCCATATTCATTTTCATAAGGTAATTGATTTAAATAATAATTATTATCAAAAATTTTAAATTTCGAAGCTGTTGGCAAGCCTTTAAAAAAATATTTTTTTTAAAATATTTTTAATAAAAAAATACTGCCAAAAAGAATTTTTTGCCCATAATTTTTTGTCCATAAATATTCCTTTTCCGCCTCAGATAATTTTGGAATTCCGATATATTTATAATTAATTATTTTACAAAACATTATAGAAAATAAACTAAATAAAATTAAATAACGAATAATTTGGGAAGAAAACATTTTTTTAAAAATTTAAGATTTTTAAGTGAATAAAATTAAGAAAAAATAAATGTATTTAAGGCTTTTTTAAAAGAAAATTATTTTTAAAGAAGCTTCGAAATAAATAAAAATAATGTTTAGAATAATTTAAAAACATTTTTAGAATTTTTTATTTTTTTTTAAATTAAAAAAAATTTTATTTAAATTTTTATTTTATTAAAAAAATAAATTATTTTTTTTTAAATTTTTTTGAGACTAATTGGAGGGTATTTATTCGAAAAAAAGTAATAATTACTACTAATTCTTTTATTCTTTTTATTTTTATTTATTTCCTCCTTTCTTTAGCTATTAACAACTTTTTGTGGTATTATTTTTCAATTGCATTTGTTGAGTGTTTTTAAGCCAATCAATCATTTTTACTATTTTTTATGTCAAGAAAATTTTTTTGTGGACATTAAATAAAATATATGGATATTCGTTTTTTAAATAAAGAACAACCACTTTAATAATAAAATCGGTTATTATTATGCTTTTTCTAGTAACTTGGTTTTAAAGAAAATGTTATTATTTTATTTATTTCATTTAATTTATAATTTTCTACAAATTCACTGTAAACTTTAATAATATATTAATCCTTTTTAAATTTCGTCCCCAATATACTCTTATATTTTAATTTTATTATGTTTATGAGAGATTATTGAATTATTTATATTTGTGTTATTATTTATATATATAGAAGTTTCTAAATAATCGGAAATCATCATAAAAATTTATTTTCCAACAATTTCTAATTTAATAATTTCTAAATAATTTTTATTTTTTTATATTCTGTTCATTATTATTTTAGTTGAGAATTTACTAAGTATTTTTTAAATTAAATTTCAAGAAAGTTGGAACACAAAAAAGAACACGCTATCCACAATTGTATTTTTTAATTTTTTACCAATTTTACTACAACTAGTATAAAACAATATTCATGCTGACATTTTTAATTAAAAAATTTCTTCTTTTAATTTTTTCCATTAGCAAATTTTTATTCAAAAGCTTCCAAGCAAGGTCAAAACAAAAAGTTTTAATTAATTAAAAACTTGTCGGCTTTTAAATTAAATAAATATTTTGAAAAAAACGAATTTTTTATTCACTTTTTAGAAAATTTCATAAATAATTTTTTACTCCAAACAAAATAATTATTTTTAAATTTAAATTTAAGAATTTCTATAAATATTAATTTATATTCTAATATTTTCCCAATTAAGTAAAAGTCCTCCTCTTTAAAATTATCTAAAGATAATTATTATTTTAACCTCAATATTCTCTCCACACTTTTCTAAAAAAATAATTTTTTCTTTTTACATTTTTTCCATTTTTCTCTTCAATCCTTCGACCCAAATTTTTTATTTAAAATTTTCTTTTACTTCTTTTTTCTATTCCGCATCGTTTCTTTTTTTACTTTTTTTAAAGTTTTAATATCCTTAAAAAATAAATAGATATGTCGACTAAAATTGTGAGGCTTTTAAAATTAATTCAACTATATTTTATAATTTAAAAAAAAATCCTGTATTTAAAATAAATCTTTTTAAAAAATATTGAGGAATTGGGGAGACACCTCAAAACTTGCTAAAAGTGACTAAATATGTTAATCACGAATCTGATATTAAATTTTGTTTAGACTTCCATCTATAATTTTTTATTATTTTTATTTTTAGCATTTATTAACGTTAATTTTTTTCTAAGCTCAACCAAATTTTTATTAAAATCAAAAAATTAAAACTTTTTTTTTCGTTTACTTCTTGTGAAATTTTTATTTTTTTTAACATTTCGTGACTCATTTCTTTTTATTTTAAATGTTTTTTTCAAGAAATAATAATTTTTTCCAAAATATGCTTAAAAAATATACTAGAAATTAGTTTTTAAATGCCATTTTAAAAACTTTTTAAAAAGGGCGGTGTTTCATTTTTTTAATGGAAAACCCTATTTATTTAAAATAACTATCAAATAAAAGTTTAGGATTGAAAATTTTTTTATTTTTTTGTCTCTTTTTTGTTTTTAAAAAACTTTAATTTTCACCATTTTATTTATTTTTATTTCAAAATGTTTAATTTAAAAAAAAATTGTTCAATTTTTAAATTTTTTGAATATTCATCAATTTATAAAAATTATTTTTTTTATTTCTTTTTCAATCCACAAAATATAGGTATTTTTTGTCAGTTTTTTTCTGATAAAATTTAATTAAAAATCCATCCACATTTTTAATTAAAACTTACAACAAAAAATAAAACCACTTTGTTAAATAATACATACTTTTTTTTCATTTTTTCGTTAACAGCTTTTTTACTTTATTTTTTTACTTTTTTTTTATTTTTCCCTTTTTTGTCCCTATTTCCTTATATTTTCAGCCGTTGTTCTCCCTCAACCTCCCTCAATCCCCCCCCCTACATATTCTTCATCGACTGGTGCCGTCAACAAATAATTCTGAGTAAATAAAAAAATAAAAAAATAATATACAAAAAATTGTTAAGGCTTTAACGTTTTTTTTATTTAAGAAAATATTTTTATAATAAAAAATAATAATTTTAAAAAATTTTTAAAAGAGTTGACTTTTTCTTTTTTTTTTGCTGATAATATTTTTGCTTACTTACTCAAATTGAAAATAATAATTTATCATTTTTTAAATATTATTATCTTTAAATAAATTTTTCTTTGTTCTTTTTCTAAGGACAATCTTTAAATAATTTTTTAAGATTGTAATAATAATTTTAAACAAAAAAATTTTATTTTTAATTTATTTAAGATAAAATTTAAAAATTAAAATAATGAGGCAGCCATTGCTGTCAGATTCTTCTTTTTGTTGTTGTTCCTCTTCTTCTTCATCCAAATCAGATTCTTTTATAAAAACAACAAAAATATTTTCTTCCAACAAAAAACAATTTTCTAATTTTAATTCTCCAAAAATTACCTCAAAAACTTCTTTTGCCATCAAAAATTTTAATTTTTCAATTTTATTTAAATTTTACAATTTATTAACATTTTTATCTATTTTTTGTTGTGTTTCCTCTTTTTCGTTATCCCCTTCTTCTAATAATCTTTTAACAACAACACAGCCAAGGCCTTCATGCCGTGAACATTTGCTCAATGGAAATTCTGAAAATAAAATATTTCCGTTATTGAGGTTAGGTATTTTGAAAAAAATTTTTATTAAAAAATTGGCTAAAAATATTTACTATTCTCAAATTTTATAAAATTTTAAATACATTTTGCATAATTCTTTTATGGCTAATAAACTGTAGGCAAAATTAAAAGGTATATTAAGTTGAAGCAGACTTGGTAATGGATACGGATATGGATACTTATAATTTTAAAATGCCTGCTGATATCCGTCTGTATCAGCCGTAAATATACGGATACCAAAATCCATTTCCATTACCAAGTCTGAACTGAAGTATATATCTATTTGGTTTAAGTATGTAAAGCCGACACTATAATATTTTAATAATTTATTCCCCACACATTTTCAGTCCTTCAAACCAAATTTATTGGTTAGAATGCCGTTTTCCTCCTCCAGGTCCCCAATCAGGACGTTTATCTTATCAAACAATAATTAACAATGCATTGACTGGCCGGTGGATAAATTTTGATGAAATTAAAAAAGAAACAAATAACCAACCAATTTATGTTCAACAACAGTTTGGATTCATTTTTTAAGTAAATATTTACATATATTTTTATTTAGAATTACAAATTATAATTTTCTTTCAAAATTAATTATTAATTCCGATGAATGTTTACAATTAATGAATATTAAATGGTTAGAAGGAGAAAAAAATAATTTATTAAACGAGACAGAAAGGTATTTAAAAAATTTATATAAAAATATTTTTTAAATTTATTTAAGTATTATTCTCGAAACATTTAGCAAAGAAAAGCTTAAATTTAATCGAAATAATGCTACAAATATTAATGGTAATTTTTAAATTAAAATTAATTAATCCTTGATAAAAACACACACCAGTAATTCATAAAATTCTAATTTTATAATTTTGATTAAAATACCTTTATGTTTTAAAGTTAGAGAACACAGAGTAAGTTACTCTACTCTTGTCAATACTCTTTTTTGATTTTTATCTAAAATTCAATTAATTTCCACCAATAAACTTAGAAAATTAAAATTCTTATTTAGCATTTTCATATACATACATAGAATTTATTTTTGTGTTTTCCTTTAAAATAAAAATTATTAAATTTATTTTTTAAATTAAAGAAGTGAATACTTTTTCTATTCGTTCTGGACCTGTTATTAAAATTAATTCTCCATTTCCTTCAAAATCAGCTATAAATCTTGGACCTTTAATTTGTCGGCAAATGGTTTTTAAATTTTAAAAATTAATTTATTAATTTTTTTAAAGTTAATTCCTCGTCCAGAATGTCAATTTGAACTTCGTTCAGATAAAGACAGAATTAGATTAAAATTATTTAATTTGAGGAAGAAAGCAACAAAATCAACAGCTAGTACTTTAAGTATTTCTTTTAGAACAAGCAAACCAAATGGGCGTTTACTTGAATTACTTGATGGTGGTAATGGACCTTTAGGGGCGCTTGATCTTGTTGATGGTTTGGATATTTTAAATAATTTATCGTCATCCTTTTTAATTTTTTCCCTTTCCCCTCCCCCCTTGCCTATCATTACTTTCAATTTTCTTTTTAAGGTTATCTTCTTTTCTCAAACCATATTATCCATCCTTCAAAATTACTTGCTGATGGCCTTTGGCATACAATACATTTACATTTGGTAATTCTTCTAAAAATCTTTTAAAATTAAAAATATTTGAAGCATTCATTATCTGTTCGGATTGACAATTTGGGGACATCTCTTTCATTACGTGAAATTTCTGATTTTGGTGAGCCTAAATGGATTGATATTCTTGTTCATGGAGAAGTTGCCGCCCTTCGAATTTTGGATAATAATGGAGATGATGGAGGGGAAGAACAATGGATTTGTAATGATTTGGTGATTTCTAAGAAATAAATATTTTTATTTCATCTCTAATTTCATTATTTCTTCCATTTATCACATAGTTAATTTCTTTTAATTCCCACATATAAAAATTCCTGTTTTTTAAAATTTAATTTTTAAATTTAGACAAATACCGATTTACTCGAAGTTCGTCAATCCCTTCCCCAACAACATATATTCTCTCAACCAGCATCTTGTGCACCTTCTAACCTAGAACAAAACTTTTGTAATTGCAAAGGACCTAATTCTGCTTTAATTCAAAATGGGGGGTTTTCTCTTAGTAATTCTCAAGTTGCCAAATGTTCTTTGTTGCCAGATGATGAAAATTGTAATTTTCTTTCTTTCAACTTCTCGTCTAAATGATTGTAATCCCTGACCCTTTTCCTACAAAATTTCGGTCTCCAATACCTTTAATTGAATTATATACGCTATCTTTATTCTACGGACTTCCCTAAACTTCCCTAGCTATTCCATTTAAATCAATTACAAATATAATTTCAGCTTCCGTCCATTTATCTCGTTATTCTGATCGCCTTGCTTTTTTACTTATTCCAATGGAAAATAACAATTTTGGTTTAAAAACAACAATTTCTGTCCTTTTTAAAAGTGAAAAGGTTTTTATATAAAGCAAATTTCTTTCAAAAATATTTTTTAAAGGAATCAGGTTTAATTTTATTTGGAGTATTTTCTCCACCAATTTCACCAACAAATGGGCAACAAAAAGTTTTATTAAATGGAGGGGGAAGTCTTGGAAGAATTCAAGTACATTTTTTTGATAATAAAGTTTTTGCTTCACAATGTTTACTTTTGGCTGATGGAAGTGAAAAATGTTATTCTTGTTTTGTTAAATTAAATAAAGGTATTGGAGGGGATTTTTAAAAATATATTTTTATTTGAGTTGATAATACTTATGTATTTCTTTTGACCATTAAAACGCTTATGCTTTCAATCTTCTTTTATATAATTTGAAAGCTTAATTCACATCTAATTTGTTAGTAGCATTTTCCCTGAAAAATTAAAGTTAATGAGATATCCTTGGGTGAAATGAATCAATTCGGATATATCAAATCGGGATCAGAAATTTATAAAAAAATAACGACACTTCTTTTTAACCTTTATTTATTTAATTTTTTTCTTTTTTTAAAGCCTTTGGTTCTCACGACCAATGGACAAGAATTTCACTTTTTCATCAATTAGGCAATAATTTTATGTCAGTTGATGAATTAGTTTGTTTATTATCTCCAAATTCGGCAGTTGTAGATTCTTCAGAATTATATAGAATTACTGCAAAAAATGTTTGGAAATTAAAATAAAATTTTTAAAAATTAATTTCTTTTTTTTTCAGTTTCTCTTTGTTGGCGGCACTTTTTATGCAAAAAATATTTTGTTAAATAAAATTGTATCAGAACGATTTAAAAAAGATTTTCAAGACAATACAAAGGAAAAAGCTCCATCTTTGGAGGTTTTTTAGAAAGAAATTTTTTTGAAATTTAAATTAAATTTAAAAGGGCTGTATTGCTGAAATTTTAATTAATGGAAATAAATTAAATATTCCTCAATTAATTAATGAACAGAAAGAAAGGGCAGCTATTAATAAAGAGAATTTAAATAATATTTTTTCTATTAAATTGGGTAATTGTGGAAATTGTCCAATTGAATGTGAAGGGTAAATAATTTAAATATTTTTTGTTCGAATTATTGTTAATTTCTTGTTTGTTCAAGACTTTAAGACCGAGGGGTAATTATTGTTCGGTTCGTACCCCCGCCCTCTCCCCCTTCTTATCACCAAATCGTTTTTGCCAGTGAAATCCAGTAAAATATTTTCGGTATGTATTAGTATGAAAAAATGGTCAGAAAACCGAACCGAACAATTACCGACTGAGGTTATCTAATTAGGAAGTAATCAAGAAACTATTATATAATGTTTTACCTTTTTCTTAATAACCTTTTACTTTGAGTACCTAATTAACAATTACTAGGTCCCCTTTTCCCTTTTAATTTCGAAATTAATTTAAAAAATTTAATTTTCAGAGCACCTTGTTCTCGTCATTCTGATTTACCTATTTGTCAATGTTCTAAAATCTATTCCCCGTCAGACAAAGAAGTTGGTGGAAATTGTTTGATAAATAAAACAACAGAACAATTTAAAAATAAATATTTAATTGAAAGTAAAAAAGAATTTTAAATTAATTTCAAATATTTCTTTTTTAAAGATCCTTCTTCACAAACTTCTAATTCAATTAAAATTCCAATACAAACACCTTCTTTAATAGCTAATAATGGACGTCCTCGAATAGCAAAATTAAATAAAATTTGGATTTTATTTAAATTACCAGAAAATAAATTAAATAAAGAATTATTTTTAAAAATTGGAAGGTAAGGAAGGGAGGGGATAAAAGTAGGGAGGGAGGAGAAATGAAGGGGAGAGGGGGGAATAAAGGGGGGGTGGGGATAAAGGGGAGGGAGAGGGGGTATAAAGGGGGAGGGGGGATTTGAAAGTTTATTTTTTGTTTTTTAAAGTTTATATTTAAATATTGATAATTATGGACATAAAGTTTTATTAGAATCAAAAGAATATGGGGTATTTGAAGGTTAAAAATAAATAAATATTCTTCATAAATTTAAATTTTATAGAATTTTTAATTGAACAAACACTTGATTCTCGTTTACATTTATTTTCAATTGAAAGAAAATTAAATAATTTTGGGGCAAATAATGATGGAAATTTATTGGTTGGTAATTAATTTTTAGGAAAATTAAAAAAGAATATTTTAGATTCGTTTTGATAATCAAATTAAATATTTACAATTAGAAGAATTACCTATTTTTGTTTTATCCCCTACTTCAATTGAAACATTTGAAATTGAAGTTTTTCAAAATAAAGAAGAGAATGGGGATTTAATTGATGATATTAATGGGTGTATTGAAGGTAGATTTTAAATCTTTTTTTAGTTTAGATTATTTCTTAGAAATTTTTTAAAAAATAAAGGATGGTAATTCTGAAAGTTAAGGGGGGTTTTTGCCTAAAAATCCCAAAACTAAATCCTAAAAAATATAATCTAAAACTAAACCAATATAAATATCCCAGCTCAACTGCGCCCCGGCCCTATAACTCAAGAAGGGATGATCATTTTTTAATATTCTTGATATCGATAAATAGAGCATATACCGAAAAATCAAAATTCTCTATTGACTGATAAAAAAAGTTCTGATCTAAGAACTAACTTTTCAGAAAAATTAATTTTTCGGCACTTAATCGATCATAATTTTTTTACCAATTGGTCAAGAATTCTGATTTTTTGGTATATTGTAGTTTACTTAATGCTCTATCCAAAGGTATCAAGAACAAAAAAAAATGACCATACTTTTATAAGCTATAGGTTCCGGGACTCAGTTGAGGTGTACCCAAACTTAATTTATTCCCTTCTTTAGATTTAATATTTATTTATTCAACACAAACTTCCAATGAAGATTTATCCTCATCTTTAAATGATAATTATGAGGTTAAACACTAATATTTGTTTAAATCATCTAAAAATTTAAATTTTAAAGATAAATTATGGCAAAAAAATAAAATCAAATTTAAACAATTTTTGCGGCATTCGAGATCCAAATATTTGGTTAGGGAATACTTCAAGTTGGGGAAAACTTTCAAAACAACCTTTTGACAATTTAAATAATGGTGGGGTTGAAATTATTAATAATAGTATTGATGGCTTTTCTTTTGTTTATAATAAAAGTTTGTAGTTTTTCTTTTGTTTTGCTTTTATTTTATTTTTTTAATTCCAAAAATAAGCTTGCCAATAATTCTTTAAAAATTTATTTTAAGAATTATATTTTAAAATAATTTCTTTCCAAGCTTATTTTAAATTTTTTTTCTTTATTTTTCCTGCTATTGTAAAGCATATAGATAGCTATTTAATTCCTAAGGCTGTGCAGTAAGCGGTGTGGTGTAATGGATAGCATATCAGTCCGGTCTACTGAAGATGCTGATCCGAACTTACCCAGCCGCCGATTAACCTTTTGCACTAGCTAAAGGAAAGAAATAGCTATATCCAAGTTGCTTTGCTCTATTCCCCTCCCACTTTTTTTTTATTTAAAATTTAATTTTCAGGTTCTTCACTTTCTCGGATTTCTTTAATTATAACAATTTTATTAATTATTTTAATGTTAATAGCTTTATCTATTTATTTATTTCATTTATTTAAAAAAAATTTGGTAAGGAATTATTTGGAATATTTTTATTTTAATTCTTTCAAGTCCCAAAATAGCCAACAACAACAATTTAATAATCAAAATGGAAAATTAACCTCCACATTAATTTTAGAAAAGCAACCTTTAAATTTAAATGAAAAATCAGAAAAAGATTTAAATGATAATTTAATTAATAAAAATGGTAAATAAATAAAAATAAATTTTTGGAAAAAAATTTTAAAAGAAAATTAATTTAGAAGAAGCGCCTCCTCCCCGTCCACCCAAAAATACCTCAATTAATTCAACAATTCCTCATCAAAATTTAAACGAAAAACAAACTAATGGAATTAAAAATGTATTTTTAAATTAAAAATAATTAAAATTAATTTTTTTCAAAAAAAAGGAGGAAACTTCTTCCCCTTTAATTTCAATTCGCCCATTAGAATCTTCCCCAAGAAAAAAACAAATATTTTCTAATGGAAGAGAAGGAGGGGCTAATACACCTCCTTCACCACTTAGAATGACTCCATTACGTCCTCAACAACAATTAAAAAATGGAAATTCTCATCAGAATTTTGGTAAATTTTAAAATTCTTAATTAAATTAATCGTATAGAACTATGCTTAAAGACATTTTAAGTTGAATTTAGAATTTAAAAACGCTTAAAAATAATTTTTAAAAATTAATTAATTAAAAAAGGAGGTTCTCCAAATCTGGACTTCGAACATTCTGCGCCAAATTGTCCAAAAGATTTTCCCCTATAAAACCTAAACCTTTAAGATTAAAGTTTTGCATAAAAAGCTCCATGGGAGTTTAAGCTTGAATTTTAAGTTTCTCAGGGTTTAGGTTTTTCTTACCCGTTTTGGCCCCTTCTCTTTTTGTTAATTTAAAATATATTTTTTAATTAGCAACAGCAGATTCCTTTTCATCTTCTCCACCTCCCCTTCCACCTCCATCAACATTTTATCCTGACCGTTCATTATCTAAATTAGCACCTACAAGCAATAATTCAATTTTAAGTTCATCTCCAATTTCTGAATTAACTTCTTCCTCTATATCTCCTTCTGGAGATTCTTTAAGAGGTTTTTAAAAATATTTTTTGTTAAAACAACAAAATTATTTTTAGATAGTGAATTAATGCGCCCTCCAAATATTAAAATTATATCTTCAATTAATTCTACTAAAAGACATTCCCCAATTGATTCTATATCAGCACCTATTGCTTGTAAAGAAGAGCTTTGAAAATGATAGAATTGAAGCTTTATATATTTAAATATTTTTTGATATTATTTATCCCTTCCTTCCTCCCTCGCTATTATTTCTATTTCGGGAGTAGGCCAATGTACCGACGAGCTATTAACTTTGTTCAAAATTATCGAATCAGGGACGTCCTGGTATTGTTTGGCTCGTCTAGGCGCATCAACCAACCATGGCATCCTGAATTTGATAATTTTGAACAAAATTATAGCTTGGGGGTACATTGGGCTCGCGGTACATTGGGCTGTACCCTTCAATTTCCCTAATAAATTGTCTAGTATTATTTAGAGATTTTTGGATATTTTAGTGTAATTTTGATCTTTAATTTAAAAAATTATTTTTATTAAAAATATTTTTGTTTAAAAAACTTTTTGGTTGTATTATCTTTTTTTAATTCTTTTGCTTTTAATTTTCTTTTGTTTTGCTATTAAATTTTTTTTACAAAAATGTTGAAAATTGTTTTTATTATTTTTTTTATTTTTTAAATTATTTTAATTAAAATATATTTTTTTTTTTTGCATAAAAATGTAAAAATTATTTTAGTTTATTTTTATTTAATATTTATTGCGTAAATATGTAATTCAAGTTTTTGTTAATTAAAGAGAGGGGAGGGGAGTGGACAGGCATTTTAAGAGGTCAAATGTTGAATAGAAAGTTTTTTTGATTTAATTTTTGTAGGGCATTTATATCTGTCAATCAAGTCTTTCATTTTTTTGTTTTCCTTTTTTTATTTTTGTCTATCATGAAAAAGTTTCTTTTATTCTATTGAGGAGATAAATTACTAATAAATTCAATAATATTCATCATTTTATGTTTTTCTTCATAAAATCAAAAAAGTAAATTTAGGCAAAGTACTTACATACTAGACAGAATTTTTATTTTAATAATTTATAGGCATCTCTATATAGAAATATATGTAGGTAATATAGGCATTTATTAAGCTTTTGGAGATTTCGAAGATGTGCCCTTAGATAAATGTCCTATACAATAATTCCATTTATCAGAGTCTTCAAGGTTACTCGAAACCTTGTTACCCTTTGTTTATCTGATACCCAACAATTAATTATTTAACAATTATTTACAGTTCCCCTCTGTCTTTCTCTCATTTGTAAATATTATTGTAAATACACACTACAATTGGAAATGGAGAATAATAATTATAAAATGAGCAACTTTTTTAATGAGAATAAACCAAATTTGGTTTGAGTTTATTTATTAATTTTTTAAACAAAATTTAATAAATTTATTAGAATCTCAGTCTTTCTGATTTTCAACGTTCTTTGGAGAATCGGGTAATTCGAAATGAGACTACTTTTCGAACCGAAATATGTCGAAAACTTCGCCAAACGGGATTTTGTGCTTATGGGGATATGTGTCGATTTGCGCATGACGAGTCTGAACTGCGTGTTAGACCTGTAAGTATTTTTCTAATTCTATTTCCGTTTAATGATCCCTAAATTAATCCAAATTCATTTGCCATGTCCACTTGGAGGACATTCCAAAACCTACTTTAATTATAGATAGCAGTCTTTATTTGCAGTTTTGGGTTGCTAAAATTTACCAAATTTTTCTCCTTAATCTAAGGACAATCACTTTAAGAGCCTGTAGGGGAGTTGTTAACCTTAATTGAATGACGAGATATTCCATTGTCTATTTTATGTATTTTTAAATAAATTTAATTACTCAAATAATAACAAAAATATTAATTATTTTTAAATTTTGTTCCAGCTCCATCCGAAGTACAAGACACAACTTTGTAAGAACTTTAGTGCTACGGGTGTTTGTATCTATGGTAAACGTTGTCAGGTATTTTTAAATACATATTTTTTAAATGTTTTTTTAAGTTTGTTCATGCTGAAAGAAATATTAATCAAAATTCTTCTCCAATAAAATCACTCCTTGAATTGAACACAACTTCGTTTAAAGTTAATAATATTAACGATATTTCTTTACCAAATGGTGACAGCGAGAATAATAATAATACAAATACTTCAAGTAGTAATGGAAAAAGTTTATTTAATGGACAACTTTCGCCGCCAATTTTTAAAGAATTTGCTCATTGGTAGAGAATTAAATATTTTTAAGAAATTTTTATTTTTTAAGGAATTTTACGGAGGAAGATAACATTACTGAAAACAATCACTTATTTACACAGGTATTTTAATTAAATATTAAATCCCTTTTAACCTACACGGGGATGGGGATAGAATGGATATTCTAACATTAATTTAATCCTTAATAATTATGCCAAATTGATGCAACTTTTATTTTTAGTCGTGCTTTTCAATGTTTAACAATAATGTTTAAATATATATCACAAAAATAAAGATTGATACTCAACAAAATTATTGTAAACAAGTACAGTCAGAATTTTCTACTAGAAGGTTATTCGGTAATATTGAACCCCATTTTCCCCTATATTTTTCAAAATTGTTACTTTTTCCTTTTTTGAGCAGATCTTAGTAATTCTCCGGGGATTATAACTCGATATCTAACCTAAAATTTTTCGGATCCATCAACCTTCTCTCTGCAACAAAATCGCATAATTTCCTTCTAAAAGAAAGTTTTGACTGTATTTATATATTTATTATTCCCCTATTCTTTCCCTGTAAATATTTTTATAGATTTCTATTGAGATTGTAATTATTGTAAAGATTTTTAAATTTTTATTATTGTAATATTTGTACAATTTTTTAGTTTTCGAATATTAAAAATAAAATAGAAAAAAATTAAAAGCTTAATACAAAAATGAGAGCATATTATTAAATTTTTATTGAAAATTTATTGTTCATTAAATCTTTGTTTTGATTCATCAGTTTTTTCTTCACTGATTTCCACTGAACTATAACCTGGAAGGGGCGGTGATGGCAGTTCAACTGTAACTGAGACAAGATTTCGATTCGAATGAATTGTTGTCATCTAAAAAAGAAAAATCAGTTAAATATATCAGACTAAAACAAATTACCGAATGACCATCCGGCGATGTATTACTATTTGATTCATCTAGCGTTTCAAGAGTATGACGAGAAAGTGTCTAAAAGTAATTATATATTTACTAGAAAATAATTAAAATTTACATCAGACTCCCTTCTAACATTCAAAGAATCTTCTTCATCGTCATTTTCCGGGATCAATTGTGTATTAGATTCGCTTAAAATACTTGTTGGGCGACGATGAACCTTTAAAAAAAATATTTTTCTGTTCAATTTTAATAAATTTTAATAACCAAATCAACAATAGAACTTCCAATTCCAGCAATCCCTCGTCGTAAACGATCACCAAAATGTGTTGTTATTGGTGTAGTAATTGGCTGTTGTTGTTGATTGTCCAAAGATAAAGTTGTTGTTTGAGAAGGTACACTTTCTGCAATAACTGTTGATGACTAAAAATTACGAAATAAAATTATTTTAAAAAGAAAAAAACAAATTTAATGAAAACTAAATTTAATAAATTCAAATTACTTTCTAAAAGAATTTAGCTTAATAAAAAACTTCCCCTCCCCCCTGGCAAAGAACCTGCTCATAAGTAATAATTAGATTTTTGGCCTTAAATGTCTATTTTAATATACTAAATATTTCCTCACAGTTTCTGTGGTGGAGGGAGATGAAATTTGTGCTCCAACGGCTTCACACCGCGATGCTAAAAATTTATTTTAAATATTTTTTAAAATCTTGAAAAAAATTTACGATGAAAAATACTGCTTAAATGTAATAAATTCGATGCTCGCGAAAAGGCGCTTGTTGATTGAGGTGTTTGTTGTTGTGGCTGCCTTTGTTGTTGGAATAAAGAAGCAACAACAATTTGTTCTGCTATTGGCCGTCGATTGCTACTAGAAGTTATTGTGGCAATCTAAAAAATAACAAAAAAATTTAAACAATATTTTTAATTAATTAAAATATACCGGTTGTGCATGTTGTAAAAGAGGACGGTTGTCACGAGTTGTTGTTACAAGTGTTGAGGATGAACTGCTTCCAGCAGCACCTTCAGCAACCGATGATGAGACAGTGCGGGTAATTCTCTTAAAAATGATTTTTCAAAAAGTATGATTTAAAAAAAATAAATTTAAAAAAATCCTAGAAATACTATCAGTTAAAAATGATCTTCTACATGTAGAAAAAATGAAACTAAGATTGTAGATAAAATTAGCATTAAGTCCACTATCACCCTACTCTTGGCTACGTGCCCGATTATTTAATCCACTTAACAAAGGTTTTACCAAATGAATAAAAATAGAATAGAATTAAGAAAATTCCCCAACAAATTAAACATTTTTAGTTTTACAAACCTCACTGTCAGTATCGCTGTCCGAACTGTCCACATTGCGAGGACCAACTCTTCTTTTACAAACAGGACATACTCTCCTGTTTTTGGTTAGCCAAGGATCAATGCATTTACAATGATAGGCTATAAAATTAAGAAATTAATTTTTTCTATTAAAAAAATAAAAACCGTGTTTGCAAGGAAGAATTCTCAATTTATCTGGCTCTTTGAAATCTTCCAAACAAATGGCACAAGTCTCTTCTGGATCTCCTTTTCGATATTTCCTTGTTGGAATTTTGCGTAGTTGAGAACGAGGAAGTCGCTTTCTTGCCAAACGTCTTCTTTCACGGCAAAGACGAATTAACTGAATTTAATAAATTCAAATTATTTTCTGAAAGAATTTAAATTTTGATAAAAATTTACCAAAGAAATTAACAAAACAATAAAACAAATTCCGACAATAATAACAAATGGAAAGAGATATTTGATCAAATCATAGTAGCCAGGACTAGCTTTGATTGTAACGGTATACCTTAAATTATTTAGAATAAAGGAGACCCTTTTAAAAATTAATACCCGTGTTCTGCGCTGTAATGGCCAAGTAAACTTTGCATACATTCAAATTTAACCATAACAACAGGAATTTGGATAAGTTCAGCAAATTTGCTACCCGACATTGGATTGGGACTTTTACCCTTAAAGTTGTATACAATCAATGCTTGGTAGCCAACAGGCTTTGCTTGTTGAACATAATAAGCCTAATTAAAAAGAATTTGATTTTTAAATGAGAAATATTAACACGGAGAGGTTGCGAGGTGTCCGAGCTAAAAACGGTCAAGACCGGGCTCATTCGATAAAAAATGTGCTCTTTCTAGCACGGATATTGAGCCGTTTTTTCCCGTTTTTTAACAAAAAGCGAAAAGCGGTAATATTGAACCGGACAGACCCTTTTTCCTCCCTAATTTTTCCCCTATATTTTTCTTCCTTTTACTTGTTTTCGGCATGTAATACTTGCACTTGTATAAAATTAAATAATCCTTTTTGGTTGATTGTAGGCAAAAATTAAAAAGGCAATTTGAATGTAAGAAAGGAAATCTGACCATTTTGCAAAAATATAGGGGGAAAATTTGGGGAGGAAAAAGGGGGTCTGTCCGGTTCCTCAATATTACCCAAAAAGCTATAGGTTAACGATAAGAAAAATATTCTGACCCCTCTACATTCATAACAGGGGAATAACCAAAAAAATATTTAAATATTAAGCAACCTTTTCAGAAAAACTACAATTCCCTCGTGATACAACGGCAAAATCCACAACACATTGACTTGTTGAATTCAAGCGAGGCTTCTTTAAATGAGAATAATTTTAAAAATAGAGATGGGTTACTTCAACATCAGAACAAGCTAATGGAGGTTCCGTTGGTAAAGCACATCCGACAGAATTCATTCCAAACGAGAAAGTAGCAATATCAGAGCCAAAATTCGCCCCAGTTGCATCACAACGGACAACCGCTCGATGGCCACCAAGTACAGTGTGTTCCAACTAAAAAATAATTTTCAACAAAAATTTTCTCAAAATTTTCAAAGAATTTTTGTCTCTTCCATTTTTTATTCAAAACATACAATTTCAACCAAATACTGGCCAAATACACACATTCTCGAATCGTGTAAAATAAGCATTAAGTAAAAGGATGCCAATAAATTTTGATGAAAAATTGTTGGAAAGGAAATAAGCATTTCTATTCATGAATATTTTAAGCCTTTTTTGTTTGTTTTTTTAAATTTTCTCTGAAAATGTAAGAGAATTAAAATAAAATAATTTTTTAGTAAAAATATTTAAATATATAGAATTACAACAAAACAAGAATTTATTTCTCTAAAATTTTTATTTATTTATTGTTGACTAATTTCTAGGGGAAGCCACATTCATACTAAAATTTCTACGAAAAATTCTTATCTTTTTAATTTTTTTACGCACTTTTCACATGTTTAACCTTCCATGCCCTCAAACAAATGATTGATACGAAAATATCAAAAAATTGAAAAGAGGTTTTTTAAGTTTTTTTTTGATTTTAACACCAACATTCTTTGATTTTAATAGAGGTATTTTTTAAAAAATTTTTCTAATTTCTGGGCGATTTAAAAGTATTTTTATATTTTTTTTATAATATATCAATATTTTTTCTCAGTATTTCTGACAAAATAAGAAATTTTTAACTATCGATACCGACACTCGAAAAACACTGTCGAACACTAATTTAATTCTAACTGATAATCAATAAAAAAATAAAAAAAATACAAAGAATCAACAAAATATAAAAGAGACAAAAAAAACTTTTTTTAACAGCCAAGTGAAGTAATCAATTTTAAAGCAATTTATTAGGAGTCAAATATAGTGAACGACATATCTACGTTTTCGTCGATTCGCGGCGAATAACTACTTTTATTCGCGAACGACTTTTTTTTAAACACACAACGCCAGAACTACGTTAATATCGATGTTTTGCGCCAAACGATTGCGAATCGACTTTTTTGTGTCTCTTTTTCTCTAATTTCACATTATATTTCCTTTCTCTTTTTCTATTAATTTTCTATGTCGTTGTCTCTCCATTGGAATTCTCTCCATTGGACTTTCCTCTTAACATTTCTCGTGAAATGCTCCAACAATCCAAAATTCTTAAAGTGATCCGAAAGAATTTGGTCAAGAAGTGTATCGAACTTTTTGATGAAATTGCTGAAGACCAACTTTAAGAAATTTTATGAACAATTCAGCAAGAATCTTAAGGTTTTTTAAATGTTTTTTTGAAAATTATTTGTTCTTTAGTTGGGTATTCACGAAGATTCTGTCAACCGTAAAAAGCTTGCCGAATATCTCCGTTACAACACTTCCTCTTCTGGCGATGAACTTGTTAGCTTGAAGGATTATGTTGGACGAATGAAGGAGAATCAGACTTGCATTTATTATATTACTGGCGAGTCTAAAGAAGTTGTTCAAAACTCAGCTTTTGTTGAACGTGTTAAGAAGCGAGGTTTTGAAGTTTTTTAAGAAGCGAGGTTTGAAGCGAGGTTTGAAGAAGATAAAGTTAAATTTGAGAAACTTTGCAAAGTTATTAAGGTATTTAAGATTTTGTTTAAAGAATTTTGGAATATTTGTTTTATTTTTAGTGTTAGGCTTCTCTCTTGAAGATCCACAACAACACGCTTCACGTATTTACCGAATGGTAAAACTAGGATTGGATATTACTGAAGAGGACTTGGAAGGAGGAGAGCAACAACCCTGCACTTCTGGGGAACCTGTCGAAAAGATTGCCGGTGCAGAGGAGGACGCTTCGCGTATGGAGGAAGTTGATTAAATTAATGTAAAAGGTTTTGATGGATTGATCTCCTCGTTGACTTTGTTTTTCTTTAAATTTATTTTGTTTTGTCGTCCTTATAATTATTTACTTTGTTTTTGAATCACGGATACATAAATTAATTTCACAAAAAAGTTTGTCTTGATTTTTAATTTGAGATCTGTTTTAGGGGAGGTGGGGAAACAAACGGCAGGATCAAGGTAAGCAGCACATCTGATGATGGAAAGACTTTCCGGATTTTCAATGAAAATTTCACTCATCTTCCTGTTAAAGGCTTTCAATCCACTTTTGGCATCATCTCCTCTTACTTCTCCTCTCCATATAGTAAGAATATAGATATGTGGAAAAATCCCTAAAAATTACAGAAAAGGGACTGAACATTTATAAAAATGGAAAATTGTAAATTCCAAAGGAGAGACTACACGAACGAAAATTAATAGAAAAAGAGAAAGGAAATATAATGTGAAATTAGAGAAAAAGAGACACAAAAAAGTCGATTCGCAATCGTTTGGCGCAAAACATCGATATTAACGTAGTTCTGGCGTTGTGTGTTTAAAAAAAAGTCGTTCGCGAATAATTGTAGATTTTTTTAAAACGACTTTTTTTCCTTAAGAAAAAGTCGATATGTCGTTCACTAGTCAAATACCCTTCTGGTTCTGTCTAAAGGGACTACCCGTTGTCACTATTTTAAATTTCAATATTAAACTATCAATTTAGCTGTGGTTAAAAAAAGAAATATTTAAAAGTAGTAAAATAAAGATTTTGAGGAAATGAAATTTAATCCCAATTTTTGAAGCATAAAATGATAAAGTTATTTTTGGCTTATCTGTAAGATTTTGCTTTTTGTACTCACAATATAAACATTAAGACAGCTGTACTGCTTGGAAAAATTGATGAATTTAAAATTTAGCCCTAGTCCTCTAAATTAAAATTCTCTAGTAGTATGATACTCAAACGTTCCTGTCACAAGATGAAATAATACAAAACACCATACATAACTCACTTGAGTTTTTAAGTTATTTGGCTTGTTTTCAAGCATTCGCGTTTGCCTTTTCTTTTTTTTGCGGCTTAGTCATTTCTTACCATTGATCTTTTTTTTACAATTTGGGGTAACTTGTATGGTTTAGTACGCTTTTTTAGCCACTCTCTTTTTTTATTTTTCCTTCATCAATATTAAAGTTATTAAAAATTTTAAAGATTCCCCCATTTCCGTATACAGAATGGTCAGCCTTTCTTCCTCGATTCACTCAATTACTCAGAATTTCATATTTTTTAGTAGCGTTCGATAGAGGGAGACCACCCAGGTATATCGAAACCTTTTTTAGGCCTCGAATTTTTGGAGCCGCAGGCGAAAGCTGTAGATACCCCGTTTACGGCCCTGATGGGACCCCCAACTTCCTTTTCCGAAGTGATACTGTTTTCTTGCAAAATAACTTTGGGCCGAGTTATGGCCGTTCAGGTTTAACGATAGAGTCTGGGATTAAGAGGTAAATGAGCAACTTCTCTCTTCTTTTTCATCCTCAAAATACCCACCTGCCCACTTTTACTGTTTTTTTTTGTTCTTCGTGTCTGACATTTTTCTTCCCTCTTTTTGTTCCTTCGTCTCCATATACTCAAAACTCAAAAAAACCGAAACTTTGTGCGGCCATAACTCGGCCCAAAGTCAATTTGAAAGAAAATGATATCACTTCACAAGTCAGGGGTCCTCTATCGAATGGTACCAAAAAATATAAAATTTGCTCTGACAGTAAAAGATGATTCCTTGTCAGAGATATCACAGGACCGATTCTGGTTTTACAACCTAAACAAAGATTAACCTAGGCTGAATTGATTAATGGGTGAGAATGAGAAAGAGTAAAAGACTAATGATGGAAAAGGAAAAAAAAGCGTGACTAAAAACCTGCTTAAAAAAGCGTACTTCTCCTCTCAAACTTTTTATTTAATCAATACCATTTTTTCTTTTTTCTTCATCCGCTCACCTGGAAACAGCCTTCCATGGTGATTCACAAAAATGAAGAAATTTTTTTTGTTTTATTTACAAATTTGAATAGCCCTAATTTTTAATTATTTTTTTAAATTTTTTTAAGATTTTTAAATATCAATGTCTTCGAAAGCAAAACGTTCAAAGGCTCAACGAGAACAAGCGATTCATGTCGATGCTTCTGCAGATGAGACATTTGACACTCACAGGTTTATTCTGCTTACTTTTCATTCTTAAAGTTTTCGATTTTAGTTCCACTAATGCGACGTCTTCGAATTCTTCTAACCCGCATGTTTCTATTCGTCAAATGGAAAAGGATTTGTTGCAATCTCTTAATGACCGTTTAGCTGGTTATATTGAGGTTTGTTGCCTACTAAATCTCGAATATCTTGCAAAGATTTTTTTCCTTTAGCGTGTCCGCACGTTGGAGACTGAGAACACTCGTTTGCAGGTGCAGATCAACGAAGTAGAGATTGTTGAGCGCAAGGAGAAGGAAAGCCTGGCTACTCGTTATGATGTTAAAATTGAAGAGCTGCGCAAGCAGCTTGAATATCTGACACGTGACAAGGCTAAGTAAGTTTAATTTACCAATTTGTCTTTCCTCCACAAAACACGCTTGTGCTAACATTCGTAAGCATGCCTAGATTAATTTTTAATACTGGGCAGCTTGACGGATGGTAGGGCCCCTCGAGTTAATTACTCTTTGTTATATTAGTATAACTATCTTTTTAAGGTTACAAATCGAGCACGACAAGGCGACCAGTGGCTATGAAGAACTCAAATCTCGTGTTCCCCAACTGGAGCGAGACTTGAAGAAGGCGGAAAAGGACAAGTTTTCTGCATATGATGAGATTCATAATTTGAATGCGCGTTTAACAAATGTTGATTCAGCACGTGGACAACTTGCTGAGGAAAATGATGTGAGTCAAAATAGTCTTCATCATTATTTTTAATTTTAGAAGCTAAAAACTGATCTCTACAGCGCTGAGAAACAAGTCGAACTGTTACGTCGCCAACTGGAGGATGAAGTCTTGTTGCGAACTGAATTGGAGAGCCGTTGGCAGACCGCACGAGAGGATTTGGAATTTTCTCGTCGGAGTCATGACAATGTAAGAATATTTTTTTGTTTAAGAAATAGAAATTGACATTTTTAAGCAAATCGAGGAGTTGCGTCGTAAACGTCAAGTTGAAATGACTCATTATGGTGAGGAGGTTCAGCACAAATACGAAGCAAAACTCCAGGAGCAGTTACATGCAATGCGAACCGACTTTGATTCCAGAATTGCTGCACAACGCGCGGATGTAAAATTTTCATTTTTTGAATAAATTTAGTACTTGAATTATACAGGTTGAAGATATGTTCCATGCAAAGTTGGTAGAAGCCAATAATCAGGCCGCCAAATACCGGGAAGCTTCTGCTCGTGCTCGTGAAGAGGCGACTTCTCTTGCTGTTCAAAATCGGGAATATGAACGTACAACAAAAGACCATCAAGGGATTGTTGATGGGCTTACTCGTCGTATTAAGGTTTTTCTTTTAAATGTAAAAAAGTATTTATTTTAAAAATATAGGAACTGGAAGGAACCCTGCGCAGAGCGCATGAAGATGCCGAAATTCGGATTCAACAACGAGACGAACAAATTTCTCAGTTAAAATTGGAAATCGAAAATCTTACATCAGACTATCAGGATGCGCTTGATTTGAAAGTTAAACTGGACACTGAATTGCATGCTTATCAGCAAATGTTGGAGCAGGAAGAGACTCGGTTATAAATTGTTTTTTGCCATCCTGATGGTTATATTTATAGGTTGCGTATCACTCCATCAGGCAGTCCGAATACTTCGGCTGCGACCTCTAATTTGAGTGCTCCGATGTCATCTACACGTGTTGGCCTTCGATCTACACCTTCTGTATTCAATGGAAGCGGCGGTGGTGACGTTTTTATGGTTGGATCACAACGTGGAACAAAGCGTCGTCGTGTAAACCAAGAGGATTTTGTTAGCATTGGTCAATCGGCTCAGAAATGGACTGTTCGTTTTTATTTTTATAATGTTCTAATTTGATTAATTAAAAATTATGATCCATAATTTATTAAATGCGTTGACTTATTGTTAGCCTCCCCCCCCCATCAAAATGGGGACAAGGGAAAAAATTGGGGGAGGAATTGAGAAAGAAGTAAATTTATATATTCCCAAAAGTTAATTCACTTTTTTGTAGACTACTGGCGATGGAATGGGTGACTTGATCATCGAGGAACATGACACTGATGGTAAATTCATTCGGCTTTACAATAAGGGAGATGAAACTATCTCTGTTGGCAATTGGGTAGTTCGATCAACAGCTGGAGAAATTGAGACTACTTTCAAGTTTCCTTCGCGCGCAAAGATTTTGCCAGGAAAACATGCTACGGTTAGATTTTATTATTTAACTGAATTTTGAAAAATTTTTTAAATTGTTTAGATTTGGTCTAGCAATGCAAATGCTGAACACCAACCGCCAAACAGTTATGTCATGAAAAACCAGATTTGGCCACACGATCGCTGCATTCGTACGGAACTTTTGAATCCTGACCGTGAAGTTAATGCTTGGCGTGAATCGGTTTTAAATCAGAGTTTTAATGGTGTTCAATATGGATCTGATGCTGACAAGAATTGCGTTATTATGTAAAAGAAGAAGGAAAAATTGGAAACGAAGCATTTTATATGAGCGTCCTATTAAATTTAAAAGAGAGGAAGGATGTTATTTTCCAAGTTTGTTTGTTTTCTAAATTATTTGGTTAAAAGGAAAATATCATTTTTTTGTTCACGTCTATTATTTTAGGTAATTTAATCATTAAAGTCTTTGTTTTCAAAAATATATTTTATTGCTATTTCTCATATCAAAAATATTAAAGACTTTAATGTTGACCCCTCTCATCTTTATGTTTTTGAAGACAATACCAGCTATTTTTAAACAATCCCCGCTATATATGTCAAATGTTTTGCTACAATAAATTTTTTGTTTTGTTGCAAATTTTTGTTTTGGAATTTTTTTGCTCATAAAATTGACTGTTTTTTTCTTGTCTAAAATGGGTTTAATGGTTATTTTTATGTGTTTAACACCAATTTTAAATTTTATACTTGAACTAAATTGAAGTAGACTTAGAAATTGAAAGTTGTTGTCCTGTTTCCCCTTTAACCTCTTCAAAAATACCTAATTTTCCTTGTTGACTCGTCCTTTTAAAGTTAAAATTTACTTAAAATATTACTAGTCCCTATTGCGCAGAAATATGGAATTACTGGCTGGTAATTCATGACTGGCTAGTATATATTACTTTTAATTTTCTTTAAAAAGAGGACATAAATACTTGAGTAAAAAATATATTAACTGAATGTTTGTGTGTATTCGGGGGGAGGGCAACTTCCCTTTTTGTCCTCCGCTGAAAGATTTGCTTGCAATTCATCATACTCCTTTCAGAAATACTTGAAAGCGATATTTGTGCTAATTTAGTAAATTTCATCTTTTATTTGGCCTGGTTCTAAAAATGATTTGTACTAAATTACTTCCTTAAAGCTTGTTTAATTTTACAAAATTTTGTAACAATTTTGTTTATACATAAAAGCGATATATGTATTATTTTTTGCTAGTCTTTTTTTGATAAGTAAATTCAAGAATTTTTGTCTTAAGCATATGAGGGTTGGGAAAACTAGTTTAAAGTGGAGCTCGAACCTGGATCGGGACCGGGTTTTCCACACCCGGAAACAGGATACATTGATAAAATCCGGTTTTTGCGGGTTTCGAGGTTTTAGCTCGGAAGCCTGGCCCGGATCAACTTGGAAGAATAAATCCGGGGTAAATTGAAAAGTTCGAGCTCTAGTTTATAGTGAAATTCTTAAAACATTTTTTGCTTCATTTCAAACCTTAAATATTTTTTTAATTTAAGAAAAGATTAATTTTTAATGTAAATGTTCACCATTAAATTTTTCAATTTAAATTTATTTAAATGGAATTTATTTTCAAAATATCTTCAAAGAAAAATGAAAAAGAGATAAAATTAAATAGAAAAGATGAAAAACAAATGGCTGTGGTTATTATTATTTAATTATTTTATTTTTATATTATTTTTGCTCAATAATTTTTGTAAAGGTATTTATTTAATTAAATTAATAATAAATTGGGAAAATATTATTTTAACAAATAATTCCCCCCATATTGCTTACATATAGGGAGAGGAATGTTGAAATTTTTCGATTTGGCTGTTCATAAAATTGCCAATTTTTCTAGAATGGATTTAATAATTAATAATTCAAAAATTTATTTAATTAATTAGCCCAAACATCCGATGATTTTTATGAAGTTTCCCCAAATAATTTTTACAATTTGGAATCTGAACAACAACAGCCATTTCAACAACAATTTCCTTGCCCTCCATATGGAATGTGTGATTTTGGAGTTGAAAATAATAATCAAAATTTGGGTATTTTCCCTTTAAATTCTTTTTAAAAAATAATTTAAAGAAAATTTTTTAATTAATTCAAAATCATTTTTACTTCGCCCCTCATCCCAACAACAACTGACATTTAATGAAAATAATAAAGAAAATAATGAATTTCCAACATTAATTCCCCCTTATAAAATTAATAAAGGTATAATTAATTAAAATATTTAAATATTTTTTTAAAAGAATTTACTAATCCTTCAACAAAAAAGGAAGAATTTAATAATATAAAAAGACAAGAAATTAGTGGTAGAAGTAATAATGATATTGGGAATAATGGGGGAGGTATAAATGGATGTACTGGAAATTGGATTGGAGAAATAAAAGGTGGGATTTTAATAATTAAGAATACAGTCAAACCTCAACTTTCAGGTGCCCCAAAGTTTGGGGAAGAATTTTTAAATTTCTCAATGCTTTTTTTATCGAGAAATGGGTAAAAGAAGATGGGGTGAGGACTAGAGACTGGACAAACGGCAAAATCAATTACTTGATCAAATTATTTGATTTTCCGACATTAAATATTTGCTTGGTCCGATCTCTAGTGAGGACTGCCTAAGTTGTATCCTCGATTTTAAGTCACCCTTTTATTAAGGATAAAATTTTTAGATTCCAAAGTATCTAAAAATGAGGTCCGATTTTATTAAAAAATTTTTTTAAATTTTGATTAAAAATAAAAAATAATTCTTTATATATTTTTAAAAAGATGTTAGTTTACAAAGAAGTGTGCCAGCACCATTTCCTGTTCAAATGTCCAATATTCCCAAAAATAATTTTAATTTAGAAGAATTATATGGAGGAATAAACAATTTAAATAATGAAAATATTTTAAATAATTATGGATCATTAATTCAATCAAATACAAATTCTTATCAGTTTCCTCAATCTCAGGGATATTTTGGAGGAGGAGGGTTGGTTAAGATTAAAAATAAAACAAAAAAATTTATAAAATTAATTTTGTAAAATTATTCATTTTAAAGTATCCAAAACTTAAAAATTCCGGAAGAATTAAATTTTCTTTTATTTTTAGTTATTCCTCTATTGGAAACCAATTTGGTGATAATAATAATTTTATTTATGGAAATGGAATTCCTTCTGAATTTGATATTGAGGGAAGAGATGAAGAAGAAGAAGAACAAAGTGATGATTGGAGTGAAAATCAACAACAAAAATTTTCAGTTTCAACAGGCAATTTAATTGGAGAAGCAGCAGCACGGGCAGTTCTTGAAGGGTTGGAGGGGAGAGGAGGAAAGGGAGAACAACAAATGAGAAAGACATTAATTGAAAATAATAAAAATAATTATTTTAAATTGGATGAGCAGCCATACATTGATTATTTGGTAAGTTTTGTGTGATTCTCGGGCTTAGGACATTTTTAGAGCCAATCGGAACTAGCTACAAAGCCATACCGTTAAATAATCTAAAAAGTATTTTTATTTAGAATATCGTTAACAAAAACAATAATAACCAATTAATTCCAAATATTTAGCAATCTGAGGGGAGGAAAAATTTATGTGGATCTCCAGGTGTTGCTCCTTTTGTAGGGCTTGAAACTTCTTTGCAAGGAATTGATAGTATTAAAGGTATTTAAATTTAATGAAGGAAGGAAGTTATTTTTAATTTATTTTATAAACATTTGGGGATCTATTAAAAAGAAAACAGATCGAAATAAATTGAGAGTCATCAGAAAAAATAATTATTGGGGAAAGGGCAGAATTATTTTTTATTAAAATAATAATTGTTTGGGAGAGAAATTTAATTTTTAAATTTGAATACTAATTTTTTAAACAGATCCTTGTCAACAACCATCATCTACTTCATTCTCTTCATCATTTCCTCCACCACAAACATCTAATAATAATTTAAATAATTTAATTTCTCCTTCAAAATCATTTATAAATTCACCCCCAACTTCTTTTAATTTAAATAATTTATTAACTCAACCAACAACAAATACCTCCTCTACATCTTCCTCCTCCTCTTTATCTTCTTCAAATACTCATTATTCCCTTAGAGGTTCAGATATTCCCTTTCCTTTTGGCACTTTACAAAATAAAGATAAAGAAGACCAATTATTACCTTCTAATTTAAAAGAAGAACAACAACACCAACAACCAATTCAAAAAAGTGTTACATCAATTCAAGCACTTACACAACAAGTAAATTAATAAGAAAATAATTTTATACAAAATGGATATACAAAAACTTTAAAAAATAAATGGCTATAATTTAAAAAATGTATTTCCAATCCCCTAATATTTTCATTAAAATAATTCAAGATCTATCTTCCTTACAGTCAATTCTCGATATGTAATTAACCCCTCAATTTAACAAACTCTTTCACAAGTTACTTATGTAGAGTTTCATTATTAGGGTTGTCGGTTCTGGACCGAACCGAACCGAAGAACCGATGATTTTTCGGTTCGGTTTCGGATATCCGAAGAATTTCAAGGAACCAACAACCCTATTTATTATGTCGAGAGTCGACACATTTAAAGAATTTCTAACAAATTTAATTCCAACCATTTATCATATCAATATTCTTCTTAATTTATAAAAAATAAATTTAAAAGATTTTACGACTTCCTGCCGTTTTATATGCCGATTCAAGTTCCTCTGGATCTCGTAAATTAGAAACTTTGTTACGTGAAGTTAAAAAAATAATTTTTAATTTTAATTAAATTTTGTTTTTTTCAAAAAAGGTTTATGGCCTTCCTTTAGTTACTTTTTATGTTGATAGAATTGGGAATGGTAAACCTAGACTTGTTGAACGTAATTTAGAACAATTAACTGCTCATCGTGGTCTTCCATATTTATTTATTTGTGGGACATTTATTGGAAGTAAGGGAAAGAAGAGAAAAGAAATTTGGTTGAAAAATTCAAATTTCTAGGTAAAGAACACATTCAAAATTACCATGAAAAACACCAAATACCTCAATTAGTTGAATATGTTTGTAATGGAGAGGGGAAAAGGGAAACAACAAAAGAAAATACAACAACAACAACAAATAATACTTCTTTAACTGAAAAACAAAAAATACAAAAATTAAAATTAATGGATGAACAACAACAACCTTTATTTAATGAAAAAAATTAAAGAAAATAAAAATAATTTTAAAAATTTGAGAGAAAGAAGGGAAATTATTTAAAGAAAAAATTAAAAAATATTTTTTCTAATTAAATTTTTTTCTTCCTTTCTTTTAATATTTAAATTCAATGTTTAGTGCAGGTATGGTCACGGATACTGATCTTGGTATCCGTATCGGCATATTTACGGCGAATACAGACGGGTACAGGCGGATATCCGCAGGCATTTTGATATTATCTGTATCCTTATCCATGACCATGCCTCTTTCTTTAATTCTGACCCATTACAATATATAAACTCTGATTATTGCCAGAGATGTTGCTTCTTCCATTTCCGTTTTTTTGTTTTTTTCAACATCCCCAGTTCTTACCTTTTGGGGGCCAAAAGTTTATCAGAAAATAATCTGAAATCAAATGGTAGGTAAATAAGGGAGAGAGAGATTGAATTATTTTAATTAACAAAAATTAAAGTTATTTTGACACGACCTTGATATTTGTGTAATTACAATCTTTGTTTTTTTGTTTAATCAAATTCAATTTAACTTTAACTTTTTAAAAACAATTTTGTGTGTTTTTATGCAAAAATATATTTAAATTTACTACATTTTATAAATTTTCGAGAAAAAAATTTTTTTTAATATTTTATTTGTTTGTTTTTATTATCACATGACACAAACTTTTTGTTAAATATTTTAAAACACAATTTTAAAAAAATTTGCAAAGACACATTTTTATTTTTTTCAAAAATCACAAGAAAAAAGTTCAAAGAAATGTCTTTAGGAATTGAAAAATGGCAGAAATTAAAATTAATTATTATACTATAAATTAAATTAATGCCTAAATTTCAAAAATAATTTGTAAATTCTAAAATTTAAATAAAGGAGGAGCGATGAATGAATTTAAAAAATATTATAACAAATAGCTACCAGCCCTAAAAATTTATCGGCTAACAGGGGCCCAAAAAGTGGGAATCGGCGGGAGAATCGGACAGCACCATATTTGTTTACCTAAAAATTTGGAATTTCCTAGGAACAGAAAACTTTAAATTTTTATTTTTTATATTTTTTTGTCTTTAATATTTGGTAGAACGGAACAGTTTTTTATTTTCAACTTTGAACTTTTACGCCTTAAAGATTTAAACAAAATTTATGTTTAAATTTAGTATTACGTCCCGTGTTATTTTTTTGTTAATTTATGTTTGTGGGAAAAAATTTAGGTAGGTAAATGTTTTTATAAATTAACGAGGGATAATTAAGAACTAAAAAAGGAAATAATTAAAATATAAGGAAGTATATATACTTACTAAATACTTTAATAAAAAAATGTTTTTTTAATTCTCAAAAATATTTATTAAAATATTTAAATTTAATAAATTTTAATTAAATGAATCATCAAAAATAAATAAAAATAAAAGAGAAGGGAAAATAAAAACAAACTAAAAATGTTGCCTAAATGACCTCAAAATTAGCGAATAAAAAATAGGAAACGGATATTACGTTAATTAAATTAGTAAATTTAATATTTAATTTAGGGAAATAATTGCAGATTAAAATTTCGAAAAAAATTATTAAAACAAAAAGTAAAAAACAATTTAGAGACTAGAAGGAGACAAGGAGAGAGAAGAAATTAATTGAAATTAATTCGAAATTGACTTTTAATTTTTAAATAAAATTATTTTAAGTTTTGCCAATTTTTGTAAATTTTAATTTAAAATTCCTAAATTATTAAATTATTTTAAAAAATAATACATATTTTTAAAATTTTTTTTATTTCGAATTTTATCAAAAATTTAAATAATTTCCTTTTAAATTATTAAATAATTCTACATAATTTATTAAAGTTTTATTTTCAAAAAAAAACAAAATTCGCGTCATTCTCCGTTTACATAAAAATTCGTTTTTGCTGCGGAAAAAACGCTAGCGTTTTTTATGTAAACGTAGCATCAATAAAAAATCTACAAAATTTGTAGAAAAATATTAAATTTGGGAATATTAAAAATTTTTTTTTAATTTTAGAAGCTTTTGGGGATTAAAAAATAATTTTTGTATTTTTTTCAAAATATTTTTATTAAATTTTTCAATTTTTTTCTTTTTTTGTTCTTCGCAATACTTTCTCATTTACTTAACTAATTAGTAATACATATTTATTTAAATAAATTTTTTATCAAAAAAATACTTTTGTTTAGCAAACTTTAATCGTTTATAGATGAATTTAAAATAAATAAAAACTTTTTTTGCATAAAATACAGGGTGTTTCAACTAAGAAATACTATTTGAAAAATCCATAACTTTTTTCTGCGTTGACAGATTTTAATGAAATTTGGTATTTTATATCTATATTTTCTAGCATTTTTTTTGACATAAAAATTTTTTCGAAATTCGAACCCTAACCCTGTATTTCAATTTCGTACTCTACCGTTCTCTTTTTTTCTCTTCGCATTGCATGCTATCTTACTTCATTTATTTTCCTGCGTATGGCGAAGAGTGGATACTGTATTGAAAATGTAGTGGCTATCGCCTAGTGTGTACTCTAGTGTCTGTCTCCCCTTACAACAAATAAAGGGAAGTAAGAATGCATGTGCGGAAAAAGGGAAAAACAGAACGGTAGAGTACGAAATTATCTCGGGGTAGGGTTCGAATTCAGACATAATTTTTATGTCAGAAAAAATGCTATAAGATATAGATATAAAATACAAAATATCTATAAAATCTATCAACTTAGTAAAAAGTTATAGATTTTTCAAATAGTATTTCTTAGTTGAAACACCCTGTATATCACATTTTTTGGTTAAATAAACCTGCCTGACCTTATTTATTTTTATTAAAATACCCCCACGAGGTTTTTTATTAGAAAAATAATGTTTTTCTATATTTTTAAGGAAGTTTTAATAAAAACTTTTTTTATTATAATTTTTATTTAATATTTTTGAAGTAAACAAAAATTAATCCGTTTTTTTGTCAAAAGTTTATTTTATGGCAGAGTTAATCAGTCTAGGTAGGGTATATTTGGGCGCGGAACTTTTTTTTGTTGATAATTTAAAAATAATGAAATATTTTGTTTGGTTTTAAAAGAGACTTTTGGGGGTTCCCTAAAAAATATTTTTTTATTTTTTGGGTCAAAAATTGTAAGCGAAAAAAGCAAATTTTTGGGAATTGTTAATTTATATACCTCTTCAATTATAAAATTTATGAAATATTAAACCTAAATTTGTAGAATTAACTCTCCTATTGAGAATATTTATGCAAAGTTGTTCACTAACTCTAGACTCTCAATTCATATCTCTAAAAAAACTAGAATTTCACAATTTTAGTTTATTTTTTTTTGATTATCTACAACTCTCCACACAAACTCAATCAACGCCCAAAAACAAAATTTTGTTTAAATCAAAAATACAAAACCGAGTCACATTTTTTTATTTAAAAAAGGATTTTAATATTTAATAAATAAATAAATATATTTGCGTCAATGGATCCACGAAACACCTTCTCACTCCCCTCTAAACAATAAAATATATTTAATACTTTTTGGGGATGTGACAGTTTTTACTTATAAATATTCTCTTTCTTCTTTCAACTTTCATTTTTGGCCAATTTTATTATTTAAAAAAATTAAAAAAATAGTACATTTTAGTTTTTTCTTGTTAGGGTCAAGAATTTAGAGAGACTTTTAAATCCTATTTTATGGACGAGAAATGTTCTTTCTCTCCAATTTTTTTATTTCAAATAAAAAAATAAAAATTATTTTTTGTTCATAAATAACAAGTTAATCCATTTTACTTAAAAATTTTATGTTTATTTACTTCCTTTATCAGGCATTTTAAAGGAATGGTAAAAAATAATTTATTTGTATATAAAGTCGACTCTCGAATTCAAATTTTGAAAATTCACTTATTAAGAGGTCCCTCCTTCACAATTTCTAATAAAATAAAAATTTTTGTTTTAAGTAAAATATTTTAAATATTATTTTAGAAACTTTTAGAGTGCCCTTAATTTTCTATATTACTTTAAATTATTGTAACTTTAATTTAGTCCTCCTCTCTCTCATCTTATAACACTTTCTCGCTTAATACAAAATTTCCAAAACAGGTTTTAATAAATTTAATTTTTAAAATCCTTTTAATTAAAAACAAAAATTAAGAAAAAGAAGTGTATCATAAGGCGATAAACCGTAATTAATTTTATGGGCGGGGAGAGTTTTTCTTTTCCTTCTTTTTTAGTAATTTAAAAGTGTGAGTGTTTGTGTTTTAATTTTTAAATTACTGTTATTTTATTTTTATTTTTATTGTCTGATCTCGATTTTTTAAATATGAGGATATATAGTTGAATGTATAAACGTGAAATTGAGGTTAGATTAAGTACATTTAAATTATAGAACGATAATAATTAATAATTAATAAATGATTAACGAAGAAAATACTCAAAACTGTATTTCTGTTATAATACAAGATGAAAGTTTAAAAAATATTAAAAAAGAAATTTATTGTCCACCAATGATTAATGAACAAAATGAGGAAGTAAGGGTAGGAAATGGATGTTTGGAAGGGATGGATCCTGTTACTGGGTAATTTTATATTTTTTGGATTTAAATATTTTTGGAAATATTTTGGTGGGTATAAAAAAAGTAGGTTGACTCGAAACTTGGCCCAAAAAGAAATAAATATAACTGGTCCAAATCGACAATATTAAGGCTCTAAAGATTATTTCGAACGCCAACTAGAGCCAAAATAGCAACTACAATTCATTAAATTGTTCCTTAATATAAACTTTTATTGGCTTTAAAATTCGCCCTTCATGTGTCACCTTTAATTATATTTTAATAAAATATTTTAAAAATTATAATTTAATTTTTTTAGTAACTGTATTCGAATTCCAAAAGATTTAAAAGAAAAGAAAATTGAAACAAAACAACAACAACATCAAAAACAATTTTTAGATGTAAATTTATTAGAAAAAGGAGAAAGTATTAGAAGTAATAAAAGTAGTGGAAGTAGTCAATCAAGTAGTAGAGAAGGAGGGGGAGGGAATAAACAAAATACTGTATGTAATTAATTAATTAATTTTGAATTAAAAATTTATTTTTAAAAAAGTGGTCTAATCGTTTAGTACATACTTTGAGTAATAGAAATAGATCTGAAACTAGTGGAGGTGGTGGAGGAGGTGGTGGTGGTGGAGGAGATACTTCTTATGGAGGTTCTATAATTGGTGATGATGATGAATGGGAGGATGAAGGGGCTGATAATTGTATTTTTGGACATCAGGTAAATTTGAAAAATATTTTTTTATTTTATTTTTCCTCCTAATCCCCCCTCCCTCTAAAAAATCCTCAGTTAAATTGGGAAGAAGCTAATAATTACAATTCTTTATTTGGTTTAATCCTTTACCTTTAACAAGATCCAAATTATCTTTTTGTTAAGTAAAAACAAAAAGTAAAGACATCAAGTCTTATATCTAAATTATTAAATTAAAAATAAAAATAACTCTCAGGTTCAGAGAAAATAAATTCATTATTTGTAAAACAACACCTAAACAATTTTTTTTATAAAAAACGGCCACTAATTGTCAGAATATTTAAATTTATTTAATTTTTATTAAAATTAAAGATTCGTTTTACAATAATGGTTATATCAACACTTTGTTTGTCTTCAATTTTGTCAAATATTTTAACATTTAATTTCACGTAATTTATTTTTAAATTTCTTTTTATTTCTAAATAAATTTAAAGTTATATTTGTATGGCTGGTGTTCGTCCAGATAATTTAAGTCAAATAAATAGTAATTTAAACTGCTAACTAAAAATAATTTTAATTTTAAAAAAGTTTCCTCCACAAATTATGACGAAGATTTGGATTATTCTAGTGCAGAAAGAACAGCTTTATTTATGGCTGTAGCTGTTGGTGCTTTACTTGCTGTATTTCCTTTAACTATTTTGCTTGGAAAATTTGGGTCTAGAATTGTTTTTGGATGTCTTGGGTATATGAGTGCTTTATCTACGCTTTTGGTAATTATTAAATAAAAATCCCTCTCATTTATTTATTTAAGATACCTATAGCTGCAGTTAACGGCTTCCCTTATATTCTTGCTATGAGAATAGTTCAGGGTAAATTTAAATTTATTTAATTAAAAATAATTTTTAAAAGGCGCTGCTTTTTCTGCCTGTCTCCCGGTGATGGGTTCAATCACCTCACATTGGTCTACTCTAAAACAGAATGGAATATTTATTGCTATATTATCTAGTTTTTTACAGGTAAATTTAAAAAATAGATAAATATTGAAATAATTTGTTTGAGAGTTTTTATTGTTAATGTATCTAGTTGTAGAATTAATTATAGTATAATTTTCGATATACGAACAATAGTCTCGAAAAAAAATATAATTTGGCTTCCATATTAACGTGTATAAAGTAAAACATTAACTGAAATCTACTCTTTGTTTAAGAGTATTTAATATACCTACTAATTTAATTTAAATTAAAGATAGCGCCATTATTTACCATGCCTTTAGCTGGTGAATTATGTACATCTTCTGTTGGTTGGCCAGCTGTATATTATTTACATGGACTTGTTTCTATAATACTTTTTACTTTATTTATGCTGGTTAATTTTAAACGGAATTTTTTTTTTAAAAATATTTTTTTCTTTTAAAGTATCACAGAAATTACCCCCATGACCATCCAATGGTTAGCAGAACAGAATTAGTTAAAGTTATGTTTAATAAAGGAGGATCTATTTACTCTGGACCTGGAAAACAACACAAAAAATCTCCAAAAGTTCCTTATAAAGCAATGTATAGCGATATGGCTATTTGGGCTATTTTAGTAAATTTTTGAATGATTTTTTGTTTTTTTTTTATTTTTTAGGTTGCTTCATTCGGTAATTTTATGGGAACACAATTATCACTTCAATTTATGCCTACATATATTAATAAGGTAATTAATTTAATTTAAAAATTAAAAATACTTTCTAAATTCTAACTTTCTCTCTCTATTAACACTTTAAGGATAATTCACCAAGAGCATTTAAAATACTTAGGCAGAGGTTAAACGATCTAAAAACGAAAAAGAAAAGCATTAGCCGATGCCCCGGTAGCTCAGCGGAGCTCCTGTATGTGGTGAGCGAAAGCGCCTAGCAATGACTGCCAGAGGGCAGGTCCTGCCCGGTGACTAAACTTTTGCTAAACTCTTTACATTTTTTCGAATAATTGGTGTTTTCCCTCGATTAATTACCCCCAAATTAATTTTATAGTTATCATTTTTTTATTACTATTCTAACTCAAAATTAAAACAATTCAAAGAAAAATATTCTTTAAGGTTTTGGAATTACCAATAAGCCAAACGGGAATGGCTTCAGCCGTTTCTCCAGCAATTATGTTTTTTATAAAACTTGTTGCTGGTCAAAGTTCTGACAAAATAAAGTTTTTATTTATTTAGAATAAATATTTTTAATTAATTTTTAAAGATTTATAAGTGATGCAGCCAAATTAAGACTTTATAATACATTATCTTTGTCTGCAATGGGGGTTCTTTTTTGTATTTTGGCTGTTTTGGATCCAAGAGAAAATCCTTCCATTTGTTTGGTGATTTTTTTAATTAAAAATGAAATAGAAAAGTTTAGATGAAAGATTCCTTTTATTGCCCCGTATTTACATGATTAATTGCCTTTCCTCGATTAATTAATAATTATTCCTTCAGTGAAAAATTTATCAAGAGTAATTAACTAAGTAGAAACATACTAGAGATCGGCCTGAGTCTGGATTTTTCCTGAACTACAGGCCCAGGATCAGGCCCAGATCAATAAATCAAACCCAGGAACAGGCTTTTCAAAATTCCGATTAGTAAATATGTATTTATAATAAGAAATAAATTAAAAATTTGTCTTATCAAGAAATTATAAAATTTAGCAAGACCCTTAAAAATAATTAAAATATTAAAGATTGTTTTAATTGCCTCTACTTGTATTCTTGGTTTTAATTCTGGTGGTTTCTTTAAATCTTCTCAAATTGTTTCTAGACAACATTCTCATTTTACTTTGGTTATTTATTAAAATATATTTTTAAATTTAATTAATTTTAAGGCAAATATTTCATTTTTAAATTGTGTTTGTATGTTAATTGTTCCTTTACTTAATGAAGTTATTGCACCCGAGAATGAACCTCGTAGATTTTAATTTTTATTTAAAATTATTTTAAATTTTCAAAAAAAAAAAGATGATTGGGCAAAAGTTTTATTTATTCACGGAATTATTTTAAATTTATCAAATGCCTTCTTTTGTATTTTTGCCTCAGCAAAGCCAGCTTCATGGACATTAGACACATTTAATGGTAAAAATAAAAGAATTGCCGCAGCTATTGAACAACGAAGAAAGCGAAAAGAAAAAGAATCTGGGGGAGAAAAACGTGGACGTTGGAATAATAAAAGGGGTATTTTTAAAATAATTTATTAAATAAAAAAAATAATTTTTTTAGGTATAATTTCACCAATTGATTCAAAAAATAATAAAAAGAGAATAAATACAATAAAAATAAAAAGTGTAGAATTACCGAGTGTTTATTAAATGTATAAAGTACCTAAATTATATGTAAATATTTTAAAAAGAAATCTATTACGAGATATTTTTTACAGATTTGGTAATGGATAGGATAATTTCAGAATGCCTGCGGGTATCCGTCGTAAATATCCGGACACAGATAGCAAAATCCCATGTCCATTGCCAAGTCTAATTTTTCCCTTTTTTCAACCATGTACATACATATATTTACAAATATTCTATATTTATATAAATATATACATAGTATTTCATTTTTAATACTTAAAATAAATTTTTATATATTATTGTTTTCTAATTTGAAAAATTATTTCTTTTATAAATAAAATTTACCTATTTAAAATATAAATTATTACAAAAATAACAAAACAAAATTTAAATATTTACTTTACAAATTCAGATGATTTTAACAATTTTAAATAAGACCATTGGACTTCTCGTTCCAAATTTCCCAACTCGCCCAAAATGCCTTTTAGCTCCACTGCGTGACCAAATTGTGGACCACCTCAAAAATAAAAATATTTCTTTAATCATCTTAAATTAACCTTCATTTGTTCTCTTAGCACCATATACAACTTTTCCATCATATTCATCAATTGGAACAGCCATATCTGGACCCACTCGATTAATTGTAACACCCAAATGTTCTTCGATTTCGCCCAAATACTTGGAAAATTTTTTTATCAAATTTATACTTAAAATAAATAAACTAACGTTAATCTCGTCAAACCATTTTGCACAACCTCCTTGTGTTACAAGTCGAGTATTAGAGCAATTAGCTCCTCTGCTCTTACATTGATGATACCAAACTTTCTCAGGAAATGAAGAAACGAGTGAAATAGCCAACCCCATTCTGAATTTTTGTAAATTAACAAAAGAAGTTTTTAAATGACATGGATCATATTCATCAATGAATATGTGTGTCGCGAAGCGACTAAAGATGAGGAAAATAAAATAAATATATTTTAATTTATTTCTAAATTAATCATCACTTTTTGCAAATTCCTTTTTCGGACTTTCACCTGGCTAAAAATCATTTTTTGCTGTAAACATCTATTCAAACTCTATTTACATTTTTAGTCCTTTTGTTCTAAAACTCAACTTTATTTTCCACTCTTTTGTATTATTCAAAATATGTGCATTTTTATTTAATCGTTCCTATTATGCCTTTTAATGATCGAAATATTTTTCTGTCTACCCGCCTATTTTTCTGGCCTATATAATCTCCCCTTCCAAACCCCAATTAGCTTTGGTTTTGGCTTTCTCATTAGCTCATTCTCTGTTGGCTTTATTCTGTTCTGGTTCTGTGGCTCCTGTTCCTATTTGTGGCCTTATCATTAATTTACTTGTTGGATTTTAATTGTGTGAAATAAACTTATTACTATTTGTTTGGTTTTAATTTATTTGGTGGTCAAATCCCTCGGCCAACTGTGTTGGAATCTTTTGGCCTAATCCAAGCAAAAGCTTTTGCTGAATTAATTTGTTGGTACTAAACCCTTGGCCAATTGTGTTGGAATCTCTTGGCCTAACCCTGCCTTTTTTTTCGGAATAGTTTATTGGCTCTATTTGTTTGCTATAATGTGTTTCTATGATTATCAACCCATTTCTTTAATTCCAAACTCATTCAGATATTAATCTTGTGTTTTTAGCAGACGTTTAACAGCTTCAAACTCCTTTCCTAGCGGTAAAATGCAACTTGAGACTTGAGAGTTAAAGAAACTCTCATATCAGCTCAACGTCCCAAATTTTTAATTATAATTTTATCCAAACCTCTCAGCTCGACCAACACGCCCAATTCTATGTACATAATTTGCCTTTTCTTCAGCTGGCGGTAATGTAACATTAATAACTAAAAATTATTAGTACTTTATTTATTACATTTACAGAATTTATATTGTTTATTGTTAGGTATCCCTTTTTAAATGCCTTTTCACTCATCACAAAAACCCGAGGCAAACAAGAATAATCTATACAATAAATATGTGTAAGATGAGATGAGTGAGGTCAAATGTGTAAGATGAGTGAGGTCAAAATGGAACATTTATAAAAAGGGATAAATAAACAATACAAGTTTCATTCTAACCAAAAGGTATTCCAGTTACATCCAATCCACGAGCAGCAACATCTGTACAAATCAAAAATTTGACTTTCTTTTCCTATAAATGTAATTTTTTAAATTTTATTTTTCAATCGAACCTTAAATAATTTCAAATTCCGAGTCCTTTCATCTGGTGATCTATCACCATGCAAACAAACACAAGGATAACCTTAAATTAAGATTTTAATTCGAAGCGAAAATTGAAAATATCAATTAGTTTTTAGTGATTTTTAGATCAATTAGTTTTTAGAAAGAGAGAAAATTCGGCAGCAAAAAATGAATAACATAAATTTATCAAAATTTGATAAGTAACAAAAAAACCTCTCGGTGCCAGAAATTTTTCCATATTATCACAGTCAAGTTTTGTACGGCAGAATATAATGCATTGATCCATTTTGTGAGCATTTATGGCACGCAGAACATATTCCGCTTTCAAAACTTTTACACCTTCAGATAAGGTCTCAGGAGCATCCGTGCCTGGACGAATTTGGTCATTTATGTGGATTCCATCCGTTTGGATTGATTTATTTGGCTGAGAACGCAGTCGAATCCAACTTTTATCTTCTTTTGGATCGATCATACAAACAACCTAAAGAAATACTATTACTTTTGAAAAATTAGTGAAAAATTCTGTTAAAATTTTCAAGAACGTTGTAAAATTCAGACCTGATGAACAGTTTCTGGAACACTGTCCTGCCCTTTTAAATCAATCCATTGGGGGAAATACATATATTGAGCCTAAAATAAATTTTTTAAACAAATAGAAATTTAAAATAATACAGCTAATTTTTGAACGGCCATGTTGTGTAATGTTGCTGAACATACAATCATTTGAAGACGTTGACCTGAAGGTCCGTATTTTGGAATTTGGCTGTGTAATTCGAAGATTATTTGTGACGAATCCCCTTGACCTCCAAGAAGAGAATCAGCCTCATCAAGGACAAAAAATCGAATCTAATTGTAAGAATAAATTATTTAAAAATTAGAAACATTAATTACATGAGAAAGGTCCACGCGCCCCTCCTGAACCAAAGAACGTATTCTGCCAGGTGTACACGTCAATATATCACAACCAGAATTGATTAAAGCCATTTGTTCTCCCATACTTATTCCACTTACAACAGGTACATTTCTAAAAAGAAAAGACTTAAAAAATTATCGAAAGTTAAAAATTACTTTATTTTCGGGTTGTCTAAATATTTCATAAATTTATTTATTTGCGTATATGTTTGTTGCGCTAATTCTTTTGTAGGTTCAACAACAAGGCAAAGTGGTTGATTTGGCTTTCTTTTTTCTACTTGTTCTGATGTGTCATGGTGTTTACTTTCTGATGGTGATTCTACTTGAAATGCAGGCACGGCTCGGCAAAGAGCAATAAAATCCTTAAATAAAATATTTTAAAAAGTAACTATAATGAGTTGATGAATCAATAAATACTCACTCCCTTTGGTGGAAAGCGGAAAGAAGTCTGGCCAAAATTAAGCCGAAGGCGAGCGTTCTAAAAATGTATTGAGAATTGAATTGGCTCATATCGACAAAAAAATTTAAACCTTAATCACAACTGCAGGAAATAGACCTGCCTTCACAAATTCGCCTCTTAATGAATAGGCAGAGGGGAATTCTTTGCCATTTTTAGCCCAATGAATACGACCAACTTCCAAATCAAGATAACAGCCAATTACATCATTCAAAGTAAAACTTTCACCATAATCATCAAATTTGCCAGCATTGCTCTTTTTTCCAGTTCCACCAAACCCAAAACCTTGGTCATCAGTTCCTAAACTTATAATGTTATCTAAAAAGTTTTCATATAAAAATCACCTAAATTTAAATTTGCACGGAAAGTTGCCCAACCCATACGGCAAAGCCCATCACTTTCAATAATAGCTTCGTAGTAATATTTACCTAAAATTAAAAATCAATTAAACTCCCAATATAAAAGATACCAGAGCATTTAACACCTCTCATCGCTCTTACACCACTCCATAATTTAGGATGATTGCTTTCACAAATTAGACCAGTTTGATCAACACCAAGGTTGTGATCTCTGTCGTGAATGCTCATCCTCCAATTGTCTAATTTAATAAAATGGTAAATCAAAAGATTTGAGGTTGAGAAAGTGATAAGTCAACTGAAGAAAGTCTAAATAACCTTGCGCTCCTTGTATGTCATGTTTAGCTTTAGAGATTTTAGGTTGCATTGATTCATAGACAATTTGTAAAATCTAAAATATCAATGGCTTAAACAAATAAATAAAACAAACCGGAACACAAAATGCACCAGTTTTGCCACTCCCAGTTTCAGCAGCCTAAAAATGAAGGAAGAATTTAATAGGAAGAATTTAAATATAAAAAAATAAAATAAACAAACCATACAAGCATCGCCACCGCCAAGAATTGCAGGAATTGCCTCAGATTGAATGTCTGTAGGAAGACTGAAAAAGAAAAGTGTTTAAAGTTTAAGAATTTATATAAATAATTACGTCCAATCTAATTCATCCAGAGCTTTTCCAATTTCAGGAAGAACACCTAGCTCTTCAAATGCTGTCATAGATGATCAATAAAATGAATAAATTATATCTAATTTTAAATTTAATTTTAAAAAACGAAAAAAAAACCGAAACAATAGAAAAAGCTCGGAACAAAAGAAGCTCAAAAGCTATTGTCGGACTTTTTAAATATTGACCTTTTGTCTTTCGATATTTCGTAAAATTCACATAGAAATGTCAAAATAGAAAACCCACTAAATGCCAATTAATAATTTGGCCATCGGCCACTTGATCAGCGAGGAACGGAAACCGCGCCATGCGGTTTGCGTATTTTTGTGTTTAAAATTGACTTTTTTATTTTCCTGCATTGTGTTTTGTTGTTTTTTTTATGTTTTTTCTCTTTTTCCTTCCGGGGCCTTTCAAATAAAATTTCGTTTTATTTTTCAATTTTTAATTTGGCTAATTAGTGATTTTATTCCTTTTGTATGTCAATAAAACCTTTTACTATTATTTGGTTGCCATGGGTCTAATGTACTTTTAATCCTCTTTAATTTGTTTGTTTATTAATTGTGTGGTGTTAATAATCCAATCTTTTCTTTCTTTTTAGTGTTTCTCACGTCCTACACGAATTAATCAAGGGAAAAGCCAACATATAAGGAGAAGCAAAAATAATTATGAAGCATTCTTCCTCTTCATTGGCTAGTAATAATATCAGCAGTATAAAGGCATGTTTTATTTTATTAATTTATTTAGACGTTTCTCTTATTATTAAACACGTGGAATTTTAATAAAAAGGAAAGGACATTTAATTAATTGTCGTAAAGTAATAAATTTATTATTTTAAGTGCTCTAAAAATTAATTTTCTGATCATCTTTATTCTATCTTTTTTAGTATTCTCCCCCTCCTTTATTTTAAAAATTTAAATTTTTATAACGTCCATTTTTAGGATAATTGCCATCGAAATCAACGGAGTATGAGTCTAGGCGGCCCTGCGCATGAATCATTGCTTTCCAAGCCTCATTCTCAACAACCTGCACAGACAATTGAATTGAGTCGTGGCGAGAGTGGTATTTTTAATATTTTGTTTCTCAAAAAAGTTTGTTAAGGTGATTATATTGTTCTCGTTGTGGAGAATAGCCGTTTTATTGTCAACCCAGCTCGTCTGATTGCTAAATCAGATACTATGCTTGGTCGAATGTTTGCCATGCGAGCACGAAATGCAGGAGGTATGTTATTTTTTGGAAATTATAAAAAATCTTTCAAGCCTCCAATGTTTCTGTCATGTCAAATAACGGTTGCAATGATGTTGTGAACGGTATACTCGATCTTGTCAGACCTAACGACCAAAACGAATATGACGTGGCTGAGGGTATTTCGGCACCATGTTTTCGAGTTATAATGGTATTCATCTTTGGACTTACTGAAATTTTTCCTGAAAAATAAAAATCCTTATTTTTAACTCCTTATTTTACTAGGATTACTATCATCGAGGGATAATGAATTGTCCACCTGTTGTTTCTGTCTCTGAATTACGAGAGGTTTTCTTTGTTCTCTCTTTAATTTTTTTTATTTTTTAGGCCTGTGATTATCTAATGGTGCCCTTTAATGTGAATACTGTTAAATGTCAAGACTTACGTTCACTTCTACATGAAATTAGCAACGAAGGAGCGCGGGGACAATTTAATGTCTTTTTGGAGGAAGTATGTATTTTCGGAATACTCCTAATCTGTTTCGAACCATATTGCTGCTTTAAATAATCATGAAAAACAGAATGGGCTCTACCTTGGAATTTCTTAATTTAAATTAATTCTAATAATTTTTCAGATAATTTTGCCCCAGTTAGTGATTGCTGCAGAGAGGGGTGAACGAGAATGCCATATTGTTGTTTTAATGGATGAAGATGTGGTTGATTGGGATGAGGTATTATTGATTAGAATATTTCCTACTAAAATACGAATTACCATATTTTTTTAAATAACAGTCGCTATTTTTTAAAAAGAAGAGAGATGCATACATTCTTTTTTGGGATTATTTTTTTTAATTTCAGGAGTATCCACCTCAAATTGGTGGTGAAGATGTTCCACAAGTTGTCTACAGGTTCTAATATTTTTTAAAAACTATTCATTTCCACACTTTAAGTACTCCTTTATATAAATTCTTCAAATATGCTGAGAATCGTGATGTTGCAAAGCAAGTATTAAAAGACCGAGAAATGAAGAAAATTCGTCTTGGAATGGAAGGATATCCAACACACAAAGAACGAATTAAAAGGCGTTTTAACCGGACAGAAGTTATGTACAATTATGTCCAGAGACCTTGTAAATTATTTTTTGAATAATTTAAATATTTTTTCTATTTAGTTTTGCATTCATCTTGGGAAAAGGAAGAAGCCCGTTCACGACATGTTGATTTTGCTTGTCCTATTGTAAAAAGCAAGTCAAATCCAAGTTTGGCGTCTGCTGCTTCAGACCCGTTGCCTCAGGTTTTTTTATTTTTTTCTTCTTCTAAATCATATCCTCCGTTGTGCAAAAAAATATTTTTAGAAATTTGTTTTTATTTTTAGCCTGCTCCTTTACAAAATAACAATAATGGAAATAATGACCAACATTTTCATCATCATTATAACGAGCAACACAATCATCAACAAGTTCATATTCTTCATAATAACCAACAACACGAACAAAGAATCCATGATAGAGAGCAGATAAATGAACAACTTCAGCCTTCATCTTCATATCAGAATAATAATAATCAGTCTAATCAAGATGAACAACAAAAAACTAATAATTTGCTTGTAGCTGTGTCTAATATGCATCTGGGTGTTGGAGGACAGGTTTTTAAGAGAAATTAAGAAAATTTGAAATTTTTGGATTATCGTATAGTAGGAAATAGGCAATTTTGTGACTAGTCCGAAAAAAATTTTTCATGCGTCGCTAAAAGAGTAGAATCCTAGCTCCTTGGATATTTGAAAATTTGTAAGATGCTAAAGGCAAATAGTAAGGAATTTGAGTGAGAAAAAAATGTTGGATAATTTACTATCACTCAAAATATTTCTAAAATAAATTTATTCACAGCGCCAATCTTTACGTTCACCTCCCGCCCAAATTGTGCCATCAGATCTCTTGGAACAGCAAAATACTGATGAGGGTAACAGCAGTCAGAATGAATAAAACATTAAAATAATAGAATATGTATAACAATGTATTTGAGTAAATTTTGACTATATACATTTATTTTTCCCTATTAAAATGCCAATTTTAAAAATTGTTTGAAAATAAATATTTGTGGAAAGATAATTATGAATAAGATTTTTGTAAATTAAACAAATCTATATATTTTTCTATTTAAAATGATTTTTCTTGATTTCTGAATTTTACTCAAAAATTAAATTTTTCATCAAATAAAGTCAAAGGAGGAAATAATATTTTTATTTCCGAATTTTCCGAGAAAAAAGAAAGTAAACAATGATAGACGTATAATAGACATACACGTGTACTTAAAACTAGACAAAAATTAGTTGAGGAAAATATATAATATTTTGCCTTGCTTTTTATTTTTACAAATTTTGTTGTGAAAAATTAATACAAAAATTATTTTAATTTTTAGATGTTATTTGGAAATATTATTTTCTTAATTTCAATTATTTTTTGCTCTTTTCTCTTATTCTGCTGTAAGGCGGATAAGCCAAAAGACGATGTGCCAGATAAGAAGGTTAAAGCTTCAAAGGAGAGAGAGGCTACCGAGAAGCCAAAAGGCCCAAAAGTGACGGATAAGGTTGGAATTTTGATTTAAATTTTTTATTCTCTTTTCAATTTTGACTAGCTAAATATAGTCAATTTTCGGTAATGAAATTCAGAATCAAACTTATAAATCAATTTTGGGCAGTTAATATAGGATTCATTTATGGGATACAAACTGGACGATAACCAAAAAACCCAAAGCCAGCACCGATTTTCAAGACTAAAATTTTTCGGGTGATTTAGGTTATTTAAATTGTTTGTTTAGGTCTTTTTTGAGATAGAAATTGGTGGTAAACCTGTTGGACGCATTGAAATTGGACTTTTTGGGAAGACTGTGCCCAAAACTGTTGAAAACTTTATTGAATTGTCTAAACGAAAGAAAGGGGTAAAATGTTTTAAAATTTTCCAGAAATTTATTTTAAAAATTTTAGGAAGGATTTACTGGAAGTATTTTCCATCGCGTTATTAAGGACTTTATGATCCAGGGAGGCGATTTCACTAGAGGAGATGGAACTGGTGGAAGGTCTATTTTTGGCGAAAAGTTTGCTGATGAAAATTTTAAATTGAAGCATTATGGAGCTGGATGGGTTAGTTTCTTTTTTAAATTTTTATATGGATTGAACCAGGGATAAGGTCAAAATGGGATATGGGTTTCATCAAATTGGAAAATCTGGGATTTAAAATTCAAAATTTCCAAATATTTTCAAAATTATTTTCCTTTTTAGTTAAGCATGGCAAATTCTGGAAAGGATACAAATGGTTCTCAATTTTTTATTACCTGCAAAAAAACTTCATGGCTTGATGGAAAACATGTTGTTTTTGGAAAGGTTGATTTTTAAATAGAAAATTTTTGTAATTCAGAAAATTAAAAGGTTGTTTCTGGTATGGATGTTGTTCGCCGTATTGAAAGTACTCCAACTCTTTCTGGTGATAGGCCAGAAAAGGAAGTTGTTATTGCCTCCTGTGGACACATTCCAGTGGATAAAATGTTTTCGGTAGATAAAGAAGATGCAAAGGATGAATTGTAAAAAAAGGAGAAAATTATTTTTTGACGGAGAAATTTTTTGGGCAATTTTTCTTTAGGGTCTTATGTATTTTAAGTCGGAATATTTCGACTTCCTTTATTTCCTCTTGTTAATTTATATTTATTTTCCTTTTGGCTATTAAATTAATCTAATTATTCGAGTATATTTGTAGATTTAAAAGTTAAATGAAATTAATATCAGAATTTTGTGGGAATTTTAAATTTCCATAACTGAGTGAAACACTCGGTAATCGTGAAGAATTGGGGATACACTTTTAGAAACCTTAAAAATTATTATTTTTTTTCTGAAAATCATTTTATATAGGTAATCGACTATGCTGAACACGAATCCGATAAAAGATATTGTCAAATATGACATTTTATCTATGATTTCTTATCATGTACCTGATTTCCAGCTAAGATTCTGTTGGTCATAACTTTGTTCAGAATCATTCAATCGAGCTCATTTTTGTGCCATTCTACTCATCTCGAGAGCTCTTTCGAATGAGGGGTCATTTGTATAATCGAATTTTTTGACCCCAAAAATTTTCAGATTTCGGGGGTCTGTAACTCGGCCGAATGTCGTCGAATTTCGTTGATTTTGGTGTCGTTCGACTCAGCTTGAGGAGCTCTTTCGAATGAGCTATAATATGTATAATAGGATATTTTACCCCTAAATCGACCTTACTTCCCCCTATGGGTTTTCGATTTTCAGGGGCCTATATCTCTGCGAGTTTTCGCCCCCAGCAAAAAATTCTTGCATATTTGAACTCAGCATAGTCGATTACCTATATAAAATGATTTTCAGAAAAAATAATAATTTTTAAGGTTTTTAAAAGTGTATCCCCAATTCTTCACGATTACCAAACACTCAAAATCAAACTAGGTAGATAGATACAAAAACAGTACGAAACCAAACTCTCGTACCACAAAACTGTAGTTTATGGATTGAGACTTTTAATGCTCACTTTCAACGTCTTGCTCGTAGTTAATGTGTCAACTAAAGAAAATATTAAATTATATTTAATACCCCCTTTTCATTAACAAAAATTTTTTAAACAATTATTAAATGACACAGATGTTACTATTTTTAAAAGTTGATCCTTTTAAATTTTTAATAGAATTTCCGTTTTTTCTTTCAAAATCAAATACCTCTCCCCCTTCTTTTCTCAAAAGAATTCATTTCTATTCAATTAAGTTTAAAAAAGGCAACCGGAAAATTAAATGTCATAAAAAACAAAAAAGGAATTGCTCACCCCTATTTATAAAAAATATTTTTCTATAAATAGAAAAAAGAAAAAATGTTTTTAAATGTTTACTAGAAAAAAAATAATTTGTGTATAAAGTACATATCTAAAATCCAAATGTTTTAAAAAGGATAAAGAATGTGCTATACAAAAAAAATAAAATAGTTGGTTGTGGGTAAGGGATGGTGTTGTTTGTCAGAACAAAAAAATTGTTTATAATTTTAAAAGATAAAAAGGATTCTAGTAAAGTATACTTTTGGATTTTTCGAAAAATAATTTTAGAAAAACAGAATTCAAAAAATTACGAAAAATTATTTTAAAATTAAGGGTATACTTTAAGAATAAAAAAATAAAAAAAAATATTTTTTATATTTGTAGAATGTCAAGAGTAATTAAAATAGGTGTAGTGGATATTTAAGGATATTTATGTTTAGATAGATAGATAGAGAGGAGGAAGCTGTGCCTTATATATCAAAGAAAATATCATCTCCCAAGTTAGGCTTTCTTTAAAAGTTCTCCATGTTTAGATTGTATAAACCATTGCAAAAGTTGTTTTCGGATCAAGCCAATTTGGAAAACGATTTGGTGGAAGAACGGAGAAGCCAATACATCTAAAAAAGATGTAAAATTAAAAAGAATTTTTTATTAAGAATTACTTGAGAGCGCGTGGAATCCCCTCACGAGGGTCAATCTCCGATTTGTCAAAACAGGCCAAGACGCGTTTGACTTTAAGATGTTCTTCACAGTATTCAAGAAGATTGACAAAATGCTCACGCTTAAAAAGATTATTTATTTACACTTAACTACTCAAGACCTCTGATTTTTGGATTACTTACTCCTAAACATATCCCAACCAAATTTAGACATCCCCAAAAAACAAACCGATAAAGTGATGTCAAACAATTTAGATGGAATGAACAGAGCAATTGAGTTATTGGCCAAATGACAACACCATCCCTCACCAACACCTTTTACTATACGAGCAACAGCATCTCTATCTACATTTTCATCGTTAGGGCTGTCAGGAGCAACACGTGAGGCCGGGGCAGCCGGGACTGCAGCTGCAAAAAAATGTTTTTTTACAAAAAATTTAAAATTATTTAATTCGACAACTAACCTATTACTTAACGGCGTACTACTCATTATCGGTTTATTTGATAATATCGACATTTTATTTGTTAACTGATGAATTGTTTTTGAATAAGATAATAAATTCACTAAAATTAAAAAAATAAAGATTTGATGATTTTAAACAAAAAAAGGTGATAAATGCTAAAGGTTAAGCCCCAGACAATAAAATCTGGTAAAGAAAATACTTAACACATTAGTTAGAAAAACTCAAAAACTAATGATGTAAAATTTAATCATTTAACTCTATTTGTTCTCAGATTTACCCATTTATATTTTGAAATTTATTGACAATGAATGACGGAAAAGAAATGTTTGTAGTTGCTAGGGCAACGACTAAAAAGCTTTTTTTGACAAAAAGGACTAAGAAAAAATGATTATGAAAAAGTAAAAGAAATTTTTCTTAGTTACACTGGTGGAAAAAAGTATTGATCCCTATGTTTTTTTCTTCTTTCTTCTTTCATCTTTCATTCAAAAAATACGTTCTATATATCAATCGAAAGCTCTATCTGTATCTCAGTTGACATGTTTCTGCATTTTTCGAAATTCTGACATTTTCGAAAAATTTTCGACCGGTCTAACAGGTACTACTTTTTCAACTTTTCGGAGAAATTTTTTTGAGGTCTTTAAAAAATATATGTGATTCTCCTCTAGATTCTACATACAATACAAAAAAATCAACCAAATCGGTCGAGATTCAACCGAGTTATGAATTTTTGAAAATCGAAAAAACACGATTTTTTGACGAAAAATGGCAAAAATATGGTGTTTTTCCGATTTTCAAAAATTCATAACTCGGTTGAATCTCGGTCGATTTGGTTGATTTTTTTGTATTGTATGTAGAATCTAGAGGAGAATCACATATATTTTTTAAAGACCTCAAAAAAATTTCTCCGAAAAGTTGAAAAAGTAGTACCTGTTAGACCGGTCGAAAATTTTTCGAAAATGTCAGAATTTCGAAAAATGCAGAAACATGTCAACTGAGATACAGATAGAGCTTTCGATTGATATATAGAACGTATTTTTTGAATGAAAGATGAAAGAAGAAAGAAGAAAAAAACATAGGGATCAATACTTTTTTCCACCAGTGTATATTTACTAAATATTTCCTCGTCTCTATGGAATACTCCCCAAAGTCAATAAAGCAGTAGAACGCAAAAAGAGATGAAAGAAAAAGTGGAGATGGATGTTTGCGTGTCGGTACTTAATCACATGACTGACTAACTAAAATGATAAGAGTGAGTACAAAGTATTTTTTTTCGGAGGAACCTTCCCTCTAACAGCAGTTGTTGAAAGGAAAAAAATTTAGTAAATAAAATGCACGCAAGCATTGCATTCTTTCCAGTATTTTCGAAAGTTTTTATTGATTTTACTTGCTGACAAACAGAGCTGGGTCGCTCTATATCTCTAACGGCTGTCAAAAATGTGAAATTAGTGTCCAGACATAATGGTAAGGACAAAATGGTGCAATACAAAATGGTATTGTAGTAAAACGAGACAAATGATATACAGAAGTAGGGTTGGGGTTTTCGGATCGGGCCGACGTTCGAGTTGTTTTTTTCGGGCCTCGTTTTTATCGGGCTAGACCGATCGATCATTCGATCTGAGACGAATGGTACCGCTCTCTAGTCACAGAAATGATTATGACCAAGCGTCGGCCGTCGTTCCGCTTCGACATGCCTTGCTTCCTCCGCAGCGGCAAAAACTTTTTTCCGCGTTAGTTGGAGAAAGATAAAAATTAATAATTTTTTCAAAATAAAAAGGACGTTTTGTAGAGAAAGTTGTATGTGAAACAGAAGTTTGAGAGTTCATTACAGTATTACTTTAGGAAGATGAATTAAACAAATTTTGTCCTGAAGCATTCAAAATCGCAAAAAAAATTATTAAATACATAAACTTATAAATTAAAATTATTAAATAAAAAATTAGTAGTATTGAATTGCCATCTAATTTGCATCGGTGCTGGAATTGTGCTAATGTTATGGTAATTGCTAATATTAATGTTTTAGTAAATTTGTTGATTGTGATAACAGGAAATGTTTTACTATAAAAGCGTTGTCCTTAAACCTAATATACTCATCAGATTACTCACTCAGTCAACTTACTTCCTTGCTCGTGTCTTCAATTCAACATTGCTCAACGTGCTCAGCCATCTTCGTCTATGGAGGTGTTATCTAATCTGCTTCACGGCCTCGCAGAGGTATGTTTGCTTACTTTTTAAGCTTCCCTTAAAATATTTTTACATATTTAGGCAATTCAAATTGTCCAGCAACAGGTTGATCAAATCGTTGAACGGGAGCGGCGAGCAGAAGCTGAGCGGGAACGACGCGGAGGGGCAGAACCAGATGTGAATCCTACTCCATCTAGTAGCAGCAGTGAAGAGAGCAGAGAGGCGGCAACGGAGGCGGAGGCTGCAAGATCATTGTCATTGACCAGTGACAGTGATACCAATCAAACATCAGAAACCTCATCTGACGTAACTGTGCAAACCGCTTCCAGGACGGATTCTGACAGTACCCATGAACTGAGTGGAACTCGAGAAAACGCTGCTAAAGATCAGGAGGTAGGATAAGAATGTTTTTGTGTAGGTTTGAATAAAAAAATTTTCAGTTGGATCCTTACGAGGTTGATCAATTGCTCGAAGCTATGCGAAGTCAAAGTAGACTTTCTGTCCCTGGTCAGTTATATTTGACTAAAATTAAATTCGTAATTTTTTCCTTTTCTTTTTAGAGTCAGATTTGGTTTCCACACGTTCGGCTCGTGTTCGTTCGCCGCCACCGACTGGAGACGAGCACAGTACTGCAGCTGTGACAAGGACAGTCAGCGCCCTCGAGTGGGATGATGTCTCAACCGCTAGGGTTGCTCCAAGGTGAGAGAGTCTTTAATTATTGACACACGATTGCTAAAATGCACTAATTCTTTTAGCGAAGAAAACTTATTGGCTGGCGGTAATAGTCCTGCTTTGGTTGCTAATCCAGTCGGAACTGAAGTGCCTGAATTGCCTGCGAATAATGACGATATCCCAACGGCAATAGAAGCTGATAAATGAAGGAAGTATATATTCATAAACGATAATCTAAAAAGAATAACACCATTTATTGTAATAAAATCTTGTTGTAATAATGTATTTTGTATTTTCTTGTATTTCTTGAATGGGTCATTCGAGTAAATGATTTATTGTAGTGTTTTTGTTTGTTCTAAATAAAAAATATATTTTTTGTAATTGAATTTGATGAAATTAAAATTAAGAGTGCTTGTTAAAAATCGATAGTTTAAGGATTAAAGAATTTTTTCGAATGTATTGTTGAGTGTAATTTATATAAAATTTTTGAATACTTTTATGTAGTAAAATTAAATTATCTTGTTAATACTTTTAATTTTTCGATGTTATTTTCGTTTTATTAAATTTTTTGTAATCAATTTTTGTATCAATACACATTTGTTAAATTTCCCCATTATTTTAAGGAAATACAAATTTTTGAAAGTAATTTAAAATAATTACAATCTTTGAGATTATTATTAAGAAAATTTAAAGGATAAATTAGACGAATGGATTGTGGCTCAAAATTTATAGAGGTATTTTTTAGAGAAAATTTAATCTAAAGAAAATTTAATTTTAAAAGGATTTGATTGAAAATAAATTGGAACATTTTTATTATGATGATGCAAAACTTCTTGCTGAGGCTTATCATAATAGAGGTTTTTTGGAGGGGATGTTTTTACTAAAAAATGTTTTAATTATTTAGCTGATAATGAACGTTCACTTTTAGTTTTGGCACATTGCCTAACTCAAGCTAGAGGTTATGAAAGTGCTTATCATTTACTTAGAACTGTCAGCAATCCAACAGCTGGCGCAGCATTAAATACAGCCAAATGTAGATATTTGTTTGCTCATTGTGCTTTTATGTTGAACAGGTTATTCATTTATTATTAAAATTTTTGGAACTTGTTTGGCTTAAGTATGCTTATTTAGACACCACTTTTTCCAGCCCATATTAATCGAGGCAACAAAAGGATTCTGTTTTATCCCTAAATAGCCAAAACCGAACCTTTATTTTACTGGGTAATATATTTATTTTTTAGAGTTCAAGAAGCAGAACAAACATTGAGAGGAACTTCAGTTTCTGATCAATTACAATTACATCCATGTTTTACGGGTACAGTTACATTGCCATATGCACATTCTCTTTTGGCTCGAATTTTATGGTTAGAATTTCTTTCATCGAAAATATAATTTTTGTTTAGTGAAACTAATCGTGTTGAGTCAGCACGTACTCATTGGGCGCAAGCAATTCGGTTAAATCCATTACTTTGGTCTGCTGTTCGTTCATATTGTGATGTTGGAGGAGAAAAAATGGTCGAATTATTACAGGTTTTTTAAAAATAAATTCTAAATAAATTATTTATTTTAAGCCTTCTTTGGATGAGTTAGCAGAATGGAAATCTGCAAATAATATTATTGATGATTTAATTGAATCTAAAGAACAGGATAATATTGGAGAGCGTGGACAACGTTTGGCATCGAAAATAGCTAGTGGAAGAATTAAAAGCAGCTCTGCATCGTCAAAAAATATTTTTTATTTCTTTTAAATCATTTAATTTTTATTTTTAAGTGTTAATTCAAAAACTTTGTCGTCAGCCGCACCATCTTCACCTATTGGAAATCCAGCTGCTGCGCAAACGGCGGCAACAACAATAATTGAAAGGAGAAGGTTTTGATATATTTTCTATCGTTTTTTGGATATCCAAAGGAGGGTTTTGAAAAATAAAAGGATTTAGTCTGACCCTTCCAGATTTGCATATTTTACCTCATACATAACACGAATTTTCCAATTTTCTGATTTCAGAACACGGCTTCGTGCTGCTGACAACCGTCTCACAGCAGCAGCTGCAGCATCAATTGCCCTTCGTGCAAGTGAAAACTCTCCTCTTACACGATCTTCAAAATTGGTTGATTCTACTTCACCTGGATCTGGTGGTGGTTTGCTATTGATTGAACAACAAAAACAACAGGATGTTAGTTGTTTTAGATTTTTCTTATAAGTTAAAAAAATTTATTTAAACATTCTTCACTAAAATAAACGCAACTTACTACGATTGATGTCACTAACTCGTCAAATAATTTTTAAAATTCAAGGAAAAGGAGCAACTTTTACTTCAACAATTAAAACAACAAACAGTTGGGAAACGAATAACTCGAAGAACAGCAAATGCTACAGCAATAGCTGCTGTTTCTGCAACATCTCAAAAATTAAATCAGGACAACATTCAAATAAAATTTAATGAAAAATCTAAGGGAAACAAAATTTATTGTAAAAAATTAATTTTTTTTTAATTTTATAAAAATATTTAATTTAAAGATGAATTATTGGAATGGATAACACAATTGGCACGTGTTCAGGAATGTCTTTCTCGTTTTCGTTGTATTGAAGCAATTTCATTATTAAATAAAATTGATCCACAATTTTTGCAAATGCCTTTAACTTTGGAACTTCGAGCTAGAATATTTTTTGAAAATGGAGAATATAGACGATGTTGTCAAGTAAAATATAAATTTATTTTAATATTCTTTAAATTTTATTTTAAGATTTTTGATGAAATTCGACGTCTTTACCCTCGTCGTGTACAAGGAATGGAAATTTATAGCACAGCATTATGGCAAATGCATGACACTACAAAATTGTCAGCATTGGCGTCTGAAATGGCAGACGTGGCACGTGATCAACCAGAGACTTGGTGTATTGCAGGAAATTGTTTTAGTTTGGAAAAACAACATGAAACAGCAATTGGTTTGAAATTTGCTCAAAAATTATTTAAAAAAATAAATCTTTTAAAGAATGTTTGGAACGTTCTATACGTTTAAATCATCGTTTTGATTATGCTTATTCAATTTTGGGACATGAATTGATAGATATGAATGATTTGGTACGTGCAGAACAAGCATTCCGTAAAGCTATTGTTTATGCGCCAAATGATTATAGAGCTTGGTATGGATTGGGATTAGTTCACTTTAAGGTATTTTTTAATTTTTATGATAAAGAGGTATTAAAGATATTTTTTTAAATGAGTTAATTCTGAATAAAAGCTCGTAGATAACCTCTAAAGACGTCTTTTTTTATTCTTTGACCAGTCCTTTTGTCTATTCATAAAATTATGTTAAACCTTTTTTATTAACGATTGATTTGACATGTTAATAAAAAAACGAGCTTTTGATTCACAAATGGAAAATTCCAACGCTAGAATATTCTTAATAAATGCCCAGTTTTTCTGATTAAAATTTTTTTATTTTCTATTTTTCTTGATAGGAAGAGAAAATTCAACTTGCTCGTGTCAATTTACAACGTGCCGTTCAAATAAATCCTACAAATACCGTTTTACTTTGTCAATTAGCTGTTATTGAACAATCACTTCATTGTACTGATTTGGTAAGTTTTTTTCGAATTTTTAATTATATTTTTGTGTTAAAATAAAAAGGCTATGCAATATTTGGAACGTGCTCTAAAACAACAGCCAAATAATGTTGCTTGTCGTTTTCACAAGGCAAGACTTTTATTTGATACAGGATGTTATGAAGAAGCCAAAACAGAATTAGAAGAATTAAAAGTACTATCACCAGATGAGGCACATGTATTTTTCCTTTTGGGCCGAGTGAACAGAAAATTGGGAAATACACATTTGGCATTACTCAATTTTAGGTAAAATATTTTTAAATAAATTCTAAAAGGATTGGATGGTCTAGAAAGTTTTCTTTTTGTTTCCGATCCATAAAGTTGTTGGTAACATAAGAACCCGGAACAATAATAATCTCTGGTCGTATTTACCGTCATCGAAAGAGATTATTTTATTAAATGTACTAAAGGCTAATACGGCCATTTATTTCCTTACTAATATTTTCTGATTGGATTACTATTTCATTCTTTAAAAATCTAAAAAAATTTTAATTTTAGTATGGCAACTGAAATTGACCCACGTGGGGAGCAAAACCAATCAGTTTTAACTACAAATAAAGAGCCATATGATGATGAACCAATTTGAGTTTGTATGAAACTGAATTTGTGCAATATATTCAACTGACCTTTTTTGCCCCGAAAATTGACACAAATTTGAGTAATTTTTAAAATTAAATTTTGTGGGTTTTTGTTAAATTTAGATGGATTGGGTGTGTCTCATTTTGTGATTTTTTTGCTCACTAAACGCTTTCGCCAAAAATTTTCCCTTAAAATTTTTCAATTTTTAATCCAATTATTTTTTTATTTAATACAAAACTAAATGGATAGTTTAGAAAAAAAATTTTTTTTTAATATTTTACAAAAACTGTCCATTTTGTTTTTTTAAATCTTCTGGTCCCTTTTATTCTTGTTTATTTTTAAACTTTTTTTTCTTAGCAATTTTCACCAAGGAATTTATAATAAAAAAAGGTTTTCTTTTTTATTTTTGTTCATTAACTTGATAACGCTCTTTTTTGCGTACATATAATTCTATACCAACAATGAGAATCTAAAACTTAATTTTTTTAAATTTAAATTCAAAATTTACTGAAAGAAATAATCCTGTTGAGAGGATAACAAAAAGACCGGAAACATTTTGTAAATTCAATGAAATACGTTGTTGTTTTACTGAAGAGCCAACTCCGTGACAGGAAGCACCTCTGATTAATTTAAATAATTATTCTTTCATTAGGGATCTCTTTATCCATATCCGAACTATCCATATGTTAGGCTCTTTAGTCCATTTCCCTGTTACCCCGAGTTTCCAAAATATAGGGTAAGTAAGTAAAATTGTGAGACTTTATTTTACACAAGTCAAATAAAAAATACCTAATATAAACTTACTTTGATCGCCACCATTTTGTCTTTTTCATTTCAATAACACCACGTTTTTGATATAAAAGTATTTGTCTACTAATTCTATCAGTCCATTCTGAATCTTAACAATTAATAATTTTTTAAATAAATCTTATTTTCTTGTAAAAAACCTTTTTGTAAAGCAATTCCATACCCTTTAGAACCTAAAACACCCCCAATTTGTGTTAAATTACAATTTTGTTGTACTTCATATTCTAATGAACTTGATTCCATTAAAAATGCATAACGTTCTCTCAAAACTTTTTCTACACCTTCCCGGTTATTACGAACAAAAACTTTTTTTGTTTCTTTCATTCTTGCCCACATTTTGGCATGAGCGGCAATTTTTGATTCCTTTTTTTAATATTTTTTTTTAATTTTTATTTTCTCTACCTGAAAAAATTGCATAGTAGATCCTCCATTAATTGTTCCATAAGAAATATCGCTTTGATTAGCTAAATCATCAATATCCCTTATGGGAATGTGAGGGCGAGATACGGTCAAAACTGCTGCCAAATTAGCTGTATATGCACTAAAAATATTGGAAATATTTTTGAAAATTTAATTATTTTCCTGATTCCATTAACTTAAAAGAATCACCCATCTATTTAATATAATTTTATTTTCCTTCCAAAACCTTCATAATTTAAATTCAGTATTCCTAATTCTTAATTAAATCAAATCATTCCATTTATCCCAATTTCTAACTCCAATCTCTCCTTTTTTATTTACCTAACAATAACAAGAGTAAACATCCACCATGAAGCACCTAACAATCTAACAAATTAAAAGAAAAAATTAAAAATAATAATTTACAATTCTCACCTAGTAGATACAGCTCTAGGTCCAAAATCACAACCTCCTTTTAACATAGTACTTAATACATACCTTTTTAATTTAAATTTAAAAAATATTTGTTTAATTATTTAAATACCACAAAGTATTCCAAAAAGAATAATTATTAGACAATTCAACTTTTGTTGGAATATTTGTTCCAGAAGGGGAGGAATATTTTGCTGCAGGGTAAGGTTGGTGTGCAGTACAACAGGAGAAATTTAAATTCCATTCATTTGGTGTGGTATTTGCAACCGAAAAAATTAAATAAAAACATTATTTTGAATTGTTTTAATAAAATTCTGATTAATTCTGATGTTTTTATTTGTTTTTGTTTTTATTCTGATTAAATTCTGAAACAAAAACAAACAATATACATTCCAACAGTTAATCCACAAATTGAAAGTAAAACACAAAACCAAATTTCTAATGAAAGGGGATTAAGAAAAGAAAATATATCTGGTTGAAAATCTTCAGGAATTCGAAAGATAATACTTATACCAAGAGAAAGAAAAGGTTTAGTAAAATCAACCATCTCAGCTCGACGGAAATTTGCACTTTAAAAGAATAATTATTTTTTTAAATTGTATTTATTAAACGTTAATGGGGCAACAGCCATATCTGCTTCATTACGTATAATTTCACCTATCATTCCATCCCAAGAACCATTGCCATTATCACTACCATATTTGTTGTCGCGAACAACGTGAATTGTGTAGGTGAATCTTTAAAGGAAGTTTTGGTAATATGTTTGAATGTTTTCTGATTTGTTTGAATTAAATTCTGATGTGTTTTTATTAAATTCTGATTTGTTTTTATTAAATTCTGATTTGTTTTTATTTAATTCTGATTTGTTTTTATTAAATTCTGATTTGTTTTTATTAAATTCTGATTTGTTTTTATTAAATTCTGATTTGTTTTAATTAAATTCTAATTTGTTTTAATTAAATTCTGATTTGTTTTAATTAAATTCTGATTTGTTTTAATTAAATTCTATTTGTTTTAATTAAATTCTGATATTTTACCCCAAATCATTAGCCAATTCTTTCAACAAATCAATACAAAATCCTTCAAATTGTAATTGTTTTTGTTCAAAATTATTGTTTGTTTCCAAACTTTTCACCATAACATAAGGCCTTTCCAAAATTGTAGTAACGCGAAAATGTGGTTTTAATTCATCAGAAACTTTAACTCTTCGTTGTTGCTGTGCTCGTGATTCTGCTCTTAAATCTATTTTTGGAATATCATTTCCATATTGCCAATAACCAATCTTTTTTATTTTGATTAAAATTATTTTTTTTCTAAATTTTTTTCTAAAACCTTTTCAATAACCCCAGTATATCCAAGCATTAATATTTGAAAAGTAAAATTATTGTTTAAATTGTTATTAGAAGTTTTTTGTTCTCCACAAAGTCTGCTTTTAAGTGAACCACTTAATCCTCGAGTAATTAAAGAATATTCTCGCAATAATTTATTTATTCCCTTTATTAAATAAATTTTTTAAAAATTATTTATTTTTTTTACATTTCCGGCACTAAATTTTCTATTATTTTGTCTAGTAGCCCCAGCACATCTAGCCATAGTTAAATTATTATTAAATAAAAGGGAAGAAATTTGTTGTTGTTGACGTTGATTAAAATATTTTTTTCTGTTATTTAAATTTTTATTAAAAATATTTAAAGTTTCGTTTGACAAAGCTCTAGCCAATAAATATATTGAATCAAATAAAAGAATTGCTTCTGACTAAAAGGAGAAATGTTTTTAAAAAATTCTGATTTTTTTGAAAGACTTGTTTTTATTTTTTAATTAAATTCTGCTTTTATTCTGACTTTTAATTCTAATTAAATTCTGATTTTAAATTAATTAATTAAAACCATTTTAAGATTAATTTCTGCTTCATTAATTTTCATTTCACCTTCAATAACTGTATTTTTAGCTAACCAATGTAAACGAACAAATTCTTCAAATTCTTTTTTATTGGGTAATGGTAATATTAATTCTGATTTTTGGTCATCATTTTCTTTAATTTTTAAAAAATATTTAAATATTTTTTATTGAAAAGGGATTTGTTAAAATTTATATTTAATTAATTGATATTTAAGATTCTGACATCCTTATCACTTTTATTTATTTTTGAAAGTTAACCACCAGAAAAATCTGTTGGATCAAGGCCAATAAATCTAGCATTATTATGTCTAAATAATTCCATATTCATATAACGTAAATCTAAAGAAGTAGTTAAAAACCAGTGATGATGTTCTACTAAACCAACTTTTAAAGCCTTTTTTAATATAAAATTTGAAAAATAATTAAGATTTAACATACAGACAACAAAAAATTATGAGTATCTTTAGGGCTCATATCCAACAAAAGACGGCTAAATTCATTGCAATGTTGTTGAGGGGAATTGTTAGACCCACCATTTTGTTGGGCTAATTAAATAAATAGTTATTTGAAATTTTGTTTTCAGATTTTTAAAAATAGTTAAGGGCAAAGTAGAGGGGAAAAAAGGCCTTGCGAAAAATACATTATAAGTCCAAGTGAAAGCAAAATTCCTAAGCAATTTTTATAACTTCACCCCAAGGGAAATATATTTATTTAACCCTTAACTTTTTAAAAACCCCCTCCTTACATACATAATTTAGCATTATCCTCCTCATTACATTCTTCCAAATATTTTACTTCCTTTGCCGCCTTTAAATAATCCCCATCTTCTACATAAACTAAATGAAAACGAATAGAAACAAAAGCTTCATGTTCAAGAAAAACAACTAAACGACGAATTCCTTTAATTAAAAATTATTATTTTCATTCAATCCCCCCTCCTCTTTTACTTTCAGGTTCACTAAAAACAATAATTAAACGTCCCCAACGCCAATGTCTAATTAAATCAATTATTGCTTCAAATAATTCTTTATGTGGAAACATATCAAAATGATTAATTAAATCCTCATTTTCTTCTTCATTATTTTTAAATAAAACATTATTCCCTCCCTTTAATTTAAAATTAAAAAATATTTTTTATTATCAAAAAAACTTCATCCAGTTTTGGATGTTCTAATGGATCAACCAAAGAGAAATAAGGCAAATTCAATTTATTAGCAGCCAAAACGCTTAATTGTTCAGATAAATGCCTCTCTCCTGGGCCGATAAGTGCTACAATGTTGTGCTCGTTAATTAAACGACAGGCTTTAGAAAAAAATATTTTAAAAATAAATTTTGAGGATTTCTCAATTTCTACTCATTAAATACAAAATTAAATGTATTTAAAATCAAAAAATAATAATTATTATTTTTGCCTTTCTCCAAAACTCCATAATGATCGTTTGGATCAGAAATTGTTTCAATTAAAGCAATTAATTTCCCAAATTTTTTTATTTGAATATTTTCATTTCCAACTAAAAATTGTGTAGTAATTATTTCCTCTTTTTGACGCTTCCTTTCTTGTTGCAACCAATGCAAGGTATAATTAAGTGCTGCTATTAAATGGGCATCTTCTTTTTCTAATAGAACTACTCCTTTTTTGATAAAAAAATTTAAAAATTTTTTGGCAAATATTAATTTTTTACTTTGTTGCATACACCTTTATTTTAATTGAGAGAGTTTTTGAAACGAGGGATTCTTATTTTAAAAAATATGTATGACTTGACTAAAGTAAGAGTGAGGTAAAAGTTTAATCACGGGAAGTTATTGCTAACCTCCTGGCAGTTATTGCTAGGCGCTTTCGCTCAACACGTACAGGTGCTCTACCAACTGAACTACCTTGACGCTGCTTTCACCTTCTCTTAAAATAGATCTTAAACCCCCGTCTAGTGAACGTTTTAAATGCGAGCCAGCTGGATCTTTCTCTTCCTTACACTAAAAAAGGTTAATTTGTATTATAATTATTTATTGGTCAAAATTCTGTTAGTATATACAGATTCTAAAGAACAATTAAATGCTCCTTCTATTTTATTATCAATTTTGTTAATATATATATATAAAAAAAGTTACTTTGCCTATAAAAGTAGTGGTAGTTTAGCTACGTGACTTTCAAAAACCTAGAACTTTTTACAGAGTTGAGATATGAATTTGGGACTTTGACATCTTGCTGGGTACTTTTTATGGGTCATCTGGGAAAAATGTTGTTTTTTCAATAATTGCCCCCCTTGGTACCTAAATCGCATAGATACCGGGGATATCTCCGGAACGGATAAAGATAGCGGAAAAGTTCCGCTTGGAGGGCACTGGAGCATGATTTGGAGATGCTGAAACAAAAAAACCCGAGGTCGAAATCCCAAGTCTAAAGGTCGATATGCCTGACACAAAATTGGTTTTTCGGTGAAAAGTCCGATTTTTCGGAAATGACGAAATCCTGGGGGCATATCTTATAGGTGAGAGAGAAATTGTGATTGGCAGGTGAAAAAAATAGTTGAAGCAAGTTTAAACTTGCAGCAGAAGCAAGTTTAAACTTGAAGCAGGGTAAACAAATGAGGAAACACGAAGCAAAGTCGAAATTAGGGATCCGGGATTTTCGGGATTTCAGAGTATGGGTGAGTAGGTAGTCGTTTGAGAGCTGGGAGTGAGGGGAGTTGAACGGGATAAGGATAAATGTCGAATTTTCTTTAAAGTGAAAAAAAATAAATGTCGAATTTTCTTTAAAGTCTGCTTCAAGTTTCGAAATTTGAAACTTGAAGCAAATTTGCTTCATGTTTTAATTTTTTGAAGCTTGAAGCAGATTTGCTTCAGGTTTTGAAATTTTTGAAATATATTGGAATTTTTTCACGTTTTTGAAATTACTGCATGTTTTGAAATTTTTAGTTTTGAAGAAAATTTGATTAAATTTTGGTTTATGAAGCAAAATTTGCTTCAACTTTGAAATTTTAGTTTACGAAGCAAATATGCTTCAACTGTGGAAAGTTTTAAACTTGAAGCAATTGCTTCAACTTTTAAAAATTTTGCTTTTTAGCTGACAAAAGTGGAAGGATGAGTCCCAACTGAGGGAACACGAGGGCCGAAGGCCAAGTGACTCTAAGTGGAAGGATGAGTCTCAACTGAGGGAACACGAGAGCTTGAATTTTGGTTTATGAATCCGATTTTTGTGAGCTACGGGGGTAGGTCGGCAGAACAAGGCTGAAAACGGAAAAAGGATTAGGTTTATGTTACTGTTGTAGAACCCAGCGACCGTTGACACCCGCAAGGCGCGTGCCGCAAAACCCCGCGCGAAGCGCGGGGTTTTGCACAAGCGCCTTGCCGACGCTCCATAGGTCTATCAACATAAACCTATTCTTTTTTAATGTATTATTTAATAAATGTACTATCTAATAAGACGAGGGCCGAAGGCCCGAGCTGACACCCATCTAAAAAGGGATGGCGAGGGCCGAAGGCCCGAGCTGACACCCATCTAAAAAGGGATGGCGAGGGCCGAAAGCTCGAGATGACACCCATCTAAAATGAAGGGCGAGGGCCCGTGCTGACACCCCATCTAAAAGGGAGGGCGAGGGCCGAAGGCCCGAGCTGACACCCATCTAAAAGGGGAGCAAGGGCCGAAGGCCCGAGTTGACACCCATCTAAAAGTTGACACCCATCGGCTTCCCCAACGTGGGGAAGACGAGGGCCGAAGGCCCGAAGTGACTCTAAGTGGCATGATAAGTCGCATCGAGGGGAAGATGAAGGCCCGAAGTGACTCTAATTGGAAGGATTAATCCTAAAGTGTCTAAAAGTAAGGACGATTAATCCTAAAGTGTCTAAAAGTAAGGGCGCCTCCCTTTCCATCTTAAAGGGAGGCGAGGGCCGAAGGCCCGAAGCAATGAAAAGGCAGTCTAAACTCTTCTTCCAAGCATCAAAACTTTCTAGCAGCGCGCGAAGCGCGCCCCAAAGCCGATAGGCTTTCCAACGGGTAGAACAAAATTTGACCCAAAGTATCTTAAAGGCACCCAGCTATCCTCCGCCATCAGTGGTCAAACCCACAGCTAGTTAATAAAAAATACAAATTATTATCCATTACCTACCAATATTAAATTGTTTTTCTTCATCATTAATTAAAGTATTTACAAAACGAAAAAGTAAAGAAAATAAAATAAATTCTAAAATTCCAACAATAATATCCCTACTTTTGTACATTTTTTTGGAAAAAAATATTTAAAATTTTTTAACAAATTGTTGATAGAGAAGAAAAGATTAAATGAAAAAAAAGATTATTTTTGAAAAAACAACACATATTTATGTACTTATTTCCCTTAAGAGAATATATTTTTTGTAAATTAAATTTAAAATGAAAAGCTTTCCCTCTTTTTTGACACAATCAAAAAAAGCTAACGAAGAGATAAAAAAATAAAAATAAAAATTTTAAATTAGTTGTAAATAAGTTATTTCTTGAAAAATAATAATCTCAGAAATTTAATTGAAAAATATTATTAGTATACCTATTTAATGTCCTTTTAACTTTTTTGAAATTCCGATTTTCCCAATTCTAATAACCTAATTAAGTTTTTGAATTTTAGAAGACCTTATTCAAAAACAATTCACTTTCTCTGTTATGGACGGATATCCGAAAAAAATTATGGACGAAAACTTGGATAATATTGAGGATTTTGTTCTTTGAGTCAGTATCGTTTCTCGCCGAGAAATGGACCGAGAATCTCGGTATCGGTTTCGAGACCGAGAATGAAAAAACCGAGACCGATATTGGAAAAAAGCCGAGAATCTCGGTATCGGTCTCAGTATCGGTCTCGTCTTGTCCAACTCTATTTTAAAGGTAATGGAGAAACAAAAATTGAGGAAATTAATAAAGTTATGGAAAATTTACCAAAAATTTTAAAAAATTATTTGCTTTGTATTTATTATCTAAATAGAGCTTTTTAATTAAAAAAAAAATTCAAAATACTAGAATAGTTTCATTGCTGTTGTTTGGAACTGATTTAAAATTTTTACAAACAATTAAAATTAATGAGGTAAATAGTCAATAAATAGAAAAATTATTTATTAATTACAAATATTCTTAAATATTTGATTTGGAACAATTGAAGATTAAAAAATTATTTTTAGTCAAAAATAAACAAAATTTATTTCATTTTGGAGGCAAATATGACGAGAGGAGAAGAATTAAATTTTGCAAGTCAAAATTGTGATATTTTTATATCAACAGCCCCAACTTCAACATTTGCCTTTTGGATGGCTTATTTAATGCCTGAGGTAATAAATAATATTTTTGTTCTCAAATATATAAATTCAGAATCGTCCAATATTTTATATACCTAAGCAATATCCATATGATTCTAAACAAATGATTAGACAAAATTGGATTTCTATTAAAAGGATGTGACAGAGTTTTGAGAGGCTATTGTATCTAAAACTGGTATTTAAGAAAAATTTCCACCGAGATAGGAATTTGACGCTTTGACAATTCGAATATTTGATCGCTCAATTCAATGACAGTTGTGATAACTTGACAAAAAAAACTTACTAATAATGTTTTATTTTAACAATGCCTCATTTTTTAAAATAATGTCCAGTTTTTAATAATCTTGTTTGGAATAGACCAACCTAATTTCCGTTTAGAAAAGTTTTAATAATGACTTTTAAATATGATTTACACGGTACTTCACTAGTTATAATTATGTGGAGCGCTGTATATTTAGTTTTTAGTTGTTACATTTTTGTTAATAATTTTATAAGGTGACATTTAGTAAAGAATATTTCAAAGGGTATAATTTCGGAATACTAAACAGAAAGCAAATGGAACAAGTTATATGTCATTCGAAAGAGCTCGTCGAGTTGAGTCGAATGGTGAAAAAATTTTCGTGCGGACTCATACAGGGGCTGAGATATAGGCCCCCGAAAATCGAAAAACCATAGGGGGGACCAAGCACTTTTTTGGGGTGAAAAATTCGAATATGCAAATAATAGCTCATTCGAAAGAGCTCTTCGAGCTTAGTCGAATGACACCAAAATCAACAAAATCCGACTTGATTGGACAAAGTTATGATCTTTTCTTTTAGCTCCTTACCTATGGCATCTGTGGAGATTTTTGCTGCTACTGAGGCCCCAAATACGTCCAGAGCAAGGGAGATAGGAATAGGTTTATGTTACGAGCCCAGACCCATCGCCCGTAGACTCCCCGCGAGGCGCGTGCCGCAAAACCCCGCGCGAAGCGCGGGGTTTTGCACAAGCGCCTCGCCGACGATCCATAGGTTTATGTTGGTAGTTTTTCTATCGTAACTTTGTCAAATTTTGTTCAATCACGGTGATTTTGGTGTCATTCGACTCAGCTCGACGAGCTCTTTCGAATGAGGTATCATTTGCGTTTTCGAATTTTTCACCCCAAAAAAGTGCTTGGTCCCCCCTATGGTTTTTCGATTTTCGGGAGCCTATATCTCAGCCCCTGTATGAGTCCGCACAAAAATTTTTTCACGATTCGACTCAACTCGACGAGCTCTTTCGAATGACATATGGTTTGACCCATTTGCGTTCTGTTTAGTATTCCGAAATTTTTCCATTTCAAAGATTTTTAAGGTATTTTTCTAGTCTTTTAAATCAGATATATTTCTTCACCAAATTTAATGACTGACAGAACTCGAAACCCCATTTTCAAAAGACTGATTATCAGATTTTAGGTCAGCTTTAAAGAAATGATTTTATAGCTAATTTGCCGTGGCGATGTTAAATCCTTTTTGGCCGTGTTGACATTTTGATGAAACGATATTTTGATGGACGGCATTTTAACCTTTTTAAGCCGTGGAGATATTTTAACGAAGCGATAATTTGTTCGGGTTGATTTCTGCTGTGAAATATTCTGTCTTTCGATAAAACGTTATTTCACTTAATAAATCCTACACTTTATCTAAACGAATTACGACATCATTTCATAGAAAAATTAGGACAAAGGATGAACATAAAAATCGATAGAAAGCGCTTTCTCTTTAATCTTTGAATGTTAGAGAAAGCATACACAAACTATTGACAGCCTCTACAACGACTGGCATAAATTTTATATTGTTCTTTAGTCTAGCTAGCGCTTTTTGATTCTGAAAATATTTCCATAGAAACAAACCTTTGTATATATTTAGTTTAGAATTATCCAAAGTTTTTGCGAGCGTTTTTACACTAGATGTTTAAAAATCGATAAATTTCGAAATAATCCTTTACGTTAATTATTTTTTAATTTAATCTCTTGCGGTTTGCTTGACTTCCTTCACTATTAAAAAATTTAAAAAATCGAAGTTAGAGAAACTTTATTGGTTTCCAGGTTACTACATACATAACTTTCCCTCTTCATCCCACGAACATACTTAAATATTAACATAATTATAGCTTTGCATTTTGCGCAAAGCTTATTAATTTTAAGGTTTTTGTATGATTTGTTTTGTTATTTTTACAATTTTAACAAGTTTACTAGGCTGTTTATTTGTTTCGATGATTCATCTTTTATGTTTTTTTTTGCGAAAGTGAAATATATGTAGTTCTATTTAATGTTTACTAGTCACTTTTCTCTGTTTTTCTTCTCTGTAATTTCCAACATTTTATTATCGCTCTAAAAAGCTAAACTTTTTATTAAAAAAAATATTTTTTTTCAGTTTAATCAAACGTATTTTTTCTGAATTATTTGACTTCAAAAAATGGGAAAACAAGCAATTAATTCCACAACTCGCCAACCTCTTAATGGGGGACTGGGAGGTGGCCGTACTCATCAAAGAATCCGTATTGGATTTTCGGATTTGGAGCCGTTATGGAATGCTGAAGATGATAAATACAAAGTTTTTTGTCGCTCAGTTCATGTCTCAAAAGCAGCTTTGTATGTTAGCTATGTTCAATTGGTTGCGGCATTTATGGGCTCTATTCTCTTCGCTTACAACTATATGATGGTAAGTTTTTAAATGAATAAACAAAATTTTAAAGTCTTTCTGTCTTGATCCTATAATGGGATATTTTATGGGTGGACTGTTTACAAATATTTGATTTAATTAGTGACCGACAAAATAAGTTCTGGGCCCGAAACCGATTTTTGATTTTACACTCGGACTGGACCGGATACGGCCGGATTTTTCCGGATTAATCCGATTTTAGTTCGGAAATCTAAAAAACCCCGGATTTGGGACTTGGACTCCGGAAAATCCGGCCAGAGTCCTGTCCGGCACCGGTCACTAATTTTAATTTATCCTTTTTCTCATTTTTAATTATTTTTTAGATTGCTAGCGTACAAACACCTTCAGCTGATTCTTGGGTGGGATCAGTCAACAATCGCTATATGTGTATGTTTTTAAATATTTTATATGATTTTTATTTTTAAAATAGCTCAATTAATGATGGCCGTTACTTTGCACGTTTTGCTTCTTGTTGTGCTCATTCATGGGATTAAAACTGAGCGGAAGTCTTTGCTTATGCCATATATTGTTTACGCTGCAATTACTGTGCTTACTGGACTTGTTGGGGTAAATTTTTTAATTTTTAGTAGTTTATATCGAATAATTAGGTTGTTGACGCTTTTTGCACTTTAGTGTCCCGAATCTTAGGACTAATTTTTCGCCTTAATTATTTAGTAAGCCACTTTCATGATTTTTGAAACTTCGTTTTACATACCTTGAATCTTTACATACCTTGAATCTTTACATACCTTGAATCCTCTAGAGGGGGCTTATTTTAGAGTATTTACGGTATATTAACTAACAAAATATAAAATTTTCTGTTTTAGATTGTCAATGACATTTTCTACCTTGACTCTCATATAATGCAAGATGGAGAAACAAGTTCTGTCGTTAGAAGGTTTGTTTATTTATTTGTTTGACTTTTATTTTTTTAAATTTTAGCCAACTCCGCCGTCATTTTCTCGCAACAATAGTTCAAGCTTGGTTTCTTTCCATCATTTGGCGTTGTTATGGGTATCTTGGTGATAAGAAGGTAGCTCGTCAAATTCGTGATCAAATGTGCAGCACCGCCAGTGCATTCCGATATCCCGAGAATTTGATGTGCAGTGGATATGCTCTTATGCAACAACCACCTCCATATGCTGTTTGTAAACTTTTATAATTTTTTTATATTTAAAATAATTTAGGACACAGTAATGACCCCTTCTGCAACAATTCCTCCACCTGTTTATATTGGACCGATTGGAAGTGGAGTTGAAAAGCCTGTCACTAAATCACCTAGCCAGACTACCACAGCAACCACAGAAATTGCGACTGAAGCTAAAGAGGAAGAGGAAAAGTAATTGAGTAGAGATGAGTTGAAATGAGATGTAAATGATAAAAAGAATATTTAAAGTAAAATTTGATCAGGTCTTTTTTTAAATTTATCCTCCAAATGTCTGGGAGGACTTTGATTTTATTGAATGTTTTTAGTAGGATTGGTATTGAATAGAGAATCTCCAAACTTTTTCGATCCAAGTTTTGGCTTTGTTCAAGGACTTTCTCTTTTCCTTAACAATCCTAATTTCGATTTTGGCTGATCATTTTTCCTTCGTATGTATTTAAGACACCCAAATTCCCAATCCATATAATCAAAAATTATCTTTTTCTATTTTAGCTTATAAATATACAATCCAAGAAAATTTATTTTTAGTGAAAATTTGAAAATTATATAGAAAATAATATTTAAAATTCGTATCTAAAAATAATTTTTTTGGATTGTCAGAAAAAAACTATGTAAAAGTACACAATTTTCTTTTTTTTTTACTTTAAACTTCCTTAAATGATATCGATATCTTACATTCGCTGATTTATGCCCCCTACTATATATCTTTAACAATTGCATACATATACAAAATTTTGAATAAATTTGTAAAGATAATTTTCTTTTATTTTATACGAATATATTTTGATTACATTATAAGAAATTATTTTTTAAAAGTGTGTTTTCTGAATTTAAATATTAGTTTAATTAAGAGGGTACTTTATATTAATTTTAACATTTGTCTTTACCCAAATTAGTTTAGAGAAATTACCTTTATGTTTTTGTCTATCGATACATTGATTTGTATCTCATTCATTTTTACTCATAATTTTACTTTCTAAAAATTTTTTAGTTACCTTATAATTCTAATTTAGATAATATAAAAAACAAAATTCCAAATGATTTCTAGAATTGGATGGTTCAATCTTAGTAAGTTTAATTTTATTTTTAAACAATTAATGTTTTCAGGGTCTAAATATAATTTTATACCGCTGCTTGGTCATTCATTAAGAACTCAAGCGACGGCAGGGGCTACTCCAGCTACCAAGTCTGAAACTCCTAGACCATCTCCTGTAACAACTTCAGAAGTAAAGCAGCCATTGAATATGAAAACACAAGGTTTTGAATTGTAGATGATTAAAATTTAGTTTTTTTAGTTGGAGACTCGGTTACTTGGAATATAAAGGGAAATGGCATTGCTGTTGTAAAGATTGATTGTCCTGGCGAAAAGGTTTTTAAAAAAGTAAAATTTTCAGTTTTAAATTACAATTAAAAGGTGAATTCCTTGAATGAAGCTGTCTCAAAGGATTTAACAGCTGCTTTCAATGCTATAGAGCAGAATCCATCCGTTCGTGGCGTTGTACTAATTTCTGGAAAACCAAACGTAAATTTTGTGATTTTGACAATTTTATATTAAATTTTACAGAATTTTATCGCCGGTGCAGACATTCGAATGTTAGAGAAATGTAAATCGGTTTCAGAAGCTGCTAAGATTTCAAGCGATGCTAAAGTCCAATTTGACAAATTAGAAAATAGCAAAAAGCCGGTTTTCTGTTAACTTTTAAATTTGTAAATAAATTATTAACAGATTGTTGCTGCCATTATGGGTCCTTGTATGGGTGGAGGTCTTGAATTGGCAATGGCTTGTCATTATCGAATAGCTGTGGACTCGCCAAAAACTCAATTGGCATTGCCTGAAGTTATGTTGGGTTTATTGCCAGGCGCTGGTGGTACACAACGTCTTCCCAAGCTTGTTGATATCCAAACAGCTTTGCAAATGATGCTCACAGGTTTTTTGATCTTAAAATGCCTTTCTCTAAAACAATTTGTAAGGCAAAGTTCTTCGTCCTAATAAAGCCAAAAAACTTGGTTTAGTCGACCATTTAGTCCAGCCAATCGGGCCTGGCCTTACCGATCCATTAACTGGAACTCATCGTTATTTGGAAGAGGTTGCCATCCAAACGTGTGAACAACTAGCTGATGGTTCTCTTAAAGTTACTAAAAGCAAGCCTTTTGCTCAACAGGTTTTTACAAATATTTTTTCAATTTCTTTGAAAAATTTTCAGTTGACAAATCTTTTACTTACAAGTCGTCCACTTATCGATGCTTTACTAGTTCGAAAGGCCAAAGAAACGGTGATGAAGCAAACGCATGGGAATTACCCTGCGCCTTTGAAAATTCTGGATGTTGTTCGAAATGGGCTGATTGATGGGCCACAAGTTGGTTATGAACAGGAGACTCAGGTTATTTATGCAGGGACCACGTATCTTTTATAAAAAAGTTTTAGGCGTTTGGTGAGCTTTCACAAACTAAACAATCAGCAGCTTTAGTTGGTCTCTATTGGGGTCGAACTGAATGCCAAAAGGACAAATATGGAGACGCAAAGAAATGCGAGTATGTTTATCGATTTTAAATTATTTTCTGTTTTGCTTATTTGTAGACGATTAGGAGTGATTGGAGCTGGTCTTATGGGTGCCGGAATTGCAAATGTTAGCATTGACCAGGGAATTGAAACGGTTATAAATAGCATTTTTCTTTTTAGGATATTAAAATTTTTAGGTCCTTATAGATACAAATCAAGGAGCTTTAGATCGAGGCCTCAAACAAATTACTACACAGATGGAAGGTCAACTTAAAAAGAAAAAGTTTACTTCAGCTGAACATACTCGTTATTTGTCGTCACTGAAACCTGTTTTGAATGATTATAGCCATCTTAAAAATTCTGATGTCGTTATTGAAGCTGTTTTTGAGGATCTTGGATTAAAACATAAAATTATTCAGAAGGTCATTTTAAATAAGATTTAAATGAAAATTTTATTAGATTGAGGAAAACGTCCCAGAGCATTGTGTTATTGCTACAAATACTTCGGCTCTTCCTATAAAGGATATTGCTTCTGCTAGCAAGCGACCTGAAAGAATCATCGGCATGCACTATGTAAATATTTTTAAAATTATTTCTGATTAATATTTTCCAAAAATTTGGACAGTAAACTATTTTAAGCATTTTTTTTTAGTTTTCGCCTGTTGACAAAATGCAGCTTTTGGAAATAATTACTTCAGAAAAGACATCAAAAGAAACTTTGGCGGTCGCGGCAAAACTTGGACTTGCTCAGAAAAAGTTGATTGTTGTTGTTAAGGTTCTGTTTATTTAAGAATGATTTCTAAATTAGTTTTTGTAGGATTGTCCAGGCTTTTTCGTTGTTCGTTGTATAAGTCCAATGTTGAGTGAAGTTATGCGTCTTCTTCAGGAAGGTTTAACTCCAACAGAGGTATTTATGAATATATTTTTGAAAATGAGAAATTTATTAAGGCTGACAAAATTACCAATCAATTTGGATTTCCTGTTGGGATGGCTACTTTAGCTGATGAAGTATTTTATTTTAAAAATTCTTTTATTTTTTATAAAAAACATTTTTAAAGGTAGGCCTTGATGTCGGTGACCACGTTGCTTCATTTTTGAGTAAAGCACTCGGTCCTCGTGTCCAAGGGGGATCTTCACAAATGTTGCAAGATATGGTCCAAGCTGGATTTAAAGGCAAAAAGAGTGGAGCCGGTTAGTTTTATCTTTCAAATAATTACTTTATATATTCTAAGGTATTTATGACTATAATCCACAATCAACTAATCCACTTGTAAAATTCGGAATTGGAAAAGCACCAAAGAAAGTAGTAAATGAAAAGGCAGTTGAAATACTTAAACGTTATTCTTTAACTCCGCCAACCGGCGCCTCTTCTGTTGAAGATCAACAATTACGTGTTGTTTGTCGTTTTGTGAATGAAGCATTAATTTGTCTTGAAGAAGGAATAATTTCTGCACCGGTTAGTTTCCTTTTAATGGGCTCGCATTTTTTCTCTATTTTCCTTTTACTAAAACACTCCCAAACACCGAAACTTTGACTGGACATAACTTGGACTGAAGTAATTCTGCAAAAAACGGACATTACTTCGCCATAGGAAGTCGAGGTTCCTCTATCGAATGGTACCAAAAATATTCTAAATTCGCACTCACAGTAAATAATGGTCCCTTGTAAGTTTAATTATAGGTTCTGTTTCCCTTAATATTTTTCAATTTCCTGTATAATGTTTTAAATAATTTTTTAATTTAGTCTGATGGAGATATTGCCAGCGTTTTTGGTGTCGGTTTTCCGCCATTTTGGGGTGGCCCATTTAGATTTGTTGACCTTTACGGTGCTGACAAATTAGTTAAGAAAATGGAAAAATATGCAAGTATTTATCCAAGTGTTCAATTCCAACCTTGCCAATTACTTTTAGGTTTGTTTTAAAAATAATTTAAAAAATATTTTTAATTTTTAGATCACGCAAAAACGGGCAAAAAGTTCTACGAAAAACGGCAATAAAATATAAATGGTAGCAACGAACTGTTCAACAAATTTTTAGTTTTTTTTAAATAAATCTTATTTGTGTGGGTATTGCTTTGGCTCAAAGAATTAGAAGTGTTTTGTTTTATATAGTAATTGTTCATCCTATATTTACAGACTGCTTTCATGTTAATATGACACAAAAATTAAATATATAGTTGGCCATTTTTGTTAAAATATCAATAAAATATTTTTTCGAATTTAAAGAAAAGATTAGTAAATTTAATCAGTTTAATAAATAAAAAAATATTTTATTGATATATTTTAAATTTTATCTGTTAGTTAAGTTTACCTCTTATAAACAAGTTAGTTTCTAGGGTTGCCAAAATGGATTTAAAAATTTAAGGATTAAATTATTTTTAAATTGACGGCTACCCCTATTCTCTACAATATTTTGTTAGATATTCTCTGAAACTTTGAATAAATTGAAATATATTTAATTAAATATTTTGTTTTTTTTTGTTTTAATTTTCAAAAAATAATATTTTTTAATTAAATATTCTTTTACTAATTTAATTCTTTTTTGGTTATTAAATATTTCAATGCGTCTAGAAAAGTGTTGGTTTTGTTCTTCAACAATTTGGCCAGGGCATGGTATTCAATTTGCACGAAATGATGGAACGGTTTGGTTTTTATGATTATGTTTTAAATGTCTTCCTCCACATTCATCTATGGGTGGTGGATTTGTAAATTCCAAATTTTAATATTCTGGAATGTCTAAAACCACTTGAATATTTAAGTTACATTCAAAAAATAATATCCATATAGGCGTGTGATTATCAATTAAATTCCTTTTTATTTTAAGGGTTGCCTATTTTTTTTAATTTTTTTAAAATCAGGTCTTCAAATTTTGTCGATCCAAGTGCAACAAGTTGTTCAAAAAGAAAAAGAATCCTCGCAAATTGAAATGGACAAAAGCTTCGAGGCGATTAAGAGGAAAGGTTTTTGTTTTTAATTAAATTTTTGTTTAAATTTTATTTAAAGGAATTGGTTAATGATTCAGTCCAAGCACTTGAACAGAAAAGAAATGAGCCAGTAAAATATGACAGAAATTTGTGGAATGAAGCAGGTATTTTTTGGAAGTTTTTTTTTGTAAATTTTTAAAATTAATTTTTAGTTGAGGCAATGAAACAAATTCACGAAATTAGACATCGGCGTTATGGACAATTAATTAAAAATAAATTGAAGCCTGGACAATTACGTCAAAAACAAGCAATGATTAAAAAAGCAAAAACTAGAATGCATTTAATTAGGTCTGTTTAAAAATTGGTTTTTTAAAGGAGGGAATTGAATTGAAAATGAATTTTAATGTTAATTAGAATATTATTTGAGGAGGGACTTACTCCTTGAGTTTTTGAAATTTTTTGAATATTAGAGAAATCTAAAAACCTTTTTTAAACAATTGTTCTTTCCTGGATAACACGGAATGCACAGACAGAAAAATAAAATTTCCGATTTTCGGGAATCGGGAATTTTGTTGGCGCTGGGCAGAGGTGGGTCGGAATTCCGATTTCCGGCGTTTTTTTCCTTCCGATTTCCGAAAAAATTTTTATTTCCGAGTTCCGACTTTTGAGCCAGTTCCGATTTCCGGCTCTTCCAATTTCCGACACCTCTGACTGTTCCGACCCACCTCTGGTGCTGGGTACTACTCCGAAGGTCATTTCCTGGCAAATGGCTAACCCAATTTGTTTATTAAAAATTATTTGTTATTCCAAATAAGTTTTGTATGTTTTAGATCACCATTTGCCAATGACGTAAAAGATGAAGATGAGCAAATGGATATGGAATATAAAGAAGAAAGTGATATTGAACAGGGGGATGTTATTGAAATTAAAGAGGAAAATGTTGAAGATGAGAAAGTTACAAAAAAGAAAAAGAAGAAATTAAATAAAAATAAAGAAGTGCCAGAAACACAAACAATGATGGTGGTTGAAACAATTGAAGATGATTGAATGTGGGGGAATATTTAAAATATTATTGGATTTTAATTGTTTTTTTTAAATTTTTGTTTTGATAAATAAAAAGAAGATTATAGTTGAGGACTATTTTTAGAAAAAATTTAAAAAAAACTTGATATTCCTTGCATTAGAACCTGGCAAATGAAAAATCAACCAGGTGCCCTTCTTGAAAAAGGAATTAAAAAAGTTTAAGTTTCGATAAATTTAGGTGTGCAGTAGTGATCGACCTGGGTATGGACCAAGGCCTGGGTTTTTCCTGTACCCAGAGTCCAGGCCCAGGCATTTTTGATCTTCCTGGGTTTTTCCTGGACTACAGGGCCAGGATCCGGCCTAGGTCAATAAATCAAACCCAGAAACAGGCCCAAGCTTTTCAAAAATCTCAATCACTAGTGTGCAGTTTGTTATCGTCTGACTTATTTTTAAAATAAATACACCTGCTTGTTATATAAAATGAATTGTTCAAATATTTGTTTATGTAAATAATAGAAACAAAAAAACTTGTACAAAATTAATGTTTAATGTTTAATTTGTAATTGAGAAACTTTTAAAAGAAGACTAGATACTCATTTTGAAGTATTTTCTTCACATTCACACATGTTTTTTGGTATATTTGTTTAAATAAACTTGAAAAAACTTACTGTCCCTTTTGACCTTTTATAAAAAACACATGATAATTTTTATAAGCCTTTTTGTAAAAATTTATTAAAGTACATAATATCTCCTTTGGATTGTTTCAAGACTACTGTATCTCCTTTATTACTTCTTTTGGAGGGGAATGAGTTGAGAAGAATTGTATATTTAGGCGCAAACACAGTCGGGCGTGAGCTTATAATTTTGCCCTATTAAAAGGTAGAACTTTAAAATTTTGAGGGTTTAAATGTCTATCTGAATGGTTAGTGGTTCTGATTTTGAAATTTATTTAGATACCTCTAATTGTAAATCTGACTGAGTAAAATTCAAAAATATTGTTTTAAATTTGGCAAGGAATTTTGAAAAGCCTAACGTAATTCGCGCCTAAACGCCCCCAGAAAAGAGGCGGAGACAAGAATTTCTTTTTCTTAATTTGCCACAATGTTGTTAAGGCAAAGAAAATTGTAAGAGGAATTTATTTAAAAGAAGAAACGGGTGAATGAATGGCATGCCTTCTATAAAAAATATTGGAAGAAATGTTTGAAGACAGTTACTACATTATTTAGTTTCTTGAAGGGCATTTTTGGCTGTCGAGAATATTTTGTGTTTGGTTGCGTGCCATTTTCTTTTTTAAACTACCCAATAAAATGAAAAGACAAAATTTTTTATATGTTTGCATGTTTAGAAAGGAGTTAAATAATTTTCTTTAACAAATACATATATAACACGCGATTAAAATTTTTGATTAAATAGAAATATTTTAAATCAATTTTAAAAGTACAGTTGACACTAATTTGTTTTAAGGTATGAAATTAATATTGTTAGGTATTATATTCGGTGATAAAATACTCCAAAAAACTAACAGTTTAACAGTCCCTTTTACGGGGAATCTATTCCATTTAGTTTCAATAAGATCGTTTGTTGTTCCGAGAGCCGGTTCCCGACTTGGGACATCACTCAAGGGGATTACAGTTTTTAAAATTTTTATAGCCTTTAGTATTTCTCAAGTGATTAAATTTTAATAAACAAAAAACTTAAACAACACGCAATTAATTAAAGAAATAAATTGTAAACAAAACAAAAATACAAAAAAAATTATTTAATTAATTAAAGTATGGTGGACTAATAAATAATTTTATATTTTTGTGTCACTTGATTTTATCACGCAATTTTAATAATTTTTAAAATTATTCTTAAAATTCCCTCGCTTTCAGAGTATCTCTTTTTTCCTCAATAAAACCCTAATAAATTTACCTTCATTTATGTTCACCAATTATAGTTAGGGAAGGGTTTACTTTAAAAATCTTAACAGGATATATTCTCCACCCATCGAGTATTTCACTTGGATTTTGTTATAAACGATAAATGTTTATAGGAAATATTTTACGAATTCCAGGGAATTTGCTTATATCTCATTTCCGAATGGGGCGTTTAATCGAGGTCTGACTGTAGTAAATATTATATAATTAAATAATATTTTAATTTAAATTTTAGTAATTAATTCTTAATTGACAACTATTAAAATAATTAAAATTTAAATGTACGCGACCAAACGGAGACAACGAAATTTCAAACGGTAAAATATTTTTAAATAATTTTCTAAAATAATTTTAAAAAATAAAAAGAGTTTTTAAAATAAAATAATTTTACTAAAAATGAAAAGATGATAAAAATAAAAATTTTGTTTGAAAAAATATATAAAAGGTTTTCCCAAAAAATAAAAAAGACAAGGAAGAAGTCACGAAAAATGCCGTGCCCAATTGCTAGTTGATTAGAGAAATATTTTTATTTTTTCGAGATCTCTTTCTTTCCCTTTATTTTCCCCTTTAAATTCTTCGTGTCCTGCGTGCCAACCACCACTTTTTTTTGTAAGGAAAATATTCCAAAAATTATTTTTGTGCGTGTTAACCAAAAAAGAATGCGCGTTTTTGAACATAATTTTTTAGAAATTAACATTTCTATTTTTATTTGTTAATTACCAAAACAATGATTAAAAAAGATAATTAAAGAATTTTTGTTTTTATTAAAGACTTCATTAATTTTCATGAAAATTGAAAATTTTTATTTATAAAATATTTATTTACTTATTTTATTTTATTTTCCTTCATTCTCTCTATTAAATATTACTCCTCTCAATTTTTACAGTAAAATTAATTGCTCTCGCGCAAACTAAATCGTTGAATTAATGCAGAGACATATTTAGGAAATTACCTAAAAATTTTGTCTTTTAAATAATTAATATAAATCTGTGAAAGATCATCCGGAAATTTTGAAAAAAATTTAATTAACTGTAAAGAATATATTTAGGTAAATATTTTAGAGGAAATATTTTTCTGATTTTTAATGGATTTTTAACTGGCAAATAAATATTGTCTATTAAGTAAGTCCTTGTTTCATTCTTTAAAAATAACATAATTGCCAATATAGATAATGATGAACTTAACCTTATTATGTTAAATTAGGTATATTAATATTTTTTTGATTATATGTATTATCAAAACTAGAGTACGTCCGAGTATTTTTTATTTGCTCAATCGCTCTGGTTTTTTCGTTTTTACTCGGGCTAGGAACTTGAGATCCTAATACTTGTGGGGGATCCTAATATCCTAATACTTACTTGACAGACTCGTTGAAACCGAATCAGGGTTTTCCCAATTACTCGGTACTCGACGTACTCTAATCAAAATTATTCTCAGTTTGTGAATTGAATGGATTTGTTCTAAATAATATATTTATTCCAATTTATCTAATTAATTTTTTAATAAAAGTTTTTATTTTTATTAAATACCAACCATCTGTTTTAAAATTTTTATCGGCAATAAAACAAAAAATAATTCTCGGATTAATAATAGCTTGTTGTAATAAAATACATAAAATACAATGAACATATGTTGCGCATTTCTTATTCCTTTATTTTTATTCATCCTTCAATTCTAGGATTCTTTTCTTGTTTAATAATCCAAACAAATTTAGTTTCTTCTCCCTCTCTTTATTTAAGGACAGATTCGAGAAAATAAATAAATAATTAATTAAGAACAGTAAATAAATAAATTTATTCAACCAATTCTAGTAAAGATGCGCGCGCGAATTGTCAATGAGTTTCTCTATTTATTTGGATATACTTTTTTGGGATTTGAAAAATAGTTTCCTCAAGGTCATAATTCAATATTTACAAAAATTTTAATAATAAAAATTTAAAAATTGTAACCTAGTTAAATTATTGTAGGATATTACTAAATTAATTTATTTAAATATTTCCAAACACAAATATAGTGCTTTAACCAAAAATTTTCTTAAAATTTATTTAACCTTTTTCATTTCTTTGTTGTGCAATAAAATATAATTGTTGGGCAGGTGGAGGGATTTTTGAATGATGGAAAGATTATATATTATTATTAAAATGGGGTGCTAAAATATTGCGCCAAAATATAATTTCTTTTTTCGTAAAGGGGGGGGAGAGGGGGATTAACATGTTATTGAGAGTGAAAGGTATTATTAAGTCAAAAAATAATAATTTTTGGTAAAACAAACCTTTCTTTAAAAATTTGGAAATTCTGCTAAAAGTTTATTTTTAAAAAGAAATAAAATCTTCGAGACAAATTTGGAGGTTCAAAAATATCTCTGCCAGAATTTAAGAGAGTTAACTGGTTACAAAAAAGAAATAAAATTAAATAAAATCTCTATAAAATTAAATTTTTGGGACTTTTATGTATTTTTAAAATTATTTTTAAGTATAAGAACAACAGAAAACAACAAAAATAATAACGAATTAATACCCCACCCTCAACCCCAAACTCAACAACCCCAACAACCTTTATTAAATTATTTATTAAATAATAACAATTTAACACCAAAAATAAATAATAATTTAAATAATTCTTCTTCAAATCCATCAAAAAGACACAGAGAACGTTTAAATGGAGAATTAGAAACTGTTTGGATATTTTAATTTAAATTAATTTTAAATTTATTTTAAAAAGGTTGCTTCCCTTTTACCTTATGATGAGTCCACAATACAAAGGTTTCTTTAAGGGGTTTCTGTCAAAAAATTATAATTAACTCAAAAATAAATTAATAAGAATTTTAATTAAAAATAAAATGGAAGACAAAAATAAGAGAAAAATTAAATATTTTTAGACTAAAAAATAAAATTAATTGATTTTTTAATAGACTGGATAAATTGTCTGTTCTACGTTTAGCTGTTTCTTACCTCCAAATTAAAGCTCACTTTCAAGGTTTTACTTAAATCTTTCCAAAAATTTTAAAGAAAATTTCTACTTAAAAGTTTGTTCCCAATTAGCATTATTACAACCAAATGGACGGTGTTTTTCTCATCCATATTTTAAAACAACAACAACAAATAACAACAACAATAATTCTTCATTCTTTTCTGTTCCAAGTTTATTTAATTCTTTCCATCAAATTCCAATTATTGACACAAATGAACCTTTTTATTCATCTTTAGCACAGAAAGTTATTTAAAGTTAAATTCTGGAAGTTGTCTCTCTTATGTTTATGTACATTGCTGTGTACTCTCTCGCTTTTTGTCTAACCAAAGTTCCTTTAAACTTAAAGAAATGAGAGAATGAAAACAAGTGTTTTACCGTAATTTCCTCCTTTCTTCTCTTTTTAATGCTTCTCCCTATTTCCGGTACAGAGAAATAGTTAGAGACTGTGGGAGGTATTCATATTTTTAAGAGAGACAATTATTATTTTTAAAAATTAAATTTAAAATAATTTTTAAAGGCATTAGGTGCTTTTTTACTTATTTTACATTTGGATGGAGATATTTTTTATGTAACAGAAAGTATAGAAATTTATTTAGGGTTTCAACAGGTATTATAAATTACCTAAATTTATTTTTAATTAAAAATTTTGGGTTAATTTTCAGTCAGATATTTTACATCAATCACTTTTTGAAATGTAATTGTTAATTTTAAATAAATATTTGTTAATTTTCTGAGAAATTAAAGAAAAATTTGAAATAAAAGAAAATATTTTTAAAGGATTCATTCAGAAGATCGAGAAGAACTTCGGTCTTTACTCCAACGATTACAGCAATTATCATCTGAAGAAAATAATGAAAGTAATTGAAATATGTAGTAAATGTATAAAATATAAATAAACATACCCCTCCCTCCAATTCCAAAATTTTTTCAAAAGAAAAGTTTTGAGGAAATTTAGTAGTTTAGGTAATTAATGTAAATTAATATCCTCCAAGTCTGAGAAATTTAAACTTTGTTAGTGTCCGTAGTCTGAATTTTTATAGAACCTCCCCAGCACTTTTTTCAATCAAAATTAATTTTTTGTTTTTTGAAAATTTATAGGGAAGGGGTTTTTACTTTTCAAAATTTTTTAAAAAGTATTTATTTAGAAAAAATAATAAAAATAATTTTAAAAACAGATTTGGCTACTCAATGGGATATTCCAATTGTTTTGCGTTTTAGATGTTTATTGGATAATACTTGTGGATTTGTCGTAATATTTTTTAAAAAAAATCTTAATTTTTCCTTAAATTTCAAAAGCGTGTAGAATTAAAAACAAAAATTTTAAAACTTCATTCCCATCAAAATAACGGCCTTTCTTCTTTTATTTCCCCTCAATTTCCCCAACAAAATGGTAGGGGACGGCGACAACAACAACAAACAACTTCGAGATTGGAGGAATTAAATGGAATTGAAGGATCATATTCTCCTTTAATTAATTCATTTAAACGTTGGGGGTGGGCATTAATTGCTATTTGTATGTATGTATTTAATTAAAATTAATTTTTGAAATTCTTTGTGTTGAATATCTGTTTTGCTTTTATCTAGTCAAAATTCGGAACTGGAGAAGGAAAAAAATACTCGATTAATTCTCCTGGGGAATTATTTTTCAACCCATCCGTGGCATGGGGAATTATTCAAGGGAGGAATTATTCGAGTTTTGAAATTTGAACGTGTATGTAGTAGGGTATTTGGTTGAGGGGGATATTGTTTGAACTCATCCGTAGCAGGAGGACTTATTCGAGGGAGGGGAATTAATCGAGTAAATACGCTATATGAAAAGAGTGACGAGATTATATTTTTCGTTGCTTTTTCTTTACCGAATCGGAATGTCAATTTCTCTTAGTACATATTTTAATATTTGTTGTAACGATATTCGAAATTTTCGGTTCAGATATCGGATCCAGATATCCGAAGATCTCCCGCGATCCGCCAACCTTACTTCAAATTAAATAAAAATTAAAACAAAAATTAATTATATTTATTTCAATTTTAGTCCATTTGTTCCACCTCTTCAAATGAATGTTCGTTTAGATGATCCAATCCTTAAATCAAAACATTCATTGGATATGGGAATACAATCTTTAGATTCTCGGTTTTAAAATTTCCTTTAATTTTAAATCTTTTTTTAAATTTAAAGTCTTAAACAAATATTAGAATTAAATAATGATAATAATAATTGTTTAATACCTTCTACTTCAAATTTTGATAGTAACAATTCAGAAGATTTACTTTCACGTTCTTTTTATTATTTTATACATCCTAGTGATGTTAAATATTTTTCTGATGCACATGAAATGGGTAAATTAAAAATAAATATTTTTAAAAGGGGCTTTATAGGTGGAACAGAAAAATTATTTTGTTAAAGGTAATCTACTCTAGAATTTGGGTGGGTTTGTTTATTTTCGGGTTTAAGCAGGTTTCCAGTCCAACCAGGAAATATTTTTTAATTTAATCCAATCTATTCAACCGCCAATTTTTCCGTTATCTAATGGAGTCAGGAGTCGAAGAGTCAGATAAATTAGAAAGTTTAAAAAAATTTTGGTGGTGGATTCTATTACCTATAAATTGGGGGTTTTAATTAAACTCCAAATTTTTAAAAATAAAATTTTATTTTTTTTAAAATTTAAATATTTCTAGTTATAAAATCTTGTTCTTCTGGTTTAATGATTTATAGATTAATTAGTGTAAAATCTAAAAATATTTATTATGTTCAAACAAGTTTTCGACTATTTTTTAAGGTAAAAGTTTTTTTGAATTAATAAAATTCCTTTTTTTATTTTTAAAGAGTAGTAAACCAGACAGTATTGGGGCTAATCATCGAATTTTAACGTAAAAATTAAAAAAATTTAATTTTAAATAATTATTTAATTAAAGGGAAGTAGATGGTGAATCTCTTTTGGAAAAGAGAAATAATATTAAATCAAAGTAGTTTTTAATTAAAATTTTAATTAAAAAATATTTATTAATAGATTCCTTTCATTTGATGACACATTACTTCAATCACCAAGAATCTTCCAACAACCAATTAATTTATCTGTTCCACCCATTCCAGCAACAACATTAAATAATAATTCTCCAAAACTTTCAAAAAATATTTTATTAATTAAAGAAAATAATAAAAATAAAAGGTTGGAAGGATTTTGAGATTTAAAATTATCTGGTAATTTGTAGGAAATTTTGAAGAAATAAAAGTTTCCAAAAATCGAGACCAAAAAAATCCAAAAAAAATTTTTAAGTAGAGATTCAGGACCATAAGTCTTTGACACGTCTCTACTAATTAATTCCCTGAAATTTCAACTCTCGTTAGTAGAGGCACGAAAACACAAAATACATTGGTTGACTTTGCTACAACCAATGAATCTCAGAAATTCAAAAAAAGCTATTAAATTTCTGAGGGGATTGATATCCTTATTAAATTGAGGATATTATCGCTACTAACGAGAGTTAGCTATACAGAGGTTTTATGATTTTAATTTAAATTTATTTAAGCAATTCGATGGATGGAATTTCTAATTGTGAAAAACTTAAAAAGAAATTAGCAACAACAACAACAAGTAAAAAATATAAGAAACACAAAAACGAAAATGAAGAGAATAAAATTGTTAAAAAATTAATTTCGAAAGAAGTTAAACAAAGAGGGGAAGAAGAAGGTAATTTGAAGTTTTTATTTGTTGATTTAATTTTGAAAATATTTTATAGAATCTTCTTCATGTTTAAATGAAAATGTGAATAAAGGAATTATTTATAGAGAAGATTTAAATATTAATTTAGTAGAAGATAATAATAATGTTAATCAACATTTGGATGTAAAATATATTTTTTTTATTTAAATTAAGAAAATATTTTTTTAAATATTCTGAATTTTTAAAATTAAAGAAATATTTGTGATAAGATTGGGCTCTCATTTTGAAGTTTTATGAATGTTTTTCAGTTACTCCCACATAGGTTTGTATGTGGGAGCAAAAAAAATTTTTAGTCAAAAATTTCTAATATTCAGACTTTTCCCAATTTAGATACCTCCCGCAACAACAACAACAAATAATATTTACTATAATAATAATTTAAATGAAGATGTTTCTTCAGCAATGTTGTCAACATTTCCTTACTATTATTATTATTGTTGTATTTCTCCAAATCAACAACAAAATTTGTTTGGTTCTTTAATTATGGATTTAACTAATAATGAAGGAGGGGAATATTTAAATAATAATAATAATTGTATTATACCTGGTATTTTATTTAAATAAATTTAAAATAAAACATATATTATTAAAAAAAGATTATTGGACATCTGCAGTTATGGCAGCAGTTGTTGATATTAATAATGAAGATAATAATAATAATGAAATGTTAAACAATCAAGCTATTCCTTTACCTATATTACAACCTCCCTTAGATTCTGATTTGGCTTCTTCAATCTTTCATTGGCCACAAATTTTTCCTCAAAATAGTAAAGATTATATTTTGAAATAAAAATTATTTGTGTTAGATTATAGCAAGTACTTTAAATGTGTGAAAATTAGTTTTAGTCAGTGCTCTTAAGCTCGTACCAAAATTCGTACTTTTGTAGGAAGTAAGACTGAAATTTATAAGCACTGGTTTTAGCTTCATTGCTCATAAATTTAGCCAAGAATACTTTAAAAGACTTTCTCTTGTTTTTATATTAATCTAAACTAAAATTATTTATAAAAAACAAATCCATCCTCCTTCCTCCTTTACAGACTCTCCAACTTCTTCGGGAACAACAACATCAATACTTCCTCATTTATATCCTTTACCTCAACAACAACAACCAAATACATATACATCTACAAACATTAATAATCAATTACAAAAAAGTATTTTAAAAATATTTTTTAATCAAAAAAATGAATTTTATTTTTCAGATTTAACTAATCCAGTTTTTCCTCCTCAATATAACAACAACAACATTTCATCTATTCTCCCATCAACATCATTATTACCACCAGAAACACAACAACAAAAATCCAAAACAAATTTATTAATTAATAATCAACAAACATTTAACCCAACTACAAGCCAAACAAGTTTTGAACATTCCCCAACATTCCCAACAAATTTATTAGAACAACAAAAACATTTTAAACAACAAAATGTTTTCCCCCAAAATTATTATAACCAACATGTTTTTAATTCAATCCAAACACAAAAACAACAACAAACAACAGAAAACAATCCAAACATTTATTTAAATCAAAACATTACAACTTTACAACAACAACAACAACAAAATGTTTCTTCAACATTTCCTCCCTCTTCTTGTAAATTTAAATTTGTTTTTTTATTTTTTTGTTTTGTTTAGTTAATAGCTCAACAACAACAACAAATACTTCAAGTTTTCGTTTTCTTTCTGAAGTTGCCCAAACATTATTTGGACAATAAATAAATTTATTTATTTTTAAGAAGAAAATTTTAATTTTATTTTCAAAGATCTCATTAAATTTTTTTATTTTTAAAACTTATTTATGTACTAAATATTTTTTGTTGTAAATATAAAGGTTATTAAGAATTCTTTAACTATTTATTTTTAATTAATTTTTTCCTTTCGATCACTCAAAGGTTGCCTTCTTTTACGTTCTTCCATTATATCCGAGGCATCAGAAAATTCGTAGGGGATTGTACTCCAACGTTTTAAATATTCTAAATTTTAATTTTAAATAATAAAAATTAATTAATTATTTTACTTTTCTTTTGTTTATCTTCTTTAATTTCTGGATGTTCTAATAATTGTTTAACAGTTTTTGATTTTGATGGAAGTAATTGGGCAACAGCAGACAACATTCTTTTAATTTAATTTTTTTTAAAAATATTTAATTAATTACCTAGGTGTTCTTAAATCACAAGATACTCTACAACGTTCAATTAAATTCTTTTTAGATTCTTCTGCCCCTTTTTTCCCTTTTTCGTCTTTTCGAAGCATTTGACTTTAAAAATAATTTTCTAAAAAATATTTTTATTTATTTTAACCGAGCTTTTTTCTTCAATAATTGTTGAGCATCTGGATAATCTTTAATTACATCATTTAAATCTTCTTTTGATAAAACAAATAATGTTGAGTATCCCTTCGAACGAATATTTGCTGTTCTACGATTATTCCCGCCAATTGCCAATAAACTAGTTTTTTGAATTATTTTTTATTAATTTTTCGATTTATTGTCAAATTATGTTTTACTACGTTTTTATAAATTAACTGTCTTCAATACCATCTTTAGTAAGGTTACTCTACAAGCATTTATAGTGGAGAATAAATGAGCCTGTGTTAATAGGTTAACAGCTTTGGATTCCAAGCAAACTTGACCTTTTCCATTTGGGAATTACCTTCTCCAGACTAAAGAATTTCCCCGCGTTAATTAACTTTTTATTTATTTTCCTAATTAAAATCTTTTCCCCGTCACTTTTAATTAAAATTTGATATTTATTTATTAACCTAATCTCTCCAAAAACACTTCCTTCAGTTAATGTAGCAAAAACAATTTCATTATTTTCTCCCCCAACAACTTCCAATATTCCATTATTTACAATATACATTTCTTTCCCAACATCCCCTTTTCTACAAATAATATCTCCGGGCAAAAATATTACTGGACGAAGACGTAAAACCAAATCTCTCATAAATGCTCTATCTGCATCCTTTTTTAAATTATTTTTTTTATTTTAAATTAATTAATCTCTACACAAATCTATCCCTTAGGAACGGGAATATTCTTGAGGAAAAATTAAGTAATATTAAATAATAAGGTACTTTATGGATATGTCACCCCCCTCCTATTTTGAGTCTCAGAGTCTTCCTTAAACGTAGAAAATGGTCAGAGATTATTTTCTTCTCTATGTCAATCATTTTTTTCTTCTTCAAGTATTTTGCCTGTTTATTTTGCTTTTTCACATATTTTGTACTTAAATTTCACCCATTTTGTTGCTGCATTTACCACATTTCACTTATTTTGCTTGAAGAAAGAAAAATGATTGACATGGAGAAGAAAATAAGTTCTGACCATTTTCTACGTTTAAGGAAAACTCTGAGACTCAAAATAGGAGGGGGGGTGACATATCCATAAAGTACCGTAATCCCCAAACATTTATTTCTCAATTAACTTACTTGAAATAATTTAACTTTACTTAAAGTATTATAATGAACAGATAAAGCTAAATCTGTTTGTAATTTTAACGGCAATTTTTCCACCAAACGTTTTTCTTCTAATGTTCGTTGTTGTTCCCATGTATATAAAAACCAGGCACGTACTCTAGCTGTTAAATGTTCTGGTAATCCCAAACGTTTACATTCACTTAGGGCCTTTAAATTTTTAAATTAAAAATAAATATTTTTTATCCATAGCCGCCGAAAGGTTCATATTAAACCTTTTGAATTCAAGTTTCAATTCAAAATTTAAAGCCAAAAGGTTTATGTTTTGTGGGGGGAACTAAAATTTATGGGCGGAACTGAAAAATAAAAGTAAAAAATTAATTAAAAGGATTACTCTATCCATAGTAGTTCTAAATTCTTCATTATTTTTATTAGCATTAGAAACAATATCTCTTATTTGCCCCAATAATAAAGCAAAAACAAAAACACCCATCATCCAAGAAAATGTCATATAAATATATTCTATAACATTTGTTGGGGCTGGATTATTTCCTGTAGAAGTTGCTACGGCAGCAGTAAAATAAAAACAACGAATATAAGCATTCCCTTCATTATTATAAACCCATTTATTTAAATACCTTTTTTTAATTAAAATAATAATTATTTTTTAATAAATTTTAGTGGTGATTGAAATTTTAAAATTTGCTCAGTAGGGGAAAGTTATGAGTTTTCCAACAAAAAAGGATTTTTTAACCCCAACAACACTACTCATACTCTCATACAGATCTGCTTATGGATACGGATATGGATACAGATAATATCAAGTTGCTTGCGGATATCCGTATGTATCCGCCGTAAATATCCGGATACCAAAATCAGTATCCGTGATCAGTCTGCTTTGATATAAAAAATTTAAGGATTGAGCATGCGAGAAGGACTTCTCATTATAGCCTTATTTTTACTATGATTGGATAACCTAAAAAATTTTTAAATAATTTATTGGTTAACAGACCATTTTCCTTTATAATTATAAGGTATTTGTCCAAACCCTTGCCAAGCACTCAAAACATAATAAACACAAGAATTACAATGTATTATATAAATCATATAGCAAAAAGTTTTTGCAATTCTAATAGCATATGGATTAGAAAATGAGCTGTCTAATAATTCAAAAAATTCCCAAAAAGAAGGTAATTTAAGTAAACGAAATATTCTCCAAGCACAAATCGGGCCTGTCCAAATATATAAAATATCCAATGGAAGTAATGAAAATAAATCAAGTTTAAATACACCTTTTTGATTTAAAAATTAAACAAAAATTTTTAATTATAAATCGGGCTATTAATTTTTTATTAATAGGTATGCGAATCGGAACGGTATCCGAAATCGGATGTTTAATGAGGTTTTGTTTAGGCAGCTTTCCCACCAAGAACCCAATCTATAGTAAATATTATAGTTAAAATATACACATATATCGAAGTTTTTCCATTATACTTATATGTATTATTGACACCCCTCTCCATTACTCGTTTTCTCAGTTTTCTTATTTTCTAACTGAATTATTTTCTAACTGAAAAACCTATAGTAATTTAGAAACTAATTGAATGTATAAATTAGACAAGATCTAAATTTGTAGCTACATACCACTAGTTAAATAATGATGTAGCATTTCTGGAGGACTTTTAACATTAATTCCGTCTCTCATAAAAGTTAATCTAGATTTAATTAAAGTTAAATCAACCAAATAAATTAAATCACAAATATAATCACCAAATAACCAATAACGAAGATTTGAACGAGTCTTTTAATTTAATTTAAAAAATATTTAAAAAATTTACTTGATATGGGTAAGAACATCTTAAAGGAATTACAAAAGAATTATATAAAAAAGCAATTAAAACAAAAGATAACCAACTAACATATAATTTACCTTTTAAATAAATAATTTTTTTAAATTTATTTTAAATTAATTACTAAATGGGTCAATGTTGGAGGGAAGTAGACGTGAAGGAACATCAACAATTTCATCTGATTCCACTTCCTTTTTAAGGAAACAATTAATTTTTAATTTATTCTTTTGAAAATATTTAAAGACATCTAATCGAAATATAAACTCTTTTAGTTATTCCACCTTCAGAATAGATTAGAGGGATAATTAGAAGTTTGGAAAGAATGGGGAAGGTGAGAGGGGGAGGGGGGGTGTGAATTATTTTAGAAATAACTACTTGATGTAATCCAATCAAAGACATTAAAGATGCCTGATCAGGCCTCCTTTCCCCACTTTTTCTTCTTTTTTCATCCTTATCTTCATCTTCGTCTTCTTCAGCCTGTTCATCTGTCGGGGTTGGCTCTCTACAAAGTTCCTCACGTACAGCAGAAGTTCTCCTCCTCAAATCTTTTGCAAATTCGTGCAATTTTTCTCGAATAATAAAAGACATTTGAGAACTATTATCAGACAAATTTTGACTTTAAGGAATAAAAATATTTTTAATTAATTTCTTTAAAAACCTAGAAAATGAAAATGGAGAACTTGAAGACAATAAAGCTGGGGATGGAGAAGGGGAACGAAGAAATGGAGAAGGAATTGGTGGTGATTCTAGTAATAAATTATTTTTTTCTTCAAAAGAAATCGAATCTGCTTGTTCTACAATTATTTTTGTAGTTTCTATATTTTTATTTGAAGGTGAAGGAAGGGGAGATTGTTGTGAGGAACTATAGAAATATATTAAATAATTAAAACTATTTTTCAATAATTTTACAATAAATTAGAATATTAATTTCTTCTAATTAAAAATAAATTTTAAAACAATTCTAAAATAAAGCTGATTAAATTAACAACCAAAAAATACTCGAACCCACAAACACCACGGAAGCAAATCTCAAAATAAACTTACTTTTTCCTATCTTCATTTTCTACATTAACCGTCTTATCTTCATTAATTTTTCCTTCTTCCAATTTTTCTTTTTCTTCCCCAAAATTATTTAAATCTTCTTTATTTATTTCTTTTTTCATTTTATTTTCTTCAAAAATAGTCAAAGGAGGAGAAGAGGATATATTTACTCCAGTAATTTCCCCAGGTAATGTGTTTATACTTCTACTAGTAGATGGAGGTAATTGTTGATTAAATACTGATTGAGGTCGTCGTTGGTGGAGACTGGCAGTTGAAAGTGGTGGAGATGTTGAACGAACTTTGTTATTTAATTTTTAAAAAATATTTTTTTGTAACATTTTGCTGCTACCCCTTATCCCCCAATTCCCCTTTTATTTATTAAAAATAAATTTAAATATAATTTGGTAGGCACAAAATCTAATAGTTTAAAGGTAATTTAAAATCCAGTAAATATACGGAATGTTTTCTGGTAACTAAGGTAATCCTTAACAAAAAATAATTTATAATACCCAAAAGGGAAATAAATATAAACAATATACCCTTTAATTATTAAAAGAAATTATATTTATTTTTTGGGTAAAAATTTAAAAATATTGCCTTTTGGGAAGAAAAAACTTATGTCTTTTTTATCCAATTAATAACCTCCTCAAAGTTCACAAAATCTTCTTAATTTATTTAAAATAACTATAAAATACCAGTATTTGGCGGAATTGATGCCAAAGAATCGGAAGAAGAGTAATTATTTAATGAAAGGACATCTGTATTTATTTGGTTCTTTTTAATTAAAAAAAATAATTATTTTTATTTTAAATCAACAAAAACTACCAATAAATTAGATATATTCCCAATTCTTTGTTGTGTTCTAACTTTAAATCCACTACGGTTATTAGAACTTTTTTTGAAATTTGGGAGAGAATTTCGATACATTTTTTAAAAGTTTTATTTAAAATAAATATGAAGAAGTGACTTTTTAAATAAAGCTCATCAATATATATTTATAATTTGTTGTCAAGGATACAAAAATAAGTATTTTTAATTTTTTAATATTATTTTATAAAAAGTTTAAAAATAAAAAAAAACATCGAAAAATTATCGACTGTTAACCAAAATTAGTATTTTTTATTTACAGTCATCGACATATAGGGGCAAGATTAACTAAAATGAAATTTAACCATTTTCTCAGTTAAAAATTAATTTTAGGAAACATTTTTTTGTTTTATTAGATACTCCATTTGATTCACCATTTAATGAGTATAAATCTTGCCGGATTAATATTTTATGCCACCGAGCCCAAACCGAAATTAGTGCTAATCACAAGTCTTTCAAGCTCCCCTAATAAAAAAATCATTTCAACATTCCCATTAAAATATTTGAATAAATTTACTTATGCTATAGCATATATCCTAAATCTTCAACCGACGGGGCCCTGAAACTTAAAAATTTCTCTCCGCATTCAAAACAAATCTCAAGATTTGAAAAACTTTTATTTCAAATAAATAAAAATTTTGACAGAACTAATGTTCTAAATATTTATAAATTCAATTTATTGTTTAACAATTCTTTTCTTCAAACTCCTCTTTATTTGCTTTTCTCTTTTTATTTTAATGTGCAAGGGGTTCTTTGTGATTATGAGTTTCTTCAAAAGCTTCTCCAGCCATTTCTTTGCCTTCCTCGTCTTTAGCATTTACAGACTCCCCAGATTGATCATAACTTTTTAATTTGTTTTAATTTAAAGAAATAATTTATTTATTTATTTACCCATGTGCCATTCTGAAACGAGCTTCTTCCGATTGCCTTTCAAATTCCGCCTCCATTGCAGCCCTTTCAGCAGCACTTTCATAACTTTAATTTTATTTTTAAATTTTTAATTTAAATATTTCTCTTACATTTCTGATGTTTGTTCCGTAATTAGGTAATATTGCAGTTTGTTGTTTATTTGGATAATCAAAATTTTTGATTCTTTAAACCGTCGGAGCTATTTTATAATTTACGAGCCTAAGCTTAAGATAACAGCCCTTTTTGGAAAAATCCTCCAGAGGTGGAAATGAAATAAACCGTTATTCCTACTTTGCAAATACACTCATAGTTATGTAGGTACCAGGGATCTAGCCGATCCGATTCCAGAAAATTTTAATGCGCACGACTTTTCAGCCAAAACGTGCACCTACAAGTGTAATAAACTAATTGGAGGTTTATTTAAAAAAATTTTAAATAAACAAATATTTAGGTGGACAATCTGCAATATTACCAGAAACGGCATTTTGGCCAGGTACACTTTCTTCTTTTTGTTCGGACATTTTTGTAAATATTTTAATTAATTCTCTTTAAAAGAATTTAAAAATCAGATAAATTTATGAAAGATAAAAATGCAGTTAATCGAAATTAAATTAGAGATTTACTTTAATATTTAAAAAACGAAAGGAGGGTCTCAGAAAGCCGAAAGTTTTTCCAAATACGATTTAAGGGATTCATTCCCCTTAACTCTGAGATATTTACAAGTTTCTTTTAACTAAAAGGTTCCTAACTTTACTTGGAATTTTAAAATGCTGAAAATGAAAAGCTTGTTTGATTGCTGAAAGGAGAAATTTTAAAAAATTCAATTCAAAAATTTTTTTGCTAAGTTAAAGAAAAATTTACTAAAAATAAAAGAATGAACTTAAATCTAAAATGAAAGAAGAATGTTTATATTTAAGCAAAATATATTTTTAGTCATTCACATTTAGAGCCACGAGTTGTTTACAAATAAAAATAACCCTCTAAAGTATTTTGTTGTTTTCGGTTTATTTTTTATAAAAAATGGACGGATGAAAAGAGAAAGGAATTTTTTATTTTTCCAAAAAGTGTGAAAAAATAAAAAAAAAAATTAAATAAATTGGAAAATATTTGGAAAAATATTTTTATATTTTCTTAATTAACAACATCCCCTTAATTTTTCCTCTTTTATTCCCCCCCACCATCCCCCCAATATCTTTTTTATTACCTCCTCCAGGGTATTTCGAAACAATAAATTTTATTAAAAATTTAATAAAAACTTTAACAAATTATAATAGATTTAAATATATCTGATCGAGTAAATATCAAAATGGACAAGAAGTAAATTTTTAAAAAGAAAGTTATACATATAAACAATTTCCTTAAATTTTCTTAAAATTTTCCTTTTTAAACGGATGGAGAAGGGCTTGGACTAACAATAATATTATTTTTTATTTTATTATTTCTTTTACTTATTCCACTCAAAATTGTTCTTTGATCGATATAATTAATATAACGACGAGCTCTGTGTAACTGGGAAATTTTAAGAGAATTTTTAAATAAAATTTTAAATAAAAATACCAAGAAAAAACTGAGAGAAATTCCAAAAAAGGAACGGACAGATTGTGACCACCTTTTTAAATTATTTTTTAATAAAAATTTATTTAAATTTACTTTTTAGGTAAAAAATCTCTTAAAAATATTGAAAGCAAAATTGACCCAAAATTAAAAATAACAGAAGAAAATACACAATATTCTACACGACGCCATCTTTAAAAAATTTAAAAAAATTAAAAGAATTATTTTATTTTTTTTTAAATTACCTCCAAAGACGGTGCATGTGTGGGCGAAAAAACCTTTTTTTAATAAAATTATTAAAATCTTTAAAAAATTAATTTTTATTGAAAAGTCTTGGAAATTTTTAAATAATTAAGAGAATGAAGAAAATTTAATGTCTCGGAAAATATAAAAATAATTTTTTAAGAGTTTGAATTCTGTTTTTAATTTTTAAAAATTTTCTTTAAAAATCTTACATATAAAACCCCAATCCAAGATGAGAATTAAATAAAATAGCATTGCTTATTGCAATATAATTTGTTGGAAATAATCTTTAAAATATAATAATTTTTTTTTCTAAATTTAAAAACCTTTTGAGAATTAAAGGATTAAATAAATTTAAAGTAAATAATGAATGGCTAATTGCACCTTTAAAAATAATTAATTTTAATTTAAAAATTTTTCTTTAATTCACCCACCACTCATTGGAATATAATGCCGTAAAATTAATTTTTGTGAAGGTGAAGGAAAAAATTGTTTAAATATTTTTGAACATTTAAATAAAATTCCATCAGAATTTGGAGGAGGAGATGGATTTTCTATCATTCTTTTTTTAATTAAAAAATTTTAAATAATTAAATTAAATTTTAAAAAAGTATTTAATTAAATATTTAAAAAAATAAAATACATACACTCTGTAACAAAATGATAGCGCCACATATTTTTTATCGATATCCTAGCAAATATTAAATGGATCTGTTTCAAATTTTGGTAGAATATAGATAAGGATATTATGCATCAATAATGGAAAGAAAAAGTTTAATGCAGATTTAAAAAAAAAATTTATAATAATAAATTTGATTTTAGAGTGTAACAAAAAGATAGCGCCACTTGTATTTTTGACCTTAGGGGTTGTCCGAAAAATCTAAAAAAATTCCAGTAAACATATCTATTAATATCTATACTAAACACAAAAGAAACTAAGTTCCTATATAATTCCTTCATTGATATCTTGAAACCCGAAAATCAACGGAAAACTGGGGTAGGCGTCTTTAAAAAATATTTTCGACCCCTTACACGTGAAATAAAAATTTTATTTTCGTCTCATTTGAAAGCCCTTGAAATTTGCTACAAGATAGCATCAACTTTATTTTCCGAAAAAAATTCACCTTTAAGACATAATGTGATAAACTTTCAGGTCATAAAAATCACACAAATGCCCCCCAAAAAGTGATGAAAACGTAACTTATAAACTAAACTCATTATTTCTCAAAGATAAATTTTTTCTGGATTATAAGATGAAAACTTTCTTGTAGCAAATTTCAAGGGCTTTCAAATGAGCCGAAAATAAAATTTTTATTTCACGTGTAAGGGGTCGAAAATATTTTTTAAAGACGCCTACCCCGGTTTTCCGTTTATTTTCGGGATTTCAGATCTCAATGAAGGAATTATATAGGAACTTCATTTCTCTGTATTTTCTATACATATCAATGGATATGTTTACAGGGATTTTTGCAGATTTTTCGGATCACCCCTAAGGTCGAAAATATAAGTGGCGCTATCTTTTTGTTACACTCTAAAATCAAATTTATTGTTATAAAATTTTTCAAAAAATTGCAACAAACTTTTTCTTTACAATATTGATACATAATATCCTTACCTATATTCAGCCAAAATTTGAAACATATCCGTTTCATATTTGGTGAGATATTGATAAAAAACTAGGTGGCGCTATCATTTTGTTACAGAGTGTAAAAATAAATTGTTTATTTTTATTATTTATAAAAATAAAAATTGGGTTAAAAAATACAAATAATTTTTGAGAAAAATTTTAAATTAAAGTACAAAAGGAAAAAATAAGCGAAAATTGATTGTTAAAAATAATTAATAAAATAATTCTTTTATAAAAACAGGTTTATAATGTTATTTATACGCAATTAATTAATTTCCTTTTTTTAATATATTATTTAAATATAATTTAATCCGAAAAAATTTAAAAAAAAAATAAAGAAAATATATAAAAAAAGAAAAAAACAACTGCTGAAAAATATACACTTATTTAATTTATGTTTATTTATTTTAAAGCAAACATAATTAAAAAAATAAATTGTCTAAGCTTTTCATTTTTAAAAATAATCCAAAAAAACATTTAAATAATTTAAAAGGTCAATAAATATATTTTAACAAAAATTTAATTAATTAACAAAATGTATTCCCTTCAAAAGAATTAATTCAGCAGTGTGAGAACCGCCTACTAAAGCACCCTCAACAATATCAAAAGTGGATAACAATTTTGGCTCACCTTCAATTAAAACACGTAATTGCATATTTGTTGATGCCCGGGCAGAAAGCCTTTAAAAAATTAAAAAAATATTTTTTTTTAAATTAAATTACCAAATATTTCGCCTTTCATCCTCTTCATCCATTTCCATTACCAATAATTCTGAAAAAATTTTATTAACCTTTTTAATAATTTAAATATACCAGAATCTAACAATTGATCACCACCTCCATTATTTGGTGAAGAATAAATTGTTTTACTTTAAAAAAATTTATTTTAAAAAATTCCTTTTAATTTTACTTAATTTCACGAGAAAGCACAGTTCCATCCCAATGAATTAAAGAAGACTCAGAAAGTGAAAAACAATTATTTGCATATAATGGATGAAATTTAATCTAAAAATATTCTTAAATTCCAAACAAAAAAAAAACAAAAAAAAACCTCAGTCACTGGTTCCTGTGAAACCCTAAATGCAATAGGAAGAGGTTCGTTATTTTGGCGAAGGTCAATAAAAGAGACAACACCATCATGAGTTCCAATACCAACCTAAGAAAATTAAAATTATTTTTAAAAAATTTTTGACATAAAGTTGACATTTTGAAATTAAAAAATTCCAAAAAAATTTCTATCAAAAACTTACCACGTGTAATTGAGTTGGATGCGTAGCAATAGCAGTAATAGAATTGTTTAATCCAGTCACTGGACGAGAATTTAAAGGCTCAATACCTTTTAAAAAAATTTTTGTTTAAAAATATACTAAAAATAAAAATACCAAAGTCTGGACTTTGAGGTCTTTTTCTTACATCCCATAAGTGAATCTGCCCTGTTGAATGAGCGCTAAGCATTAAAAAATTGTCACATGTACGTAAATGAGTAACACCTGAAAATTAAAATTTTTAATAGGAAAAATTAAGAGAAAAAGATGGTCTAAATTAATTAATGCCACCGAAAGATAATGGAAGGAAAAAATAAGGAAACTTAAGATTTTCAGCATTAAAATTATATTTCATTATTCAAAAAAACATTGTGTAACAAACCCATTAAATCATCAGCAAAAGGACGGACTGCATGAGTTGAACGACTTGCTGGTTGAATTCGAACAATTTGACCAGTTTCCGAGCCAGAAAATATATCGTTGTCCATTAGGCAAATAGTCTTTGAAGATGCTTGTCTTTAAAAAGGAATTTTTTGAATTTTAAATAAAGAGACAAAACGAAAAGTAGTTTTTGGGAAATTAAAGAATTGTCTCCAAAATTAAAGAAAATCTCATAATTACCCCCAAAATATTCAAAAATTCCTTTTATTAATCCAAAAATTCACTAAAAAACTTTTAAAAAACAAACTTATGAACATTTTTATAAGCAGCCACAGTTGTCATTAACTCCTCTTTATTTTGGTCATTTACTTGTTGTTCACCAATTTCACTGTCAGTATTCTCATCTCCATTCCCTTCATTTGATGCACAATTAATTATTCTAACCTCCCCATTACTCATTGAAGCCAAAAATTGTTGTGAATTTACAACCCTTTTTTAAAAAAATTATTATTTTTTGAATTCAAAAAAATCCTCCTTACAAAATATCATTAACATCAACCCCATTTCCAACAGAAATTCTTTCTTTACAAGCAAAACTTTTGTCATTTTTAATTCCCTCATTTCTATTTACATTCCAAAGAGTTAAATATCCGTCTTGTTGACCTATTAATTAACTTTCTTTTCATTTTTAAAAAATTACTTTTTAAATTTTACCAATTGAACACCACGAGCCAGTAACCAAACGACCAGTAAACTCTGCCTGATCAGCGAGGAAACGAACCTTTAAAATTTTTTGGGAAAAATATTTTGATAAAAGCATTAAAATTAAGAGGGGCTAAGGCCATGTAGAAGACATCGGGAATATACAAAGAAAAGCTTCAATCCCCTCCTTAATTTATCTAATAATAACTTTAGATATTTTGTGTCCAGCAAATCGGCGTTGTGATGAGGCAACAGCTCCACCAAGCATTGTTGTAGTTGAACTTAATGCAGTTGTATTGGTTAAATTGGCCGGGACATGGTCAGATGGACGGCGATACATTGTCTTTAAGCAATAACTTTAAAAGCTAAACTTAATTTAAAAAAAAATTTTTTTTTAAATTTAAAAGAGATAATATAGCTAACAATAAATATTTTAAAGATTTTAAAAAATTGAAAAAAATTAATAATATTCTTTGTAGTCTTTTTATCAAATATTTAATAATAATAGTAACAAAATAGTCAAAAGTATAATAATAATCATAATAAATTTCAAAAACCCAGAATTAAATTTAAAAAATATGATAAATTATTTCTATAAAGTTAAAATGAATATTTATCCTCAAAAAGGATAAAAACATTTCCGGATTTGTGAAATAAAATATTCTCTTTATTTAAAGATCAATGTTGTTGATTAGCTGGCTCAGTCTTACATACCAAGTTTTGTACCCCATTTGAAGATAAAGGCGAGTTTGTAGAGAGGTTCATCAATCCCCTATGTGCAGGCAATGATTGAGACGATGATGGCGTATTGTTAACTATTTATAATTAAAAATAGATTAAAAATTAGTCTTTTAAACAATAGGGGAAAAAATACCCAAAAATCAAAAAAACAATTATTGGGCCTTCCAAAAAATGTAAAGAACATACGATTTTTTTCTATTATTTGTTGCAGACGATGTTGTTGCAATTGATCTACAATATTTGTAGAACTAGACCTTTCACTACTTTCCATCTTTTTACGTTTTCTTGTCTCAAATCCTCTATTTGCCTTTCTAGGGGAATAATCAGAATCATTAGAACTAATTTCTTCGTCTTCATTATCTTCACTTTCATCGGTTTTGTCCTCACTTCCACTTTCATTTCCTATTTTTTATTAATTTTTAAATTTTATATGGAAATTTACTGATTATGTGTTTCTCAAAATTCTCAAATGTAATTTTTTACTTAAAAATCCAAAATTCATTGTTAGCAGAAATTTTACATAAATCTCTCGAAATTTTAATTTATTTAAACAATTTATTACCTTCTTTCCTAATTTGTTTATCACTTCTGATTTGTCCCTTATCATTTTTATAGTCAATATATTTTGCCAATCCAATTAAACTTAGGTCAATAATTACATTTTGCATTTTTATAGGCTCTAAAATTTGTTTAACTGGAACTTGCTTTCTCTGAAAATTTCAAATAAAATATTGAAAATACTATAAAACAAATAAACTTTTAAATGTGTTCTATGCCTTTGGATAAGTGTACATTGACTTGGACATTTTAATAATTGGTCAAGAGGATCACCATTTAAATCAAATGGTGGAGTTTCTGTAGAAAAAGAAAAGAATTTTACAAGAAGAAAATTTTTTGGAAAACTAGAAAGACAAGATCTAGTAAAAAAATTCTCCAAAATCAACCAAATTATAATAAAAAATTAAAAACCTTCACGGCCTCGCTTCTTTTTCTTTTTATTTTGTTGGTTATTTTTAGTGTTGTCAACTTTTTGTTTATTTTTTGTATTGGTTGGTGGATTAGAAGATTTTACAAATTGACCATAAGGCACAGTTTTTGCCCAATTTAAATTAGAAGAATTCATTTCAGTAATTAATTGGGTAATAGAAAGTTTTAATTGGTTGGCAATAAAATGTTGAAGAGCTTCCTAAATTGGAAAGTTAAAATTAAAAAATTCAAAGAAATAACAGTAGTTTCAGGATTGTTAAAATTTCTGATGTAAAAACTATCATGTTTAACATTTTTCGGCATTCCATGTGAATTAATTAAATGCTTTAAAAAAGGAAGAGTTTAAAAATAAAATTTTTTTTTCAAAACCTGCACAATAGAAGGTAAAGAAAGGAAAAGAACTCTAGGTTGTGTAACACAATGGCTACAAATTTGGCAATAAAAAGCCTCCAAAGGGCCAGAAGTGTGGCGTTTTAAATGAACATTTTGAATTATAGAAGCAGCTAAAATTAAATTTAAAAAAATTATTTTTTAACAAAAAATAATTTTTAAGAAAATAAGAAGTTTACATCTGTCAGTAAAAATAATACCAGGGAAGGCGCCAAAACAAACTGGACAAGTATTTTGAGAACTTGTAGTAATATCCATAAAAACTAAAAGAATTTTTTAAAAATTTCCAAAGTTATGTCCAAAAAACTTACAAACTCTAACTCCATTCTTCAATTCTTTGTGTGGAATATCAAGAGGTTTGTAACTAAAAATAAAATTTTAAATTATAATTAAAATCGAGGAGAAATTCGATTAAAAATTATCAAAAAATGGTCATATATTTATAAAAAAAATTTACTACTAAAACTAATTTCAGTAAAGGAATAATTAAAATTTAATAACAATTTAAATTAATATTAGAATATTTCTGTAGTTCCATTAAAAATAAATTAGAATAAAGATTTATTAGAGAAAATTTTACAAAAACAAACCTAGAATTTTCATTAATTTGTGGTCGTATTATATTTAATTGACGAGGCATTGGATAACCTTTAAGTGGACGTGTTGTAGAAATTGTAGCTGTAGCAGAAGCAATTGGCAAACGTGGAGGTGGACGAGTATTTACAGCAAAAGGCTGTGTTGGTGCAATAATGCGTTGTTGGACTTGACTTGAAGTATTGGCAGAAGTATTTGGTCTATTTAACATTTTAAATGGATGTTATGAAATATTTAATATTTTAATTAAAAACCTGTAAATTTGCTCGTTCCGTCCTTGAATTGGAAGAATATTACGAAGTGGACAACCCAATATAGCTCTAGTTCCATTAAAATTATTTGTTGGTGCAAATTGTCGAATATTTTTTTGTTGTAAAAATTGTTGTTGAGAAAAGAATGAAGATGGTTGTTGTTGGTGATGATTGTTGTTAGTAATTTTGTTGTTCTCCGAAGTATTTTTCTGTAATATTTATTTTTTAAATAATTAAGTTAAAAAAAGGGTTTTTTAATTTGAAGTAGAAAAAATTCAGATAAAATATTTTAATTAGCATTAGTCAAGGTTAGAAAAATTCTCTCTCATAGGAAGAATTTTTGGTAAATAAAAATTTAGAAAAATAGAAATTTAATTTTAATTATTGAAGAATTCCCAACCTTTACAAGAGCACAAAATAATTCTTCCAATTCAATCATTTTATTTTCTATATTACATATTCGTTCTCCAATTTGTGTAACACTTGATAAACAATAAATATCATCACAGTCTGGCCGTTTATGAGGTTCATAGAAGCGCTAAACAAAATTTTTTATTTGGCAATAAAATTAAAAATAAAACCTTTTTAGTGACAGGATCAATTTGACCTGAAATTTAAAGAAATGAAAAAACAAAAAATAATTGATAGAGGTAAGAATTGGGAGTTCGAAAAAATTTAAAAACAATTATAATTTAAATTATAGGTGGAAGAATAGAAACGCCAAAACATTTCGATTTTATCCTCTATATAAATAAACTTACATATAGAATGCTTTCCATCTGTACATTCCTTATTTGCCGTATGTCCTTTACGAAGAATTTGTTTTTCTTTGTTTACGTTAGTAGACATCTGACTAAAAATATTTTTTGAAAAATAAAAAAAGAAATAAAATACCCAGCATTTCTTTTTCTCAACTTGTTAGAATATGGAGTTTTATCCTTCTCTTCATTACTAAAAATTTAAAAATTAATTCTTTAAAAATTTCTTTAAAAAACCTGTCAACATCTTTATTCTTCTTACTCAACCACCTTATTGCAGAACTTTTAGAACAAATTCCTATAGCCAATTCTGCAGCAGAAATTTCTGGATTTTCTTTAAATCTCTTCTCCAAAAGTTCCTGATTTACTCGATTAGTTTTTCCATCACTAAATCTTTTAAATAAATTTCTTGCTTCATCCTCAGTAAGAACTGTTTTTCCAAACATTTCATTAACATATCGAGTAGCTTTGCTTGCATTGAGTTGATACGGATTAAATCGATTACGTAAAATTTTAAGAATTTCATCTTGAGTGGGGGAGCCTAAATTTTTTTTTAAATAAGGTTAGTGATGAGTATAAATGAAAAGAAAATCTCTCGACCAACCCCCTTCCCACCCTTCTAAAAACAAAACTAACCATCATCAAATATTTTGTTTTGTAAAATATCCATCATAAGTTTTTGTACTTCTTCTTCAATTCCTTTATTATCCACTATAATACAGCAATCACTAGCTGAGTCATCTGTCATTGATTTATCGTCATTTAAAGAATTTATCGAATTATTTAATGTTGTCAAATCAATATCAGAATTTTTAAGTGAAATACTCATATTTAACTAAAATGTTTAAAATTTTGAATCTAAATTTTTATAAAATAAATTAAGAGTAGTTGCAGATTTTTACGTTAAAATAAAAATTTAAAAGGTTAAAATACGAATTAATAAAAACGGTAGAGGACTTTATCCTAAGCCCGAAAAAGCACAAGAAAAGTCTAGAGTCAAGATTCGGCCACATTTGAAAATGTTCTTTAGAACATTTGAGAGCTCGTTTGTTCAGTGGACCGAACTGGGAGTTGGCATGAACTGAGGAGGCCGAATTAAGGGCGGGCCGAACTGGGGCGCAGCCACAGACAAATAGGAGAAAACGCAGTTGGTCAATGAGACAATAGGCCGTGTGACATTTAAATCTGGACCTTAGATTTTTCAATAATTCCTTCTTTGGGTTCGGTTCGGACTTTTTTCATCAAACAAATAAAAAATCTTTTATTCTTAACAAATTATCAACAACAACTTATTTATTTTTAAACAACAAATTAATTTATGTAATCAAACAGAACAATTATCACATTAATTTTATCTACGTCTTCTTTATCTATTGCTGCTATTTGAGGTATTAGGTACGCTGACTCCCATATATTGTTTAGGTCGTTGATTCTAAAATTGTTAAAAAAATTTATGAAAATTTTATTCTTAATTTTTCAAACCTCCCAATCCATTTGAATACCCCAATTTAATCTGCGTGCTCTCAGCATTTCAAAAAATGCGTGCTCAATTCCAACATAATCAGGCCGTCTATAGTAATCCAACGAGCGTAAATAAATCAAAATTGTTGAAAACGCGATTGGGCATCCCTTAAAAACAAACAAATTTTAAAAAGGAAATCCTTTTTAGTTTGTACTTACAAACATATAATGAGAATCCATTAATTGTTCTTTAAGTATCTTTGTTAGAATTCGAGTCTTGCCCTGCCATGGAAGGCGCGCTATAGCTAATTCCACCAACATATAGAGAATCGACCATAAATCATCGTGTCTCCCGTGCTCATTTCTTTTATGCGCTAAAAATTTTAATTTTTAACAAGTTTTTGTAATCTATCAGACTAACCGTTTAGGCTACAATAAGCTGGGGTACCCCGAAAAGGAACGTCTGGTCTAGGCCTGCGTAAACTCATTTCTCCTCGAGTTTTTATTGATCTTGCAAGTCCAAAGTCAAAGAGATACAACCGTTTGTGGTTAACTTCATCAATTGCAAAATTGCTTGGCTTTATATCGCGGTGCACAAAATATGTGGAATGCATAAAAGCAACAGCCTATAACCAAAAATAATTTTTTCAAAAATGAATTCATTTATTTTTACATACCCGGACTGCCTGTATTCCAATCTTCAGGATCGTGCCGATTGAGAATCGTCCGTTGAGTTGTTGCTTTTGTAATTCGTTCAATGAAGGGCCTAGAAGTCCCATTATGAGGACACGAAATCCGCCTTCCTTTGCTGCAAATAGAACAATTTATTTTAGAAAAAAAGAAGCTCAAAAACATTACTTTGACAACTCCCATATTGTTGAAATTGGGCAGCGTAAGGAGAAAACTGCAAGCGTTTGAGGATGTGTGCCTCGAGAGGGAGAAGCTGATCAGATCTGTCTATGTTGGTACGTTCGACTTTCATTGCATAATCCTTTCCTTCTTTTGAGACTACTCGATAGACAACACCACACCCACCTAGAAATGAAGGGGGAATGTGAAAATAATTAAAAAGAGTTGTTTTTATTACCTGCTCCAAGTCGACTCGTGACCTTATAGTTGCCGATTGCTTCTCCAACCACCAAATTAACAGCATTACCGTCTGAAGTGGCTTTTTCGACTGCTGGAACACGACCCCCCAAACTTTTAGCTGTTTGTTGTATTTCATTCCTTCTAGTCTCGTCAGCCTTCACAGTTTCGAATTTTTGTTGTCCTTTGACGGCAGGTTGGTCGGAAGAAATAGCAATAGCTGTCTTCACACCCTTCTCCGTGATGTCCTTTGCCTGGTCACTCTTCTTTTTCTTCTTGCCGTATGGTGAAAGGACGTATGTCGTAACTGGAACGAGCAGCTGCAGATGGTACCATTTATTTGGTTTTTGCTCCTTTTGATCGAAAGACTTGGACTTGATGTACTTCTTGTTTGGAGCCGACTTCTTTTTTTCTTCACGTGTAGGAGATTTCTGGTTGCTTTCCTTCTTTCTGCCGCTTTTCTTCCTTCCCTCAGTTGTTCCCTTCTTCTTCCTGGCAGCTTCCTTCTTCGAGTCTGACTTCTTACCCCTAAGACATTGTACCAAAATCGTTGTTGAGCAGGAAATGAAGATAAGCAGAGCGGCAATGATTGTAGACTGCATTCGAATGATTTGGACGAAGAAGGTTCCCACTTTTTCTCACTTGCTTTTATAGTAAACCAACATTTATGTAGTAGATCCCTACCTCATTTAAAAATGTTCCCTAAATCATTTTACAATAACTGTCCATATAATTAACTAACAAAGATATCTTTACTTCCAATTAAATTTAACTATTTTCACTCATCAAGTGTTCAATTACATTCAAATCAGGCCAAGAATTGATTATTAGATATTTATTACATTTACGAAAATTGGATAAGGATAAAAAGAAAATATAGAAAATATAAATCTATAATACATATAGCAACTATGGAAAACTGCCGAATCATGATAGAATCGAAAGCACATGCAATCAGAAACGAGCGTAAGAGCCGAAAATTTTGAAATTTTGATAGGCAAGAAGCCAGATTTCCTCATTTTTAGCGCCGCTAACAAGTGTATTTTTAGGGGTATTTTTGCGTATTTTCGGCAAAATTTGCGCAAAACGCAAGAAATGCCATAAATCAACAAAAAATGCAATTCGCCCGTTCCTGGTGCAGATACCGTAAATTTTGAAATAAAGCCTCCAATTGAATTAGAGCCTAACATTAAAGCCCGGGGGTGTGTATTTCAAAATTGAGGTAATTTATAAATAAATATCATTGTAAATGATCGAACTAAAAATCTAAAAAAAATTTGATAAAAATTTTTACATTCATTTTCATTGCGATTTAACATTCTTTGACCCGTATTGCAATAATTCTGAGCATTTAAAATTGGTTTGCGGTTCATATAATTTACAAATAATAACACGTTTTTGAATTCTTCCAAAAATTAATGGTGGAATTAATATTCTAAAAATTGAGAAAAAATTATTTGATAATTTCTTATACTCTTCTCTTTCGCTTACCCTTTTTCATTAACATTTTTTGGCCTTCCCAATTTTAAATGCCGAATTAATTGTCTCAATTGAAGATAATCTTTAATTTCCATATTTAATGGATAATCAAGTAACGAATATGCAAGTGCTCTTAAATGTGCTTGAAAATTTTGTCGAAATTTTATGTCTGGGAATTGAACTGTTGAATCAATCCATTCAATATTACGTTCAACAACCTTTAAAAGATTTTTTTAAATAAAATTTTATTTTAATATTAAAAATTCACAGCTTGTTTTTCTTCGACTAGACTAGATTCATTTACTCCATCAAAATAAAAATTAATATAAAGAATTGTTTGTTCAGCATTAATTGACAAGAATTGATTCTTAAAAAATAAACTTTTGAAAATCTAAAAAAATATTTTCACCGAAATAGCAAATTGTTCTCTGCGAAAAATAAAATTTTGCCGAAGAAATTGTTCAAAACAATAAACTAAAAATTATTTTAAAAAAATAATTATTTGTAATAATTACCCGGATTAAATTTATTCTCTCCAATTGAAACAATCATTTTGGGATCATCAAATATTAAATCCAAAAACTGTTGGCCTTCGATATAAAAAAGGAAAACAACCGGGATTTCAACCTGAAAAAATAATTTTGGGAAGAAACGTTTAATCTTTAAGAGTTATTCTTACCCTCATATTATTTTTCTTTTGTCCATCAGAATCTAAATTAGTAGATCCACTCATTGCAAAATAAGGCATATGTTCAAAACTAGAACCTTGTTGATTATCTTTAAATTTAAAGGCAAATTAACTACAAATTTCCTTAAAAATTCCCTATTATCTTTCTCCCATTTTTACAATAAATTAACCTACCAATAATAATTAATCCAACAGCTCCCTCTCTTTGTACAAGCAATGCTTTATCTTCAAACATACAATCACCCCTAAGAATAACTGCAATCTTTCCACGCAATTCATTAGCATTGAACAATTGAGAACTATTACAAGCTTTGAATGGATCAACTAAAACAATCTCGGCGATAACCTAATTTAAAAATATCTTGTTATTTCCAAAAAAAATTTTTTTAATTTAAACACCTTTTCCCCATTTGTAAAGTTCATTCCAAAGGTTGCAGGAGCAGCTGTCCAAGCTGGCAATCCAAAATGTGGAGCAGAAACAATTTGAACTGAACGTTCATCCCTCATTGCTTAAATTTAATTTTAAAATTTTATTTAAATTTCTAAAAATTACAGGCAGTTTCTAACGACGCTTCTTTCCAAAATTTGCCCATTTCTCGAATAAAACGCAAACCAAGAAATGCTAATTTGACATTTTCTGCCTTTAAAAATTTTAATTAAATTTAAATGTTAAAAATTAATAAAATTAAAATTTTTCGTTGTTCAAAAGATTAATATAATTTGGATAAGTTGAATAAAATAAATAATGAAAAATTTTTTTAAAAAATAACCCATTCAAAATAAAAATTACCATTTGAATTGTTACAAATTACTTGAAATTATTGGTGGGATATTTTAAATTTAAAGAAATATTTTTTAATTTAAATTTTTATTTAAATTTAAAGTTATAAAATGAAAAAAAAATAAAAGACAAAAATAGACATTATATAGAACCCGGCAAAATATTTAAGTTCTAAAAATTCGAAAGAAATAAAAGAGGATATGAGCAAAATAGCGATATGTATTGAATTATAAAAAATTCATAAGTATATTATGAAAATGAGAATTAACGGTAGAGTAAAAAATTAAGTGAATTACAAAATAAAAGAAAAAATATTTAGAGATTTAAAATGGAATACAGTCAAACATCTCTCTCCCTAATTTGAAAATAAATTTTTAGGAAATAAAATTCTGTAAAACTTTTCAAAAAAGTAAGACTTTCAAACATTCAACAGTTATCCAAAAAATTCTTTAAAAATGTATTGAAACTCGTATAAGTAAAACTATCTAAAGAAAAAATCAGCTCTTAAAATTTTGATTTTCGAATAGAGTTAAACTGTTAGTGAGAGAGGAATGACTGCATTTTTTTAAATTAAAAAACAGCCAAAAATTTTGATACATTAAATTTCTCTTATTTAGAGTTGTTATCCTCTTCATTTTTTAAAATCAATCTACCCATCTTTAGTTTTATTTAAGATATCTTCACTGTTTATGCTTATAATACCTATCCTTCTCAAAATAAATTTCAAAAACAGAGGTACAAGTTTGTAGAAAAGCATTGCTCCAATTGATAAAGTAAAGGCACAAATCAAAACTGAAGCCCAGAGCACAAATCCAATCAAAACCTTTTGTATTTAGAAAAAATAATGAAGTCAATCTAATCCACTTATTCAAAACAGATAATTAAATTGTATTTAATTTTTTAGTTTCATGGTCAGATTCAGTCATTTCTTTAATTTTAAGAGTGGTGAATAAGTGGGAGGAGATTTGAAAAATTAACAAAAAAAAATTTGAATTAAAATAATTACCATATGAATATATTCAGCTTTAGAAGTACTACTATGATTCTCTAACAAAGAAGAAAATATTGTAGAAAATGAAAAGGGTGAATATATCTGTGGCGGTTTTGAAGAGAAGAAAGAAATTAATGAATCCAATGCTACAACTGCGCCGCTGGTGATGGCTATGGAACGCTGGAATTTTTAAAAAATTTATTACAAAATTTTTCGGGGAATAAAAAGAAAAAATAAAATTAGAAAAATAAATAAGTCCTAAAAAATTTTAATTCCTTCCCATCACCAGCTTTGCATAAACAAAAAAGAATAATCAAATAAAGTTATACAACAAAACAAAAAAATGTAACAAAAGTTAATTATGAAAAATAAAAAAAATTAAAAACCCTGAAATAATTAAATACCTGAGAAGAAGTGTGAATAAGCTGAATACGTCCATCAGACTGAAATTCCATTCGAATACCCATACGTGTAAGTTGTTCTACATGTGTTGGATCAATTGGATTAAATGTTGTCGGACGAAGACGTCTATTAAATAATTATTTTTAAAAATGGGGAATTTGAAATTATTAAATTAAGGCCATAACAGAAAATTTTTAGTGGAGATATTAACAAAATATCAAAAAAATGAGTAGGCCAAAATTTCTCAAAATTTAATGAAAATTTTTATTTTCGTTGTCTGTTAACTCTCCATTTCTATAATGTTGATAAAAAATTTAAAATAAAACAAACATTTCTTCATTTCCAAAAATCGACAAAAGCTCATCATCAACAGACTTTTTAATTCCTTCCAAAATTATGTCCATTGTTCCAAGTATTCGATTAACATCCTAAAAATATTCTTTCAAAAATATTTTTTTAAAAATATTCTTTTACTTCTCTCAATTTCCCTCCATATTCAACAAGTCCATCAGGTGTCCTTCTCCAAAATGGAAGTTTTGTCTCTTCCTCTTCTTCAATATTAGTCACAGATTCTTTTTGTTGACCTTCTTTATTTTCACATTTTTCTTCCCTTTCTTCTCTTTGAATTAATGTTGTTGGACAAACTGCAAAAAATTGTTGACTATTTGTTTTGGAAGAATCATGATGTTCAACTATCTCATCTGGGTCAATAAGCATTCGACGAGGAAGCTAAAAAAATAATAATATAAAATACAGATTATTTAATTCCTTTACCCTATCATTTGGATCAGTCCCAGTCATTTCAGCAATGGATAAAGGTAAGAAATGTGCTTCTGTTGTAAGAACATAATTATCAGGATGAAAAGGTAAATCATTTGGTTCAGAAAATATCATATATAAATATTTGAAAGTTTCAGCCAACACAAATGATTCCATTCTAAAAAATAATGGATTTGAATTAAAAATTTGTTTTTAAAGTTATCAGCAAAAAACTCTACTTTAGTTGCCATTAAATGTACGGAAAATATATATTTAATTACTATGAAAAAGTTTAAGATAAAGTCAATTTTTTTATTGTATAGGAAAACCAGATGATACTATTTCTCGTTATTTTTGAAAGGTAAACAAAATTAACTAGAATATAATCACAAATTTATAAATATTCTAAAGAAAAATTAACAAACTGGTCTTCGTGTTCCATTGTCCTAACATCTTTTACCGAAGCAAAACCACAAGGTACTCGAACATTCTGTTCCAAACTTTGCATAATTTCTTTTGCAACTTCCAAATAATGAGGATCTTTTGTTGCTCGATAAAGAAAATATGTGCTTTCAATAAATTCAGGGCGGAGAGGATGTTGGGCCCAATGAACCTTTAAAAAATAAAGAAAATAATTTAAAAAATAAATTTCTAAAAAACCTGTAAATCATGAGTGAATGCATCAGGAAGAAATTTGTGTTTCTAAAATTTAGAGTAAGGTTTAGTTTTATACAATCCAAAAAAAAACCTTGACAACATTATATAACATTTGATGCATTTCTATAGCCCCACGTAAATCTCCTTTCAAAACTTGGATTCCTGGCCAAAACGCTAATAGTGCATCCATATATGAGCGAGAAGCAATTTGTGGTCTGTGCATTTGAACATCAACAAATATAGGGCCTTTGTTTAGATGACGCATTATTGCATCATAATGCTGAAAAGAAATTGAAAGATATTCGAAATGCAAAAAAAAATACTAAAAATAGACATCCTATCATTAAGGTTGCACAAAATATTTTTATTGACTAAATGGATTAAGAAATTAGATAATAAGGATTTAGAAACGTTTAGAATGGACTATGATTATAAAAAATACTGCCCAGCGTTAGAAAGATATAAAAATAAGATTTGTGCAACCCTAATTAAAATTTATATATTATATTCTACTTTATTAAATCGATATAGATAGTCGTCGTCACCGAGTAATATGTATGCTTTAAGTGTGCTGTAAAAAATAAATTTTATTAACTCAACAAAAAAATTTTTAACAAAAAATTAAAACATACTATTCATAATATGAATCAATTCCTGCACCAATTCCTGATTCAGGACGAACCCAATCACCTAAAAATTTTATAGACAAATGATTTAATAATAATATAAACCTGAATTAACATTTAGCACAGTTCCCATCAAATCACTTCCACGATGTCTCTGTGCCCAAAGAAAATCCATTGCTTTTCTGGCCTTTTCTTCGTAAACTGGCCGACCGCTGAGACGGCTTAATGCAGCCCATTCTAAAATCTAGAGAAAAAAAAATTAAAAATAATGGCAACAAAATAGTTACCATTGTTCCACCACAGGCAGTGCAAGTATCATGTTGGCGTTTTAAACTTGGCAAAAGTCCCTTCTTTAAATTTACCTATAAACAAAAAAATATAATATAATTAAAGGAAAAAAGAAAAAAAACCCGAGAATAAGGCACTCCACTTGTTGAATTGAAAGCAGGTAAAAGACGGTCAGCTAAATCTGTGGCCATCTTTAAAAGTTGATCTGAATACCATTCCATTCTTTGTTTATCTTCACGTTGTTTAACCAATAAACTCATTAAATGAGCTAATACAAATATTTCCTTTTCATTTTAATAATTTAAAGGAAACCTGATATCAATCCACCAACCATTCTAATATTTGTTTCAAAAACAGAAACTGTCAAATCAGAATCAAAACTAATTTGTTCAATTGCTAATTTCACTGCCCTTTCAAATTCATCAAATTCGCCTAGAACAACAAGAGTATCAAGTGTATCAACAAGTGTTAGGGAGAAGTTTCCAAGTGCATCATCAACATCTAAAGGATTTTTAAAAATTTTTTATTTAGGAATAGAGAAGTTAAATGAATGTGAAAACAAATGGAAGCTTTTGAATTGACGTCAGAGCGTTCCATTTATTTTTTAAATTTCTCATTTCATTTAATTCCAAAAATTAACTAAACTTAAGATTTTGTAAAAACATCTGGGACTAATGTAAGGATTGGATTATTAACCTTATCTACCAGTTTTCTTTAGCAGAAATTTACGTTAGAATCGGAAAATTAAAACCATATACTCCCTTATAAATTAAAAATCAACCTCCTCTACTCGGTGTCACTCCACGCTGTCTTCCTTTGCAGCTCAAAGGCATCAACTCATCGTGAGGGAATGCATTCTCCATGTAACTCCTATACCCGTGCATAAACATTTCGTGTGCTTTATCCCTAATAAAAATTTAAAGATAATCAATTAATTTAGAAAATAATTTAAAAAAGAAACCTAAGTAAAGTTTTATTGAAGACTGCATTCTCATCAAATAAATCACCAATTGTTTCATTTTCAATTTCATTTACTTGAAGAGAAGCATTTGTATCAAAAAAGTAGCAGCAAAAATTAATTAATAAAATTAAGCATGCAACCAATTGATCTTTTAATTTTTTATTAATTTGCATGCCAAAATCTCTAGAAAAAATTAAATTTTAATGTTAAATAAAAATTAAGAAAAAAATATATGTAGGGAAGTAAATATTTTATAATGAAAAATGAATAAAAGTATTCTTTTTATTGGCAACTTTTTTTCAATTTTATACACGTAGTGTATAATTTAATAAATTTAAAGTTAGACAATATTTATTTATTGGTTTATTTGTTCATAATCAATATTTTTTAGGAAAATTTATTTTTAATATTAAAAGTTTAATAAATATTTATTATAAATAAAATTATTTTTGTGCTATAAAAGTGGAACTGGTTCTATTAATTTTATTAAAAAAATAAAAACATGCTTGTAACACTTCAAATGAAACAATAAAAAATAATGCTAAAATTTGTCAATTTCAAAAACCCGCTGAAAAAAAACGTGTTTTTCTTTTGGCCTTAAGTTCTGGGACCATTAGTTAATATTATTGAATTTTTGAAAATGGGCTATAACAATCCAAGAATCATATATGATAACGGATATTAAGTATGTTGAGTTCCTTAATTTCAAACCCCAAAAAATGTTTCGTAACCCAAAGCAAAATTAAAAATAAAATTACTTATTGATATAACAACAAATTTTTCCTGAAAACACGTTTTCCGATGATTTACATATTTAGGAAAACCCCAAAAATTAAAAAAAAAATATTTGTAAATATCCATTAGGTAAAAAATCTTTCTCCATCTAACTCCCAGAATAGATCAAGTAGTGTATGTAGTTCTAAAAATTATTTAGTTTAAATTATTTAGTTCTCGGTTGATGATGTTGTTGTTGTTGGGAATGTTGTATTTGATGTGATAGCATATTTGTTGTCATCTGATTTGATGGTAATGTAACTGTTGGATTGCCTCTAAATATTAATTATGTAAATACTCTTTAGTAATATGTTTAAATTGAATTTTGATGAAGAAAATTGAAAAAAAACTCAAAAATAAAAGTTGAATTCAAGTAAAATCGATTATTTAAAATACTCTTTTCAAAAAATTTTCAATACAAAAATAACCCTAATTGTGCTGCAGCCATCAAAGCAGCCTGATAGAGCAACTCTGGTGGTAAACTTTGAAGTTGTTGTTGTTGAGCTGCTGTTAATTGATTTGCTGATTGTGGATTTGAAGGAGAATGGAGGAGTTCATTATTTCCAACAGAAGCAGCTGCAGCAAGCGCAGTTTGAATATTAACAGATAATGCAGCATTGGGAATGCGTTGCTGTTGTTGTTGTTGAGCAGCAATGGCAGAAGCCAATTGCTTAAAATATTAAAAAATAAAATTTTCAATTTAATTTACAGATTGTAATTGCTCGAATTGCTGTTGTTGTTGTAAAAGTGCTGCATAATTCGGAGATGGACTAGGTTGCAAATTTTGTTGAAAATTTTGTAGATTAGGTGTTGATTGTTGTAGAATTGTTTGACTTGTTGGAGTAGAAGAACCTGGAAAATTTTGACCCAATAATTTTGCAACAGCATTTTGTAACTTAAATTTAAAATAAATTTTTCTAACAAAAAATAATTTAAACTTCTTGTTGTTGTTGAATAGCGATAGTTTGTTGTTGTGTAGGTTGACCATAAGGAATGGAAGGAGTAAATTGCTGCTGTTGCTGAGTAACACGAGATAGTTGCTAAAAATATTTAATAAAAATATTTAAATGACACTCCTTTGAGGTTCAACGCTCGAATTTACTATTTCGGTTCCGCATTTCAGTCATGGCCAAGTATGACCTTGTTATTCAACAATCAAAATAATCATTCAAAAAATCTTTATAAACGAATTTTTAAAATTTGGCTGATACAACCGGATCACTAAACGAGAGGCTAGAACCGGATCCTAGAATTACAGACTTGTTGTTGTTGCTGAACTGCTGACGCCAATAAAGAAGTTGCCAATCTTTGTTGTTCATCAGCAATACCAACTCCACCCGATGCTGTTGAAGTCGAAACAGCTGATAGGAGTAACTGTTCTAATGAAGGTTGGCGCTGTTGTTGAGAACCAGATACTTAAAAATCGGATTTATATTGATATGTAGTGGGTGAATTGTGGGGATATCCTTTGAACACTTATTTAATTTAAGACAATTTTATATTATTGTAAGATTAAAAATTCTATAAAATGATTAGAAATGTTTAAAAAATTAAACAAGAAGTCGAGGGCGAACTCGAAGTTTGACCATGCGGAGTTCCTGTAGGACCAGCAGAAGCAATCAATGAATTTAAATATTGCTATAATTTAATTTAAAAATGGAAATAAATTGTTAAAAAAATTACTTGAAGTTGTTTAAGTTGAAAATAAGCATCAGTTTGTTGTTGTTGTTGTTGAGCCGCAGCTGCTGCTGCCGCGGCGGCTGCCAATCTTTGTTGTTCTTCAGCAGCTGCCGCCAAAATCTGACGTTGACGTTCTGCCTAGAACAAAAAGACATTTAAGATCTTCAAAAAATTACCTCCTCTTTATGCCTTTTACGTTCAATCTCTTTTTGATGGAGTGCTTTTAACTTATTTAGTACGTCATGTCGCTCATGATTTAAATTGTTAAATTTACTTAAATAAAAGCAGAAATTATTTTAAAATATTTGAAAGATTATTTACCGCTCCCAATGAAGTTGTTCACTTTTTGCTTGTGCCAATTCATTTCGTGCATTTTGAAGCGTCGCTTGTGCATCCATTTTCTGCTTTTTCAATGCATTTTGTTGAGCTAGCTCGGCTTCAGCACGTTGATTACGTAGTCGAATAAATTGTATTAGACAACGAGTTCTACTAACTGGATCATCGAATGGACTAGATAATTCGCCTAAATAGGTTAAAATAATTCTTGTTGGTTTAAACTTTCTGGATTATTTCTTAAATATTATTCCAAATACTCATGTAAACATTCCTCCTCTCGGGGCTATCGCAAAGAACTGAAGACCGTAGTAAATCTCTCTTACTCCCGCTTAAAATTAGTTGGACATTTTTTAGCGAAAGCCAAACCTCTCTCCTTTCCCCCAAATATTTTAAACAAAAAATTCCCAGAAATTTTCATTTATTGCTTATAGAATCCCCAAATTTAAATCAAGATTATTTATAAAAACCTGAAATATCACCAATTTCAGAATTAACTTCACTTTCTTTCTTCTCAACTTCGATACCCAAAGACATTGTATTTTCAGTTGTTGCTGAAATTTCTGGTTCTTCAACTTCCATTTTTTCTATTTTTACTGTTGGATTTGGCATTTCCCAAAAATAATTTTAAAAATATATAATTCAAACAAAAAATTAAATTATAAATATACATATATAACTTTAATTGAACAAAAGTTAGAAATTTTTATAAGAATAAAAAAAAATTAATTATACATTTGTAAAAATATTATATAAAAATATAAAGAAAAAATTACAATATTCACAATTAACTAATAAATATAGTAAAGCCTAGGGACCGACAAATAAGCTTCAGCCTAATAGCCTAATTCCAACAAATAAATTCCAATCAAATTAAATAATATTTATTTTCCAATTAAATTGAATCCAACAATTAATAAAGTAAAAGCGCCAACAAAGAAATAGAGTAAGCCAAAGAAAGGAACCAACAGAGTAGAGCTGATTAGAAAGCTAATGTGGGTTTTGGAGGGAAGATTATATAGGCCAGGAAAATAGGCGGGTGAACAAAGTTAAAAGTAAACACATTCCAAAAGTGGGTAAAAAATAGAAATGAATGAATGGCGGCTGGTACAAAAAAAGGTTAATTTAAAAATAGATGCGCTTAAAGAAACAAAAGAAAGCTAATTTAAAAATTAGAAATAGAAAAAATTTCTTAAACAGAAAAGAATTTCCTAGACAGCAGGTGCGGTTAAAAATAATTTAGATTTAGAAAAAACAAAGATTGGAATTTAAAGAAAAATAAATTTTAGAAAAAATAAACTTAAAGAAATTAAATTCTAATTGTCGCCTTTCGCGACATTCCCGGGCCCCCAATGGTTTTTCTTTTCTTCAATTGTTTCTTTCTGTCATCTCGGATCATCATAGCATCAGATTGTCCCGCGTGCCATAAAGTGAGTGTAGCAGCTTGATTGAAGACGCATTGAATTCCAGTTTGTCCTCTATGGCAGCAGTTTCCGAAACGGTTATGTATTGAGCTTTTTGTTTTATTTCGGATTGTTTCTCTGGTGCGTGCCCTCGTATAAGCAGTCTTCCTTTTAGTCCACCTCCAGCATCTGCATCCCATCCTTCCAATAGTCCCAATCATTCGAAAGTTTTTACGACGAGATCGGCAAAGAGTAAGCACAGAACAGAGTCCAAAAAACGCGGTCTGAGTAACACGTGCCCAGAGAACAGCAAGGCTAGGATTGAACGAAGGGTTCACTAGCGGGTCAACACAAAGGGTACAGTCCATTAATAAGCATTCATTTAAGGCTGGGCATGTCATCTCTGTCGAAAACTTTTCTCGCGAGCTTTTCCAAAATTTGGCCGCACAATGATAGTCAGTCCAAAGCATCTCAGTAGGTGATTCGTCACAACATATTTCCATTTTTTGATTTCCAGTTGGACCAAAGACCATGATGCAAACAAGACAAAGTGCCACCAATGTACTTGCTGCTAGTTTAGCCCTTGCCACTGTAACTATCGGATGTTTTACCAACTGGTTTTGATCGGCTGAGTCAATCTTCAAAGGAATTGCTCCAAGTGGTACCACCAAATCATTAGGCCTTAAAGTCAGCGGCGCGACAGCTTCCTCCGAGATTGTCGAGATTGGACGTGGATTTAGGTTAGCTTCCGTCTTAGCATGATTTTGCTCGGGAGACTCCATACTCCGGAAATCTTCAACAGTGTCAGGCGTTGGAAGAGGTTTATTGTTACTCGCATTTACTGCCACCAGAGCCATAGACCTTTTATTCGAAATGTGTCCAAAATTGGTTTCGCCAGCTGTCATTGTTCCAAAAACAGTTTGAATCGAGTACAGGCCTGGTAAGATTTCCTTCTCCTTAGATATGAAGAATTTCCAAAATTGCTTAATTCCAATCATGATGTCTGGTTTTTCTCTCACAATTTCCAAGCTATCAACTCCAGTGCGATTATAGAAGTATTCATCAAAATTTATCATATCAAATGGAGTAGCAATTTCTTCGGTACAATTTAAGACGATTTCTTCCCAATTTCCATCTGTTCTTTGGATTTCAACCATATACGTGGGTGATCGGATTTTCAGCGGGTTAGACGAAGCGCCTCCAAATCCATGAATTTCCAATTGGTCAACTTCACGGCCTCTAGGCGGGTTGAGCTTTTCCACCAATCGTCGAGAAACAAAACTCGTCTGGCTTCCAGTGTCAAAGAACACATAGACGGGGATTTTTTCTTTACGCCCTCTAGCAGTGACCATCAATCTTTTTGTCATCAGGTAGGCAGTGGGTTTATTCTTATCATTCGTTACGGTAGCCACCACAGAATTTTCTTTAGGCGCTGGCAATCTGTCGTTGCAATTTGCTCCCTGATCCATAGAGTGCGGTTCGTCCCTCCTTTCCCATATTGACTGAGTAAATTGTGTTGGTCTAGCAACTGGTTCAAAACGATTAGGCGGAAAGGTCGTTCTCTGAGCAAATCCAGCAGATAAGGGTCGAGTTTGATTCCTGACATCACGCGAAAAGCATACCAAAAAATGATGACGTCCCTGGCATTTACTACAGCGACGGTGGTTCAAGCAGTCAATAGCTCGGTGTCCATCTCTTAGGCAATTCAAGCAACGGTTTTGCTCCAATAGGCGGTCCCTTCTTGCTTGTGTATTTCCATACTTAGTACATTCGCTAGGGAAGTGGTCCCCTTCTTGGCACAAAGAGCAATAGAGCGGTTTATATTGGCTAGCAACTGGAAACGAACGAGTAGGCTCTGGCAAGTAAAATGGTCGTCCATCTCTTCGCGGCGATCTTTCTGGCTCCTTATTAGCGGTACATCTTTGCACTTCCTCTTCTACTGATATGAGCAGGTTGAGTTCTGACCTCCAATTTCCAATCTTCCAAGTTTTTCCTGTCATTTTCTCTTTTTCAATCAATTTGGCTAGTATCCCTCTGGGTAGCTTTTCCTTCAGAGCAAATATAATCCATGAGTCGTCTTGGATACCATAGTCACTCAGTTGCCGACATACACGCTCAATTACATCCAAAAATTTCCGAAGGCCGATAACAGAGTCATGCGCTGGCGCGAGGTGGTAAAGCTCTGATTGCAACGCTTCCTTCAATACTTTTGAGTCTCCATATCGAGATTTTAATAGTTCCACCACACGCGGATAATTCTCATTCGTTGGAAGGTAACCGGCTACCACGTTTAGAACTGGTCCATCCAGGAGAGAAAGCAGGTAGTTCATTTTTATCACATTATTATAGCTTGGTTCATTATCGATTGTGGATGAAAACATTTGCCAAAACGTTGGCCAGTCTTTTGAATCACCAGAGAAATGCGGCAAGTGAAGTGGCGGAAGATTCACTCGTGGTTGCAAAAAAGGCGGTTGCAGTGCGTGGTAAACAGGTAATCCTGCATTATTCCTCTCAGAATTGTTGGTCCTAGCATCCAAATGGTTTATTCCAGTGTTATTCATCCTAGCATCCAAATGGTTAGTTCTAGCATTATTTGTCTCCTCATTCAAATCTACGCTATGATTACTCTCACTCAGCGCCGACTGACGAGAGTTGGTTCGAGAGCGTTCCAGGGTGTTAAGCATTTCCGAAACCATGTTTAGGACTTCACGAGCAAATTCATTTTGATCCAAAAAATGCCTTTTGGAGAGAGGAACCTCTTGTCCGTCTTCTAATCCACCAGTTTCTCCATGCGGGAAATTCATGTAAATAGATTCTTCAGCCATTCTTTGTGTTGGATCAAGACTATTTATAATATCAGTCCACTGCGTGTCCAGTTCAACAATTCGTGCTATGGCAGATTCCAAGTCTAGCTTCTTTGACCTTAATCTCTCACAAATACCCTCGTCCACATCTTTGCCCATTAACTGCGTTGCTTCTCTCGTATAAGTTTGTATTCCCTTCAGAACTGCGGTAATGTTGCGTCGAATACAGGCAGCCATTATTTATCACCAATTCAGTTTGGTTTAGTCCAGAGCAATAATTTCCCCAAAAAAAGAGGCAATAAGTTCCACACGGTGACCAGGATGGTTTCCCGGCCGTTGCACCAAAAAATTTATAGTAAAGCCTAGGGACCGACAAATAAGCTTCAGCCTAATAGCCTAATTCCAACAAATAAATTCCAATCAAATTAAATAATATTTATTTTCCAATTAAATTAAATCCAACAATTAATAAAGTAAAAGCGCCAACAAAGAAATAGAGTAAGCCAAAGAAAGGAACCAACAGAGTAGAGCTGATTAGAAAGCTAATGTGGGTTTTGGAGGGAAGATTATATAGGCCAGGAAAATAGGCGGGTGAACAAAGTTAAAAGTAAACACATTCCAAAAGTGGGTAAAAAATAGAAATGAATGAATGGCGGCTGGTACAAAAAAAGGTTAATTTAAAAATAGATGCGCTTAAAGAAACAAAAGAAAGCTAATTTAAAAATTAGAAATAGAAAAAATTTCTTAAACAGAAAAGAATTTCCTAGACAGCAGGTGCGGTTAAAAATAATTTAGATTTAGAAAAAACAAAGATTGGAATTTAAAGAAAAATAAATTTTAGAAAAAATAAACTTAAAGAAATTAAATTCTAATTGTCGCCTTTCGCGACAATAAACCAGACCTGTGCATGGATACGGATATGGATACAAATGAGTTCAAAATGCCTGCGAATATCCGCCTGTATCCGCCGTAAATATCCGGATATGGATACGAAAATCCGTGTCCATGCACAGGTCTGTAATAAACACAGGCCCACATACAGAATTTCCCTTTAAATGTTTGACTATATTCCAATTTCTTCCTAAATTTTAATTCCAATCTCTAGGACCCCCTCTCTCCCTCAACTACTGGCCTGTTTACAAATTCTAACAAGAAAATAATTTTATAAAAAAAAACCCCAAAAGAGGTGAAGGCCTCGGCTTAAAAATATTTATTTAAATAACCCATTTAACTCGTACTTGGTTTTTCGTTAATTTTCTCTTCTTTTTTATCTTCTCTTACCCCCAATTCTCCACGTGCCTCCCTCCAATGCAAAGCCCCAGACCGACGTCCCTGATTTTGTGCTTCGCTTCCATCACGTAATTGCGCATCAGGAGAAAGAAATTCAAGAAGTTCAGTCAATAGTTGATTTCGAAGCTGAACACGGCGTTCATCTGTGACGAGACTAGCTAGACGGGCATTCATTTTCTAAAAATCATTCAATTTATTAAAAATAAAATCTCGGTCCCTTACTCTTATAAAATTTCTCAGAACAGGTTCTCTAACTTTTGTACGACGTTGAATGGTTTCTTTATAATCATAATGATATCTCCACGTGACATCTTAAAAACAGAGCATAATAAAAGAATAAAAATTGATAACCTTGCATATGGTCAATGGCAAAGGCAAATACGTAAGCGTGCTTTTTACCCCATCCCTATAAAATTAATAATTAAGGAATTACAAACTTAAAGTTTCGAATCTATCCAAGGAAATTAATTTAGCTATGTTAATTGTAAATACATTTTATATGTATTTTATGAAGATTTTTGGAAAAAAAACTAAAGAATTTAAAATTTCCGTTAAAAGGAGAATCAAAAAATTCATAAAAATACCTTGTCATAAATTAAAGGTGTATCAATCACATTCTCGCAAGGATCACAATGTAGCCAACGCTTAAGTTGATCGGACCAAACCTCAACCCAAACATGGTCTAGATTATCGATTACAGAGCTTTAAATTTAAAAGAAAAATAAATTTCTACAAATAAATATACCGAGTTTGAAGTCCAAGTGCTCGGCAGCACAGTGCAAAACAATTTGCATATTCCCCACAACGTCCTCTTCTAAAATTAAAAAAAATTTTAAAGGATAAAATTCTAAAAACCTAGTTTCCAATAATTTTGCAGGATTATTATAACGTGGAAAACGTAATTCCTCTTTACAGTTTTCACAATTATAGAGCTCAACTGTAGTAACCTCATCTTGAGCCTCATCTTCAGTTGGAAAACCAACCCCAGCTAAATATAATATTTAACTCATTTTAATAAAAACAACCTCTTTTTCCTTCAATTCCACACTTTTCACATTTTGGAGAATTAACCCATTTAAAAAACGAATGGAACCAATTGAGAAGTTCTTTTGCCAAAAGGTAATGATTTACTTCGTTTTCAAAAGTAGCCTTTTGCCGCAATTCGTCTACTGGGATAATTGAAAGAGCTAGTGTTTGATTGAGCTCATCCTCATAAATCGCCATCTATTCAATTCAGAAAAATTAAAAAATATTTATTAGAAACAAAACTCTTTCGCTTGAATAAACAAATTGCCCCAACCATTCTCTCTCTGCGGCATTTGCTACATGTTCACCAGTTTTAGTTATTTTGGAAAGCCCATCATTAATTAATTTTAGAAGACCATTTGGATCGGCTCCCTGGATCCGTCCAATCTCTACTCGATTTAATAGGCAGAGAAAAGTAGGCATTGCACGAATAGAATATTGTTGAGCGACGCCTAAATAGATAGTCTAAAGGTTAGAAAAAAAGTGGTGATAATAAAAAAAGTAAGATTAAAAAATTAATTTGGTAAAATTCAAGCTTGCCCCCTTCTTTTCCCTTCCTCAATTTGTACAAAATGAGCAAACTTTCTTTTTTTCTCAATTTCACTCTATTTTGTGTAGGGCCATAAATTTTTTAAAATTATTTCTGAACCTTGACATCTGTCGACATTAATTTTAAGAAACATAGCTTGAGCAAAATCATTAGAAAAACGCTCAAAAATTGGAGCTATTGTTCGGCAAGGCCCACACCTAAAATAAAAATTAGAATAAAATTTCTAAATTCTTTTACCATTCAGCAAAAAAGTCACAAACAATTAATTTATTTTCTCCAGCTTCTGTCATTGATTGTTCGAATTCATTATCACTGTTGATGTGTTTGACTACCATAATTATTCTGAAAATTGAAAATCTACAAAAAAGTAAGAAAAATTCGGTGAAAAAATAAAAAAACAAAAGCTGCAACGTTACAAGGGAGGGAAAATTTAAAACTCAAATTTCACCGATCACTAGACTCTAATGGGTAATTAAATGCATTATGCCAAAAAAATTTTCTAAGCAAATTTTTAAATTATTTTTTAATAATCGGATGAAAATTAGTAATTTCACTTCCTTCAAATATTGTTTTTAATGCCGAATAAATGGACGGAGGATAGTGGTAAGCATTTTATCGCTGGCGGGCTTGCTGGTAAGTATTTTTATTAAAAATTTATTAAGTAAAATTTTTAAAAAAAATTTAAAGGAATAATTGAAGTTTGTATTGCCCATCCTTTTGATTGTATGAAAACTCGAGTTCAAATTGGTCAGTATAATAGAATTATAGAATGTCTTAAATCCACAATTAAGAATGAAGGATTTTCAGGTTTTTCTTTTAAAAATGAATTGTTTATTTAATTTAAATTTTTAGGGTTTTATAAAGGTCTTTGGCCCCCTTTAATTATAGAAACACCTAAAAGGGCAATTAAATTTACAAGTTTCGACTTTTTCCGACGTGCATTTTGTGCAGCAGATCAATATTTACCTGAATGGACTGTTGGGTTTTAATTTTTTATTTAAAATAATTTTTCTCTTTTTTTATCTACGAGTCTTATCTACTAGTCAGTTTTGAATAGGAAAGAACTTACTGAAAAATCTTTCTGTTTCATCATTAATAAGCACGAAACATAAATTATAGATAAAACCACGAAAATGATTAAACTCCTTTTTTTATAATTTTCTATAGGCTTTATATTCTATAATTTTTTTTCCTTTCCATAATTTCACAAACTCATTTTTAAGGATTTCTTTAAATAATTTTTCTTTTTATTTTAGAGATTCTCGCTAGCTGGTCTTTTTACAGGATTAACAGAAGCTTTGCTAGTTTGTCCATTTGAAGTTGTCAAAGTTAGATTACAATCAGAATTAAATATTCCTCGTTCTATGGTTTCTATTCTTTCTTTATTAAAAAAATTTTTTTTCAAAGCAAAAAAGTTGGAATTCTATAGCTCTTCAAATAATTCGTGAACGTGGTTTTGGAACTAATGGGCTTTACTTAGGAATAGGTCCAAATCTTTGGCGGCATGGAGTTTGGAATAGTTGTTATTTTGGAATTTATCATAATTTGAGGTTTTCTTTAAAATTAAAATTAAAAATTTTTTTTTAATTTAAGGTCTTTTCTTTCCAACTCTTTTTCTACCGAAAATGATCAAAAAATTGGCTTATTCTTTCGTTTTTCAATTGCTTCTTTTTCTGCAATTATTGCGAATTTGGCAAATATTCCTTTTGACGTTGCTAAAAGTAGAATACAAGGTTATTGAATTTTTTGATATCAACACTAGAAAGAAAAAAAATAAATTTGAAAAATCTTTTTATTAACAATGAGAGGCAAATTTTTCTTAAAATAATTTTTGGAATATTTTTCTAGACTTTTCTTTAATTTTTTTCTGGCAAATTATTATCATTTTGCCTTTTTGTTTATTTTAGTTCCTATAAATAAAAAATAAATATTTTTCTTTTATAAAAAATATTTAAAGGACCTCAACCTTCAAAAGACCGTTATTATTTTACTACATGGCAAACAATTAGCCTTGTACAACAACATCAGGGGTTCTTGTCAATTTATAGGTTTTTTTCAAATATTTTTTATTTAAAATTTTATTTTTAGAAGTTTATCTCCGCTAGCCTTTATTTTTGGTTTAGGAGGTGGTTTGATGTTAGTAACCTATGAAAGTATATATTCTTGGCTTTGTTTTAACCAAAAAGAGAAAAATGAAAAGCAAATTGTCTCCAACTGTTTATCAACACCGCCGGCTGCAGATATTCTTTAAATTTATAAAAATATAGTTTTTTAAGTTTAAAAAACAAATTACAGATTATTTCTAAATTTTTTGGTTAACCGAACTGAAAATCCCGATAACTTGAAATTTTTTATTCAAAATTTCAATTTAAAAATTGTCTATACCTATGAAATTTTGGTAATGGTGCACAATTGTAGGTATTAGACAATGCTGATCATAAATCTGATATCAGGTTTTGCCTATATAAAATGATTTTCACAAGGAAAAATTTTTTAAAGTTGTCTCAATTGTACACAATTACCGAAATTCTTTACTTATACTCTTGCCTGTATTTTTGTTCTTTGTAAAAATAAATTCAGATTAAACTTTTGAGCCAGTGTTTGAGAGTATTTTTAAAACTCCACACAAAATTTTGTATTAATCTATGTATATTTTAAATATAGTAATTGTCCAAACACTGGCAACAACTTTCCGTACATACTTTATTTTCTGTCTGTATTATATTAATGTTGTATTCATTTTTAAACTTCTAGAGTCAAATTTTTAGATTTCTTTAAACTTGTTTAGCTTTTATTGTATAAATTTGGATTAAAAAATAATGTTCATTTCTGTCAGTATTCCAACAACTGGAAGATTGTTCAAATATCGGGGGATTTTTAAATAACAGCTGGGATGTCGTTGCAGTCAGAAACTTAACTGGCCGCGCGCCCACGGTCGACTAAAACAAGCTTAATCGGTTTCTTTGATAAAATATAAATATACTTATTATCAGTTCATTTGTATAGTATATATTTTACCCGAGATTGTAGTTCTTACTGTATTGGATTTGGTTGAACGGGTATTGTTGAATGCGGCCAGTTAATCGTAAGTCGAATTTGATTGACTTATCTTCTTTTAGTATTGATTCAATTTTGATAATATTTCTATCATTCGAAAGCCTTTAATAAGCAGAATTTTTCTTCAAAAAAGTCAAATATTCCACAAAAAATTAAAATCAAAACAACAAAATGACAAAAACCCTGTTTTGGCGCGTAATGGGAATTCAAACGTGGCTTGTATTTTGATGGCTTGCCGATATTTTCCCTTTCATTACTTGATAGTTTATGTTTAATTTTTACTTAATTTTTGTTTATATTTTAAGGCAACAATTTTTTTAAAAAATTAATAAAAAAATGCCAGATGCAAATAATGACTCTTTTTGTTATGTCAGAAAGTAAGTATTTATACTATTTAAAAACTGATTAAAAATTTAAGAATGGCAAAAACAATCGAGAACGATGAAAAACGTTTTGTGTTTCTGCGAAGGTTTTTTTTAAGTTTTTAAATTTAAATTCCTTAAAATATTCAGTCAAGTAAATTCAGTAGAAGATTGCATGAAGGATGGGCCAAAGAAGTGTCAAACAATTAAATCTTTGGTTATTTTGGCTTTGGAAGAATTTATTCCGATAGAAAATTATAAAAGTGATCCTAGAATGCTTGATTTTTGGTACCTGATGGTAAGTAGAATTTTTAAAAAATATTTTGAGAATAAATTTTGCGGGCAAAAATAACTTTCGGATTCATTGAATATATATAGTAGTACAGACAAAATCGATTTTTATTGAAGATGTCATCCCTTGTAATTTGGCTATATTGAATTACTTCAACTAGAAGTATAGTACCACAAAATCCGCAAAATTTGTCCGCAAAAATTAAGAGAGGGATTTTTATGTGTTGAAGTAAAATATACTTTTTTTATCTGTCAATTTATTCACTAATATATTAAAAATTAATTTTAGGGCAAATACAGCGTTAATATTGGTATGGAGGGTGTTTTAGAAAATGTTCATCGTCTTGGGTATTTTAAAAATGTTCCAGAGTTTTATCTGATGTGGGCAGATTATTTGGGATCACAGCAAAATCGAGAAAATTTTGACAAAATTGTTCAAATTTGTGAAGAAAATTGCAAACTTGGTCCTTTTGAGAAACGCTTTAAGTATTTTTCTTAATTAAAAAATAAATCTTTTTAAAATTTTTCTTTCAAAGGGCTTTACTCCAAAAACATTTTAAAGAAGATTATTATAATGAAGGTAAAACATTGGATGTCATAAAAATGTTGGCAGATAAATCAGAGGTTGTGAGGTCTGATTTAACTTTGTTTCAACGAAATAAAGTTGTTGATACTCCACAAAATATTATTTCTGGCACAACAATAATTAAAGCAAAAAATCAATCAAAATTAGCAAAAAATACTGACAAATTTGAGGAAGAAAAACAAAACTTAAAGGAAATTAATTTATCACCAAAAACTGCTTCAACTTCAGCACCAATTCATGAAAAATTTTCTGTTTATAAGGATGTTACTTATACAAATTCTATAACTGTTCAAAATACTGTTAAAAATAAAAGGATTTCGGTTAGTTAATTTTGGAATTTTTTGGGCACTTAGTGAGAAACGTTAGGAGAACAACATTGAATCCCTTAGCTATTGGGGGGAGGGGGAATGGCTTTTAAAATTTTTATTTTTAGTATTATCCTGAACTTGATGACATAACACTTGCTGGTGCTCATGGAAAGTTCTCAACGGATATGTTTACTTCGACTCCTCGTCGTTCAGTAATGCCTAGCGATTTTGCTCCTTTGGATTTAACTGAAGGAACTCAATTTTTTGATCCGACTGAAAAAGAAGAAAAGGGTGAAGGAGGTGGTCTTTTTGGGTGCCAATTGACTGATAAAATGAAGGGAAATGAGAAAGGTGTCGGTCTAAACATCAAGAAACGTTTAAGTTTTGTGAGTTTTTAAATATAAATTATCGAAAATAATCCAAATGATTTTCTAGGCTGATGAAAATCAACGAGGAATCTCTAAAAATGCAAATCCGATGGCGGAAGCTGTTGTAAATAAAAGAACTTCGGTTAGTAAAGCAAGGGCGTATCCAGGGGTCGGACTGCTGCAATATATTCTAGAATATAATCCACATTTCCGATCATCATTCTCCAAGTATTTTCTCCATTTCTGCGAAGGATTGGATTTCAGCTTCCCCTGTATACGCCAGGGATGTCACGGGTTGAGAAAAATGTCGGGTCGTGTTTCGGATCTCCAAAATTTTTCTCGGATCGGGTTTCGGGTCGAGAAAAAAGTCCGGGTTTCGGGTAACGGGTCATCGGGTCGGGTTAGTTAAAATTTGAACACGAAGCCAATTTTTTGGAGCTGTTGGAGATATCAGATATTTAGCGGGTTAATACATATGTGTGTGTGATCAGATATTTAGAGGATTAATCCTCCAATATCCGTTTAACTTCAAGATATATCCCAAATCCAACTTTATCCCTCAAATTCTCCGATATTTTGGGATTAACTGCTTCAACTTCAGCACCGATCCATGAAGAATTTTCTGTTTATAAGGATGCGACTTTTACTAAATCTCCTACAACCGCTCAAAATACTGCTAAAAACAGGATTTCGGTTAATAAATTTTTGAATTTTTTACAACTTGATCAGTTGGAACGTCTTATAATACCAGAAGCTTGAAATTCCAAGCCCTCCAAAACGCTTGAAACACCAAACCGTGGATTGACCATTGGGCGATGACTTTTAAATATTTAATTTTTAATATTTATAGTATTATCCTGAACTTGATGACATAACGCTTGCTGGTTCGCATGGAAAGTTTTCTACGGATATGTTTACTTCAACTCCTCGTCGTTCAGTAATGCCTAGCAATTTTGATATTTTATTGGAGGATTTAACTCAAGAAAATCACATCTTTGATCCAACTGAAAAAGAAGAAAAGCGTGAAGGAGGTGGACTTTTTGGTTGTCAATTGACTGATAAAGCTGTAATAAAGGGAAATGAAAAAGATTGTGGAGGTTTGAAAATGAAGAAACGTTTAAGTTTTGTGAGTTTTTAAGGAATATTCCTAAGAAAATTGATTAATTTTTTAGGCTGATGAAAACCAACGAGGAATTTCTAAAAATAAGAATCCGATGGCGGAAGCTGTTGAAAATAAAAGAACTTCGGTTAGTAAAGCAAGAGGTAAAATATTTATTTTTAGTATTATCCTGAACTTGATGACATAACACTTGCTGGTGCTCATGGAAAGTTCTCAACGGATATGTTTACTTCGACTCCTCGCCGTTCAGTAATGCCTAGTGATTTTGCTCCTTTAGATTTAACTGAAGGAACTCAATTTTTTGATCCGACTGAAAAAGTAGAAAAGGGTGAAGGAGGTGGACTTTTTGGGTGCCAATTGACTGATAAAATGAAGGGAAATGAGAAAGGTGTCGGCCTAAACATCAAGAAACGTTTAAGTTTTGTGAGTTTTTAAAGATAAATTATTTACTTAAAATAATTGAAATGATTTTCTAGGCTGATGAAAATCAACGAGGTGTTTCTAAAAATACGAATCCGATGGCGGAAGCTGTTGTAAATAAAAGAACTTCGGTTAGTAAAGCAAGGGCGTATCCAGGGGGCGGACTGCTGCAATATATTCTAGAATATAATCCACATTTTCGATCATCATTCTCCAAGTATTTCCCCCATTTCTGGGAAGGATTGGATTTCAGCTTCCCCTGTATACGCCCTTGGGGTAAATGAGTTGAGGTAAAATTGAATGTTTAAAAAATGGTAATTTGTTAAAAAGTGAGACTAAAAGACGAAATTAAAATAGAAAACGGGTCGGAGAGGATTGATTTTAAATATTTTTAGTATTATCCTGAACTTGATGACATAACACTTGCTGGTGCTCATGGAAAGTTCTCAACGGATATGTTTACTTCGACTCCTCGTCGTTCAGTAATGCCTAGCGATTTTGATCCTTTATTGGAGGATTTAACTCAAGAAAATCAAATCTTTGATCCAACTGAAAAAGAAGATAAGGGTGAAGGAGGTGGACTTTTTGGGTGCCAATTGACTGATAAAATGAAGGGAAATGAGAAAGGTGTCGGCCTAAACATCAAGAAACGTTTAAGTTTTGTGAGTTTTTAAAGATAAATTATCGAAAATAATCCAAATGATTTTTTAGGCTGATGAAAATCAACGAGGGATCTCTAAAAATGCAAATCCGATGGCGGAAGCTGTTGAGCGGTTAAAGAAAATGGGGAAAAGGCGAGATTGAATTTTTTTAAAAATGGAAATTTGTTGAAGAGATTAAATTATTTAATAAAATATATGTAGTTTATTTATGAGCAATTAAAAATTTGAGCAAATCCCATTATAAATATAATTTTTTGACATTTGTTTTTATCATTTGTTGTTTCTAATAAGTGAACATAAATGGTCTATCCCTTTACGTCTGAATAGTTGAATATTCAGAAATTGATTTCCTGTTAATTCTATTTTAAATAAATTCAAGTTATTTATCTTCAGTAGTTGATAAACTATCATCTAGAAAATTTTAAAAATTAATTAACCAAGTTATTTTTCAAGAATTCAAGAGAAAGGGAGGTTATATAGGGATTTACCAAAAATTTCTTTTTTCTGCGCCGCAGGCAAAAATTTTGAAAATTTATGATGGCCGATAAGTCAGCATTCCTCCACTTTGGCGCCAAAAATTCAAATTTTTTCAAAAATTCGAAAATCGGAAATCGAAAAGAAACCCTCGAAAATCGAAATTTCGAAACATCCCTGATGTACATAACGGAAAACGGCAATAATTAAAATTCACTTATACTATAAGTGTAACTAATTATAGTATAACAAAAGTTAGAAAACTCAACTATTTCCACTAATTTTAGGCCAATTTTCAATAAGCAATTTTAATGCAATACTTGCTTGTTGTACACTTAAAGGGTCAACAGAAATTGAACTTAAATATTTTGAAGTATTTTGTTTATCAGAATCGGATGTTGTTGTTGTTGCTGATGATACTATACCTTGAATTTGGTGAGAAGGGTTTGATGTACAAAATATCTAAAAAATTTTTAAAGTATTTTTTAATTCTTTTATTAACACTCGTAGGTATAATAATAAAAACTAAATAAGAAAATTTGCGAACAGACTTAACGAAATTTATTTTAGAGAGTAGTGCACGTAATAATATCGCTTAGGCAGCACCCAATATAAAATTTTAACTTACTAAAGGTCCAAAAACACTGCATAATCTTTGCATTGTCATTCCATTATGAGGTTCCGATAAAAGTAAATGCCTCAAATGTTCCATAAGAAATACCACAGTTGTCTTTAAAAATGTAAAAAATTAAAATTCTCAAGAATTAAACTCCTCCACCCCTCCCGCCCTTCCCTTTCACTCCTCCCCACCCCCATCCCCCCTCCAAATTACTTTATTTGGTGTAGGTAAACAATCAACAATTCTCATAATTAATTTTTGATTTCCTTCAGAATCATTTGGGGGCATAACACCAGCAGCATCTAACAACATTGCATAAATATTACAAGGTATTAAAGGTTCAGAAAGTTCACGTAAAAAATCCTTTCAAATTAAAAAAATATACATATATATTTATTAGTTAAATTCCTCTCTATGAGTGGATGAACCTCTAAATAATTTATAGTTATTAAGGAATGCTTTATAACCTCTATATAATGTAAACTCGGCTTTATTGACAAAAGGGTCATTCCCCGTAAAAGACAAGGAAATTTATAAATTTATCTTTTAAATTTCTCCATATTCCTCAAAATGATCTCTAGAAATACTCTCCCCTTTTTAAGACAAATTTAAGAAATTTTCTTTATCCTATAAATTACTGGTGGACATAAAACTTACTTTAACAAGACAAGTAAGTAAATTAATATCGGGTACAGGTTGTTCACCAATATCTACTTCATTTGCATTTTCTTCAAGTTGAGCACGTAAATGGTCTTTTCTTTCACTTGCACCACACACTTGAATTTAAATATACCGTTAATAAAACAACATAAATAGTTTTAGTTTGTGGTATATGGTAGTGATGCTCGGGTATCCCGATCCCGACTCTGGAAAATTTCCCGAGTTTTTGGCCTCCCGACCTGACTCCCGTTTCCTGATTCCCGGGTTTTTTCTTCTCCCGAGCATCACTAGTATAGGGATTGCTATTAGGGCATTTACGTTATATTAATTTTTAAGAGATCTTAATTTCTAAATTTAAAATAACTTAATAACTTAAAATAACTTTAATATAACTTCTTTTAAAATAACTTCCTCTTACAATAATAAATTCCAGAATTATCCAACCCTCTCCTTTCAATTTCAGTAATTAATCTTTGCAAGACAATAGGCACTTCACTCTGTTCTCGTTGAAGTAATAAATTGAGGGATTGACCGAATTGATTATTATTTGGCCTTTTATTTATTCGCGAAAAACAAATCTTCATTTCCTCAAAAGCTATCTGAAATAGGTGTTCATTAATCAATTCCTCTCTTTTTTTAAAAAATTAACCTTTAAAAGTAATTGCCCTCTTGGTTCTAAATTTAAAGAGAAAATTCTATTTCCACAAAATCCATCAACTAACAAAACATCCATTAAACGAATATCTCCTTTATGGCAAAAACGATGCCTTAATTGTGGATGCCAAGCATAAACAAAAAAAGAAGCATCGTTTGCACAAACTACATCGATATCAAAACGTTCTGACCAACTTTAACAAAAAAATTAATTTATTTAAAATTTTAATAGAAGCACATATCCCCATAATAATGATAAAAGTTATCTCTATGTTAGCGTACAAAAAAGCTCTAACATATCCCCGTTTACAAATCATTGTCTTTTATTAATTCTCCATTTATCTCTAAATATCTCACACTAACTATCCTCAAACGTGGATATACTAAAGCCTGTTAGTTATACATACATATCACTCACGATCAAAGAGTGATTCTTAATTGTTGGAATTAAGGTAAAAAATTAACCGAAAATATTGTTCAGGTGTAGATATTCCAGTACGGGCTCTGTGTATTTCATCTATTTCAAGCACACAATATAATTTTTTTGAATGAATTCTGTCTGGAACTTTTAAATTTCTTCCCTCAACAATCTTAAGTTTAATAATTTTATTTTTTTGACGCCGAAGGCGCCTATAATTCAAAAAAATTTTCATGGAAATGAGAAAATATTTTTATAATTTTGAGAGAAATAATTATAAGATTAATTCAAAAATTCACCGTAACACTTAACATTCCAGTTAAAGAATTCCCCAAACTTCCATTACTCGCTAATTGATCTACATCAAAACCTGGGCCTGCCATACGTAAAGGAACTCTTCTATTCATTAAAGGAGAAACATGTAAACGATCGAGGATATCCTTTTAATTTAAAAAATAAAAATATTTTTTAAAATTTAATTTACAGCTCTCTCTGCAGGACTCATTCCTTCAGCTGTAGTCATCATTATTTGTTGTTGTTGTTGAGGTAATATTTTTGTTTTTCCAAATGTTGAATTTAAATGCTTTAAATTTTTGAAATTTTGATAAAAATATTTGGATATTTATGTATTATATATTTATTTTTATATTTTAGAATAATTATTAACTAAATATCAAGGTTTGAAAAATTTGAAAGATTCCCTTTCTAGAAAATCAAAAAGATATTATTATTCCCCAAGAATGTTTATTTGGGGTAGCTAAATGAATGCTCTAGTTACTTCACAATTTCTAACCAACCAAATATTAAATACTTTTGGGGGTCAATCACTTAAATATTTTTTAAATTTATTAAAAACATTATTATTTACATTAGCCAATAAAGCTTTAGAAGGTAAAGAATTTGAACGAATTGTATTCCCCCCACCACCATCAACTTTATTACAAGTTCCAAAAGTACTCCAACGTGAACGGTGTTGTTGTTGTTGATTATTAATTATATCCTCATCTTCACTTGCCCAATTTTTGTATTCTTGAGAAGAAAAAATATCTGCAACAGTTCTCCCATCAGTTACTAAACCCTTTCCTGTTTCTACTGAACCGTTAGACAAAAATGGATGACGAACTGTTTAAAAATACATATTTTATTTTTGATGTTTCTACAGTATTTAATTATAAGTGAAGGATGGGGGTGACGACTACATATTTTCGGTGTTAGGGAATAAAACATTTGTTAATAATAAAATAATTGTTTTTGGAATAATTTAATTAAAAAACACCTTTTCTATTATTTCCAAAATCAACATCAGAAAAGGCCCCTCTAAAATTGCTTTTTTGTTGTTGGGGTGAAGAAGGTAAATATTTATTACAACCAATTGTTGTTGAAGGTATTGATGTTGATTGTGGTGAATTATTTGAATAAAATGGAAAGGCAGCATTGAAAGTATAGTCATTACGCCCTTAAAAATAATTTTTGGAATTTTCAAAAATATTTTTAAAAATTCCAAACATTTTACTGTAGCCCTAGGAAATGGTTGTTGTTGTGGAGGAGGTGCTGCTGTCCACCCTCCACCGCCAAATACTGATTGAATACTTCTTAAATTAAATAAAAATTTTTTTTTTATATTTCCAGTAGTCAGTAAAGTGGGAATAAATGTTCGGAAAAATCCAAAAAAAAACTTAAATTACAACAAGGAAAGTGATTAAAATTAATTAATTAATCCCACTACTCGCCTCCTAGGAAGTGAATTGCTTTTGTAAGAAGTAGGTAATGTTGCTGGTTGTCTAATACAATAAAGTTGAGAAGGAATTCTAAAAATAAATTTTAAAAAATATTTTTATAATTTAATGAAAAAAATTATTATTTTATGTAATTTAAAAATAAGATAGCCAGAAAGGAAATTTTGAGTTTAATTTTTTTAAATAAATTAATGAAAATAACGGAAACCAGAAATTCTCTCCCTATCAGGGATTTCATGCATTGCGGATTACGTATTTTTTGAATATGTACAGTCAGTCCTGTTTCATATGCATAATAAGGAGAGTGAGAGAATCTAATGATTATGCCGTCACCGTGGTCTAAAAGCATTTCGGTTAGGGCACCCCTCCACCCCCACAGGGGGTGGAGGGGTTAAAATAAAACCCCACAGGGGGTTTTATTTTAAATTAAAATAACAATCTACAACAAATAAAATAAATAAATTTATTTACGTATTCTGAAAGGAAGAATGTTGTTTATATAAAGGTAAATTAGAGGAAATAGGTGCTGGAGGTATTATTGGAGGCATTTGTTGTTGACTTAAACTATTTGGTATCATTCCTCCTCCTCCACCTCCAACATTTTCTCCTCCAAAGACAACAACTCTTTGCCTTCTTTGAATTGGTGCAGAAGACGATGGATGTCTTTGTTGATGTTGTTTTTCTTGCCAACGAGAATCCAATGTTGCTGAAGAATATGCAGGAAGATGAGAAATATATGGAGGTATTGAAGATATATTTGAAGAAGAAAGTAGCGGAGAATTTTGTTTTGAAGACTAAAAAAATTTACGAAGTTGGTTTTTACCATAAGTATTATTATGGTTCAAAATTTCAAGAATACAAATATTTTTAGCACTCGAAGCGAAATTTTAAGTATTCTTCCTTAAAAACGGAAAAATAGTCGGCGTCTACCTGGCGGCGCCGAAATGTTCAAATAAAGCCTAAACCTTTGAAAGCCTAAACCTTTAGGATTAAAAGGATAATTAGGCGTTAACAAATTGGCGCCATGGATATTTTTTCAACCAAAACTTTTAAAGTTGACAAATTATATTAACAAATCTTATATCATTCGAGAACTAACAATTCAGCGTTTAGATTTTTTAATGGATAAAAATTAGCAACTAAGAATTTTTAAAACAAAATATTAACACCAAATTGTCTGCGCCGGATTGTCCAAATCATTCTCCCCATAAAACCTAAACCTTTTTAATTCAAGTTTTAATTAAAAAGTTGAAGCCAAAAGGTTTAGGTTTTATGGGGGGAACTGAAACGGACAATTCGGCGCAGCTTATTTGGCGTTAAGTAATTTTGGAGGTGAGTCAAAATTAAAGAACGGAAGGAATTCTATTGGAGATTAGTTTTTTTTGTTGGAAAGGAAATATTTTTTAAATTATTCAAAGGAATGTTTGCCTGTAATTGTTGTTGTTGTTGCATAATTCTTGGGGGTGGAATTCTTGCTGTTTGTGTAATCCCGTCAGTAATGGAATGTGGGGGAGGTTGTTGTTGTTGAATTATATTGGTGGTAGATGTTGAAGGTTGTTGTTGTTGATAATTGGTAGTTTGTGGATATTGTCGATGTCTAATTAATATTTGTTGTTGTTGTTGGGAAGTTGTTATTTCGTTCTTTTGATTTGCCTAAAAATTAATTTTGGTACTTGTCAATTAATTAAATAATTATTTTTTACATCTTCATCTTCTTCTTGTTGTTTTTTCTGTTTTTGTTGTTGTCGTACACGTTTACCGAGCCAGCTGGCAGCTGTGCTAGCTGGTTTTGAAAGGATTCCTGCACCTGATGACTTGAGAAAAAATAAAGAAATTAATCAGAGAATTCTCCCCCTTCCCTTTCTTTTCTACCTCAGAATCCCGTCTGTCAGATTCTGTAGATTTCTGAAAAACAACAACGGGGCGTTGTTCTGTTGCTGCACGTTCAGCTAATAAACGTTGTTGTTGTCTACTTGCTAATTGTTCTCTTTGACTATTTAAAAAGCTAGTCCTAAGAAGTAATCGACGAGGAATACTCAACATTAGAACAACTATTTTAAAATAATAAAAATCAGAAATTGTGTATTTAGGACATACCATCATCAATTCCCATTTCTTTAACGGGCACATTATTAACTGCAAGTATTTGATCACCAGGTCTACAAATATCTCCACACTTTTCTAATTCAGAATTTTCACCAAAACGAGAAACAAAAACACCCGTAAATTGATCTATTCCTTTAAATTTTCTTTAATTTAAAGAATTCCCTTTAATTATCCAACCATTTCCTTCTCTCAAATATAATCCAAGTGATTGGCCCGGTTTTTTAATAATTTCAACAAGTTGGACTACCCTTAAATCATTTGAATAAATACCAGATTTATATTCTGTTCTGAAAAAAGAAGGAGAGTTTTTTTCTTTAAAAAGATTCTTTTGCCTGTCAAGAATTCTCGCAGAAAATCCAATTACTCCTTTCGAGGTTAATGTACTTTGTTGTTGATCTACTTGACGAATTTGGCGATAAACGGAATCGGGCAATTCTCGAGAAGCATAAGGCCCAGAAGAGGTGCCAGGCACTTTTTCAAAAAATAATTATTTTTTATTTAATTATTCAGAATCCTCTAATATTTAAAGGGGTATTTCAAGTAGAATTTAAGAGAAATATTTTAAAAAAATATTTAAATTGTAATATTTTTGAATAAATTTTAAAACAAAAATTTTAATATTAAAATAAACTAATAATTTAATTAAAATAATTCTAAAATTCTTCAAATATTGTCTTATTCTCTTTTACCAATTTTTAAATCAAAATTTTATTTTTAATGGCAAAAATGAAAGTATTTAAAAAAAACAAATATTTTACTCTTTAAATTCCTCCCAAAATTAAATTTATTTAAATAAAAATTAATTAATTAAAAAATGGAGGGAATAAGTAAAAAGTTAATTGAATTTTTTTAATTAAAGAATATTTTTTTAATTTAAAAAAATAAGTAAGCACCTACCTTGTACACACTGATTAGATTTTTGTTGTTCATCTTTTTTATTAATTTGTTGTTGTTGAGCACTCCAAGGCATTTAAGTGATTTTTAAAAAAGAAAAGAAAATATATAAATTAATTATTTTCTATTATTTGCTAATAAACTTTTTAAAAATAAATTAAAAAAAATAATATTTTTTGAAAAATATACTATGTATGTATAACGGTTGAATGGGTAAAAGAAAGACAAAATAATTTTAAAAAATAATTTAATAAAAATTGTGGGGGTGTTGTTTAAAAGTAAAATTTTAAAATTCTCGAATTTACAAAAAAATAATAGACTAAGGGGGGAGAGAAAGTCTTTTTTCTAAATTTATATTTTTAAATAATTTTTGTTTTTAAATTTTGTAATTAAATATTAAAATAAAAAATTTAAATTTTTTTCCATATTATTTAAAAAAAATTTATTAATTTAATTGTGTAAACCAGTTAAGATTAACGGAGGGAGGAGGGAGATATAAACAAAAATTTAATTATAATTTATTTAATTAATTAATAAAAATGTTAAAAATAATAAAAATTCTTTTTTTTTAAATAAAAATAAAAATGTTTTATAGGAAAGCCCTCCAAACACTTGACAGCTTTTGGAGAAGATGGGCATTCTGCAAAATTTAAAAAGTCAAGAGTTTATAGAAAAAGCAATATATTTTGGGTTAGAAAATGGCAAGGAAAAAAGAGAGGTGCCAATAAAATAAACCAAAAATGAGAGGAAAGGAAGAGAGAGGAGTAAAAATACTTTTTTAGTTTTTAATACTTTATGAGAAAATATTTTTTTGAAAATAAAATTTAAATTTATTTAAATATTCTAAAAAGAATAATTTTAAAAATTAATTATTATGGATCAGGGATGAGCCGGGTTGAGAAAAAATGGATCGGGTTTCGGGTCAAAAAAAGACCGGGTTTTTGGTAAGTTATGGATGGGAGATGGAAACAATCATATGAATGAGACCAGACTGAAGCACAGACTGTGCCCTCATCCAACTCTATGATTATTGGGAAGTTTTATCTTCTGAAAGTGCGAACAAAAAATTAATTAAAATATTTATTTTCCTTAAAAATTTTTCAATGATTTTTGGAAATTAAAAGAATATTAAAGAGTAAATATTTGAAGAAATAAATTAAAAAGAAAAGATTGAGATACCTCCTTCTTTTACTTGAAATAAAGAAATAAGTTAACTTTTGGAAGAATTTTGAAATTTTTTTAGTTAAAATAAATGTGAAGGTGGATGAGGCTTAACATTTTTATTTCCATTTTTGGAAAGTGATTGATTGGTTTGGACATTTATTTTTCAAGTAAAAGAAGGAGGTATTTATTTGAAAAAAATGTAAAAGGATTTTTAAAAAATTTTGTTAGAAATTAACAAATTATATGTTAGACGATAAAAAGATATTGCCAAAAATTTTACTTTTTGATCGAGGTTAAAGATAGTTTTTTAGTAGACTCGATCAAAACTTGTTTAAGACCGTCACTCGGTTTTAAAATTTTTAAAAATCGGTTTTATGGTTTCCAACCAAACAATTAATTTATTATTTAATGAAATCTTTATTTCAATTTTCTGTTTTTTATTTAAAAATATTCAATTTTAACAAAAAATCTCAGAATTTTTAATTTCAAAACCAATCTTGCCAATCCGCCTAGTCTTTAACTCACTCCATCGAAATTTAATTAAATTCCAATTTTATATTTAATTTATCCCTCTAAAAAATTTTTTAAACAAATTTAAAGTGTTAAAAATTAAATTTTTTTGTTTTTTAAAAAGAAAAAAAATTTTTCCAAATAAAAAATGTTCTACAACAAATCCTTAGGGAATATATACTTTTATAGAGTACATAAATATTTTTGATATTTTTTTCTTTAAATAATTCTTATGGGAATATTTGGAATTTATTTTTGTGAATTTTTAAATATTTATTTTTAATAAAAACTTCAAAGAAAAATAAATATTTTTTTCTCACCCAGATTTTAAATTTTATTTAATTGGATTTTTAAAGTGTTAAAAATTAAAAATATTGTGTAAATACTGTTAAATGTACATACTAAATACAGTCATGAAAGAATAAAATATGTAGAAAAAAAACAAAGGCTTAAAAAATATAATGAAAAAAAGAATGGCCATAATTAGAGTTACGGGGCTAAAAAGTAATTGTAGTTACACAAACACTTCTCGATCTATTAGATTTTCTTCTTTAAATTTGAAAATATTTTTATAAAAATTTTGTGAAATATTAAAAATTGAGATTTAATAGAATTTTAATTTTAAAATTAAAAGAAAATTTAATCAAGAAAAATAGAAACAAATTAAATAAAAATACTAATATATCCATTGTATATCGATAAAAAAGCGCGGGTCAATATGTATAATAAAATATTATTTTGCAAAAGTATTTTCACACTTTTCTCGGCTTTTAGTGTTTTTATGGATTAGCCTATAGGGGGAATGGGAGAAGTTTATTTTTAAAAAAAAAGTAAAGGAAAAATTGGAGAAATGTTTAAATTAATAAAATATATTTTTTAAATTTTTTTGTCATTAATCTTTTCAATCGTTAATTAGCACAAAAAGAAATTAAGAAAATCAAGTTAAATAAACCCCGTTATATGTATGTAATTAGGTACTTATTTTTCTCCGGATATAATAAGTATCCCTAACAAACTCAGAAATTTTGCCAAGAATGGAGAAGAGGGTGAGGCTTTGAAGGAAATTTCAGTCAACTCAAACGTTTGGAGAGAAAATAATATACCTAAATTTTTAAGAATTTTGTTAAATTTTTTGAAACCCAAAAAAAATATTTAAATAATTTTGGAAGCTAAATAGAAAAAATTTTTTCAGTTGCATGGAAAATTGGCCAGGCTATTTTATATAAGAAAAAAAGAAAAGTGCGCTTCTATCTCACACCATTTTTCGCACACTCTTTCTTTTTGTTGTTGTCAACATTTATAATATAAAAAATTTTTTTTTATAAATTTTTCTCTCTTAACTCATTTTTCTTTCTTTCATTGCGGCAAAAAGCGTATGTGGCCAAGACTGAGACATAAAAGCATTGATTGGCATTACTTGTTTTTAATGGCAAATATAAAAATGCCAAAGAGAGAGGGAAAGAAAGGATTTTTTTAGTTTTGCTTTGTACAAAAAAGCTTTTCTAATTTTGGCACAAATTTACAGGCATTTTATGAATAAAAATATTAAAAAGAAGGGGGGAGGGAGGAGGGGGAATTGTTTTGAATGAATTAAAGGATAACGGTTATCTGCTACAATAAAACTGTTTTGTAACATTTTGTCCACTATTGCAAACAAGGATACCAATAGATGCCACAAAATTTTCACAGAATTTTAGCACGTAAGGCATGGTAAAGCTCGCAGTAATAAACATTTCGGAAAATAATAGTTGAATGATTGGATTTTTGAGTTATGTATTAGGGTGTAACATAAATAATTAGCCCCCCTTAAATCATTAAAGTTTGAAAATGTATATCTCAATGTTCAGATCTCCAATCCATTTAATTTTTTTTGTCATATATTCACATTAATGCCTTCTTCATTTTCTAAAAGATTTGAAATTTTTTCTTCATTTAAAAATTTTTTATGAATTTTTAAAATTTAATGCAAATTATAAAATCGGTGTCCAGTTCAAATATGAGATTGAACTTGGACATTCGAAAAAGGAATCATGGCGCAAAATATGCAAATCGAAGTATGAGGATGTTATCTCCTATTCCACAGAAAAAAGTTGGCTCTCCAAATAAAAGAAAGGTAGAGAGGAGCTGAAAGACAAATAACGTCTTGGATGCCAACCAACAATAGATAAGAATCCCGTTCTCCCCTGAATCAAAGCCAGTCCAAAAAATAAAATGTGTATATTGGGGCAGGCACTCACCTGCTCACTTACAAAAATTAACATAATTTTACTTGAAGCGGGTATCAAGTTATGAAGGGTCAATTGATACCCCATGAATTGCCGCAAAATCAAAAAAATCGCTAAGTCACTTTTGCAAAACAACCCCTTAAATGCCACAATGAAGCTCCTTATTTGAAACAAATTTTAACCTATGAGGAAGTGTGGGTTGCCTTCATGAATTCTGTAAACAAAAAGGAACGGTTCATCCCTGCTAACCATCAATTTTGACCTCTAATCCAGACTGGTCCAACAGCGTGATCTGTTATGTATTTGGTGGTGTCGCGGCGGGGTAATCATTGGAATTTAGTTTAAACTGGCTAAACTATTACCCCCAAATTGTATTATTCCCATATAGATCGAGTCCATCGAAAAATCTGGTCGCCTGGCCTCGCTAGGCATTTTCGCGCGAGAGTTATCCTAAAACAGCATAATGCTAGCCCCTATTTCACAAATGCGACTCTCTAAAAAATCAGCCATTTGTTTTCCAGGGGAATTTCTTATATCATTGTATTCATCAGATTCTGCTCTATCAGAATCTATTTAAATTTTCATTCTTACTCATCAATTTTGCAGAGAAAAATCAAAAAGAATTTGCCTTGTTTCAAAAATACAAGCTTTAGTATTTCACCTCTAACTCCGGTCAACCTAAACCTAGAATTCTAATTTTTTGCCAGAAAATAGGCAACTCTCTTATGATCATAGAAAAATATTATTTGAAGTCTGAAAACATTTAGTTGAATTTTAATAATTATTTAATCCTCTTACCACAAGGGGGGCTAATTATTTATGTTACACCCTAATATGTATATCTAAAGCAATCTCAGATCGAAAAAATTTTGGATAAGTACTATTTTTTTGTAAGTACGAAGCCCGACTTCCCTAATATACTTCCAGAATAACTAAAAATAAACAAAGTTCTTTTTAATATTCAAAAATAATTAAAGTTCAAAAATTGTTAAAGTTAAAACAAAACAATAAATTCAAAACAAAATTCTATTATTTAGCAGTAATATCTTTCAATTTAAAAATATTACGAAGCCAAGGCATCCAGCGATTAATATCTAGTAAAATAAAAAAAAATTATAGAAATTAAAATTTAAGAATGATTAAAATCAAATTTTTGTAATTTTGGGGAAGAACTTGTTTTTCCTCGTGAAGAGAGAGAGACTTTCCCAAAAATAACCCTTCCTCCCTTTTAATTATTAAAAAAATAAAATTTTTTCTTTTCTTATCTTTTCTCCCCGATAACATTTCTCGATTTGCCAAAACAATCATTAATCTAACATGACTTGCATCTAATTCATTTACAATATTTTTAATTCGTTCAGCGCCAGTTCTTTTCATCCATTTATGTACTCGATTATGTTGTCCAAATTTAAGTGCTCTAATTAAACGTTTTTGAATTTTATCGGTAGAATAATCTTTAAAAGAAAAAGGATTTGAATAAAAATTATTTTAAAAATACCTTGTGGACATATATGCTCTCCTTGAGAATAAACATGAAAATTATCTTCGTCTTTTACACGTTTGGCCATTATTTTGAATTGACAACGAATTAATTTATATCTAGCCATTTTGCATTTAAGCATAATTGACTTTCTATTGAAAATTTAAAAAAATATTTAAAAGGCAGACATTTTATTCCAAAAATTTAATTTCAAAATTATCACAATTTGTTAAATTAATTCGATTTCAAACCCCCAATTTTTACCAATTTCTGAATTAATCTCGAAGATTAATAATTAAAATTTTCTATTTTTAACTACCTATTCGAATCCAATTGATAACCAATAAAACTTTGACATTTATTTTGTATTCTAATTTTATCCAATTCAGCAACATCATTAACAGTACATAAATAATGCCAATCTTTTACGCTTGCTGCTGGATTCTTAAAAATATTTAATTTTAATTAAAAACGACTTTTGAGGATTTTGTAACTTTCTCTCAAATACTCAAAAAATTTACCCTCATTTTAAAATAAATAGTCATTAAAATGTTCCCGGCCAAATTTCTTAGTTTTAGGCAATAATTTATTGTCATATTTTTTTCAAACTTTATATCATTTTATTGATAATTACACTTATTTATCTTGATTATATAAATTAAATTCCGTAAACTTAATTTACTAGAACTTATACTCAAAAGTTGATTCATCAAATACCCCACACTTCAAAAACTTACTTTAAACAATTCTGGTGGTTTTGTATCCTTTAATTTTAAAGCGTTCAAAGCTCTTGTATTACGTATATCTGTGGGAAAAAAATTGTATTAATAAAAAAAATTTTTAGAAATCTTTTTGAAGAACATTTTAGTAAATAAATTCTACCGGTCAATACTCTAAATAAAATCCAAAAAATATATATTTTACCAATTTCTCTAAATTCGTGATTGTGATTGCCATGTTCATAAACAAGAATTCCAAAAGATTTTCTAACAGCAAACAATCCATATGGGCATCTTTCTCGAGTAAATCTTAGAGTGCAATTAAGTGTAACTGTCTTGAAGTTTTTATATCTTCTTAAATTTTGTCTACTGCAATGTAACTGAAAAATAAAAATAACTAAAAAAGAAATGATTATTATTGGAAAGGATATTAAACCTCCTCCAAGCGCGTATCCAGGAAAGGGGGGGGGTGAGGGACGATTCAGTATCGAGGCCATATTTTGGGCCATAATTTTGATTTTTAACTGATTTAAATTGTTATTATATCAATCGAAATCTCTAAAAGTGAGGATTATTTTACCTAACAGGATTGATTTGATGTGGTGCTAAAAATAATAAATTAAATTACAGCCGTACCAACTTGAGGTTCGAAATGCCTAATACCTAAAATCCGCTCACTGAATATCCCTTTGGAACGAAAAAATTTAAAAAAACCTCAAATCTTAGTAATTCCAGTTCTTCATCATCTTTGACAGTTTTTAACAATTTGTAATCAATTTTATAAAAATTTGTTTGTCGAGTAAATTCTCTAGTAATAGTTTGTGGTATATTCTCACCATCATCCTCACTTTCACAATTATTTAATTTAATTCTTTTAGACGTTACTTGTTGCGGATTTTGAATATTTTCATTTAATTCATCTACTCTTGATCTTTTGGGTGGCAACTGTTGTTGTTGTGAAGTTTCCAAAATTTCTTTTTTAATATTTTTCTTTGATTTTTGTAGCACTTTTTGTAGCACTTTAGTAGCACTTCTAGTTTGCATTTTTTACAGAAAAATTTTTCTAATTCTAAAAAAAATATTAAAATTTTAGAATATTTTAGTTAAATAATTAAAAAAACATTCCTAAATTAATTATTATTTCAACAACTATTTCCCTAAGAAATGCCCCTTTACTTTTTTGGAGAAAGCTGTTGATCTAAATTCTACAAGAGTTAAAGGACCGTAATATGTAAGTAATTGCGGACATAAACTTTTAAAAACAAAATATCTTTCTAAAAATAATTCAAAAAAATATAGTTAACGTACTGTTACGTACCATCACAAAAAATATAAATTTAAATATTTAACGATTTATATTTAGAATTAAAAAAAAATTTATACAAAAATGAAAACAAATAAATAAAAATTATTTCCACAAACAAACAGTTTTTCGTTTATCACCACTTATTAAAACATGACCAGCTGGATGCCAAGCCAAAGAAAGAACCGGAATATTCCTTAAAAAATTAAAAGTTGTAACAATATTTTCATATCCTCCCCCCCCTGTTTGAATCTTTAATATTTACTTTCTTGCCAATCAAAAGGATTTTGTTAGCTTATTTGTTAATATTTGGCTTCCTTCTACTGCAAAAAGGACATGATCTTTTTAATTTTCCCAAATCATCACTTTTGATTGACAAAAAAATATTAATTAAAGAAAAACTCACTCGTGGCCTCCTCTAAAAAGAATTTTTTCAAGCCGAGTACTATGTAAACTCCAAATAAAAATATGTCCATCAGCAGAACCAGCGGCCACATAACTATCGCCAGGGCTGATTACAGCAGCGCGGCTATAATCAGACGAAGTTCTGTATTGTTCGGCACTAAAAATAAATTAATTAGGAAATGATATTTACTTAAAATGTCCTAAATTTATGATGTGAAAAAATTTAATGGGGGGGGGGGGGGGACATTTAAATAATTCTTTAAGAAATTAATTTAAAATCACTAATCCCCATAACTTTCAAAATACAAATAATTTCAAAAATGATTCAAAAATTATAATTTTCAAAAAATATTTAATTTTTAAATAATACAAACCTATAAATATGTAAAGTATCATTTGTACGTAAATCCAAAAGCGTTAAAGTTTCGTCTCTAGATGAACATAATAAATACATAAAATCTAAAAATATGAGGGTAAATATTATTTAAAAAATAAAAATAACCGGATGTAAGGCATAATGAAGTCATTTTGGCATCAAATTTAACTAAATTAGTAGGTGAATCACCCGGAGCTCTAGTATCCCAAAAACGGATCTTTTTGTCAAAATGAGCACTTATCTAGACAATTTTTATAAAATTATTTTTAAAAAATATAATTAACCAAAGGAGCACCATAATGATCATTTGTTACCAAATCACAAATTGTTGATCCAGGAAAAAATGTTTTTTGACCTTAAAAGATAAAAATGTATTTAAAAAATATAAAAGGTAATAAATTATTCAAAAAAGAGAAAAATCTTTTTACAACAACAAGCCCGGAATATCCCCAAAAATTATGATGACACGATCTAAGATATCTTTACAGTGAAACCTTTCGGAAAACTGCTTTTTTTCTAAAGATAAGCTTAATCAATAAAGGAGAATTTTTTCAAAAAAATTAATTTTAATAATTATTTTAATTAAATTTTACATCTATTAGTTATTGTATCCCAAATTTTTACTGTTCTGTCATTAGATCCTGAAGCTACTTGACGTCCATCACTCATAAATTTTGCAGAGGTTACTTTATCTGTATGGCCAGTAAATGCAACCTTTTAAAGAAAAAGAAAATAATTTTTACAAAATTAATAATTACCCTCATTCGTTGATCATCTATCGACCATAACCTCACAGCACAATCATTACTTGACCCAAGCAAATGACCACTTTCTAGATGAATATCAATACGTGTTAAGCCTTGAACAGCTCCAGTAAATTCTAGCCTTAAAATTAAATTTGGGTAAAGAAGTAAAATGTTGGGAATAAACATGACTTTAGAAAAAATAAGATGTAAAAGAAAAGTTATTTAAAAAAGAAAGGCATTCATTTAAATAATAAAAAATAACCATCTCACTCTAATAACAAATTAAAATTCCAACCTTTTTACACAATTATCATTTCTTGGTTCCCACATTTTGATCTTTTTATCAATTCCTGCAGTAAAAAAGAACCGCCCATTTGGATGAAATTTTACATCATTTACATCTCCAATTTCGTTGCATTCCTATCATAAAATAAAAAGAAATTCCTTTAAAAGAAGCTTTACAAATTTAATTCCACATCTTTCAGGTATAATATCTCCAAAACTTTGAAATCTTTCCTGAGCAAAAGCAGAATCAGACACATCAGAAACGCCTTTTTCGTCAGCAGCAAGTACTTCAAAACTATCGTGGATGTTCAAAACAGAACAAAAACTTTACTCAAATTATTTTTAACAAAGAATATAGGGAGCCGGAAAACAACAAAACCGAAATTGATAAAAAGGGAATGAATAAAAGTGATAAGAATTTTTTGAAAAAAGATTTTTGGATATATTAAAATTAATTAAAATTAAAAAAAAAACTTACGCCTTTGCGTCTAAAACAGGATTTGGTTTTGATGCTTCTGCAAGGTCGCATTGAAGTTTTTGTAAATTTAACCTTTAAAATATAAAAAGAAAAAATTTCAAAAATTGTACAATTAAATTAAACAAAAATGGAAGAGGAAGGGTAAAAAAGTGTTTTTAAATAATTTTATTAAATTAAAAACCAACTGTTGTTCCCTTTCATTCATTTCATTAACAAGAGTAATTTCCCTTTCTTTCAATTCCTTCATTCGGTTAATGAGTTCAGCACGTTCTTTGTCTGCTTGACTATATTTTGCTTCAACAGCAGAATAAGCAGCCTATAAAAATTTAAAGTAATCAAAAACCAATTTAATTTTTACCTGCAAAGCAATATGTTCGTCAAAAAGTGTTCGATTATCTGATTTTAACTGTTGCATTTCCTCCTTTGTTCGTGTCAAATCTTTCTTTAGTTTCTCAATCGTTTCCAGTGCTTTATCACGTCTAAAATATTTAAAAGAAAATTTAAAATTATTAAAAAAACCAAACTCTATTTGAGTATTTTTTAATTCTTTTTCAACATTTAAAAGTCGATTAGTTGTTTCAATCAATTGTTGATCGTTTACACCTTTTTGAAGACAAATTTCTTCATATTTAGATTCTAATGCTGCTATTTGTTCTTCATGCTCCAATGAACTTTAAATATTTAAAAAATTAATCAAAAAAATATATTAAAAAAACCTTTCCTGAGGCAAAGAAGATTGAGATTTGCGAACAGAGCGAGAAGAAAATTTTTGTCTTGTCATTAAATGGCGCATAGAATCAGCCAAAGATTGGTCTATTTTTAAATAAATTTATAAAAAAAATAAAGAAAAAATTACAAGATCGAATAATTCTGTCAAACTGGGCACTCTGTTTATCTCGAGCCTGAAGACGATGCAAAATTAATGTTCTGCATTCAGTATGATTCATTTCTTTAAATAATATATATTAAGTTTCAGAGATGCTAATATGGCACAAAATATGATAGAAAACTAAAAAGTAAAAATATTCAAGGCTCATGAAACCCCGAAAATTTTAAAATTTTAATTTTTAAAAATTTTAAGACGAGAGAGTTATGCGAGATTGTTAGAGAAAAAACATAATGCCAAGGAAAATAAAGGCGCTAACGTAAATTTAATCGGATTTAAGATCTAACTTGAGAAATTTTTAATTAATTTTTCCTGATCAAGAATGACTTTCTTCCATTTTTGTAATTGTCTTATACTTGCTTATGCTCCATATTTTATTGTTTATAAATATTCAGCACTTTCTGAATATTCCAATATTTGGAAATGTGGTCAAGCAGCTCTAGGTATTTTTTATTTTTTTAATTTTTAATATTTTTATTTTTTAGCTTATTTACTTACTCAATTCATTAAAATGGTATTGAGATATTTTTACTTTTTTATTCAATTTTTAATTTTTTAGCTTACTTTGGCTACATTTTATCCTGTTCTGGATTCTGCGGAATTTAATCCAACTTATGTATTTTTTAAATATTTTTATTAAAATTAATTTGAAGTTTTAAATAGTTAGCTCTTTTCCACATGATTTATCTAAACTGGTTTTTTTGAAAGATTTTAGATATCCCAAAAGTTATCGGTACTTATTTAGTCCCCCCGTCAATTTTGTTGGAAAATATGTAAAAATGGTCAGTCTGACAACAATTGTAGAACCCATCGAGTTGTGTCGAATGACACCAAAATCGACAAAATCCGACTTGATCTGACCGAGATACAGACGACACAGCTCGATGGGTCATTCGACACAGCTCGATGGGTTCTACAATTGTTGTTCAGACTGACCATTTTTACATATTTTCCAAAAAAATTGACTAGGGGGGGGGGAACTAAATAAGTACCAAGTTATTTTAAAAATAATCCTTTCCCTTAATTGTGTGTCCTTTAATTATTTTTTAATCCCTAAAATAATCCAATTCATTTGCATTCTTAATCATTGTCCAAAAATTTTAAATAATTATTTTAGGAAACAATGAAAAGTGCAGTTGATGTAATGGATATAATTGGTCTCCATTTTACAATGACCTACTCAGGAAAAGGACAAGTTAGAATGCTTAGTGCAGGTCTTGGTTGGGCTGCTGCGCATGCTGCTTTGAATTATTTTGTATTTTTATTGGTTGGAGCTAGAGCGGCTGGTTTTTCTTGGCGTTATTTACAAACAGCTTTTGAATCGAATATTTATTTGGTATTTTTTTGAAAACTTTTTTTAATGTTTTAATGAATTTTGCCTTTATCGTCAATATTTTTATTTATGTATTCCCTGTCAAGAGCGTATCCATGAAGGATGAAACCCCCTCTCCCTTCTAATTGTGAAATGGGAAGAATTGAAAAATTTTCAAAAAAATTTTTAAATTTAACTGCCTTGTATATTAGGTGAGAGACTAGCCATAACAAAAAAAATATTTAAAAAAACATTTTGAAATTTAAAATATGTATGAAAGACGGACTTTTAACTTATTTAACTTAATTTTTAAAAATTAAAAAGGCTTTCTATATGTGTTTGGCAACACTTGTTTGGGTATACAATCGACAAAATCAAACTTTGTTTTATCGACGATTGGCTTCATTATTGCTGCTTTATTGTATTGGACACTCGTTGATAATACAGTTTTGTTTTTCTAAATATTATTTAGCTCTTTTTTTATTTTTTTTTCAAAATTTGATTTAGTTATAAATTCCTTAAAAAATCAAAATTGAATCCTTTTCATTTTTTTTGAATCCTTTATATTAACATTATTAATTTTTAAAGGCTCCTTTCAATTAAATTTACTTTATATTCCTGGCATTTATTAGCAACAAAGGCAGCGTTAACTTTTGTTCTTTTTGTTTTTACTTTAATTGTTTATTCAAATGTTGGAATAACAGAAAAATCTTCGACATCAACAAATAGACATTATGAATAAATAAATTGTTTTTTCTAATTTTAAAATGAAAATAGATTAATTTTTTGGTTAAAATTTTTGTTTATTTACTAATTTGTTTAAAAATTTGTATTTTTTCAATTTTTATTTATTTAAATATTTTTTTTTATTTTAAAATTTAAGAAATGAAGCTAAATTTATTTGTAAAAGGAATAGCTTATGGTGTTTATACATTCAGCGCTTTACATGTTTTTGCTGAAAATGTTGGATGTTTTATTCTTTGTCAAGGTTTGTTGATTGGTTAATTGTTTTTGGTGCATTATGGATAGGGAGATGAGTAAATATGGTTTTTGGAACAAAATAATTACTGCCTGATGTAGCCTAAATTATACCAAAAATACAGCGTCTTGTAATTTTGGGACCAAACATAATATTTTTAATTAAATTCTCTTAAAATATTTTTCAAAGGTGATTCAATGTTACCAACACTTAAGGATGGAGATATCCTTTGGGCAAAAAAATTACAGCCTCATCAACTTAATGAATCAACAAACAAAACTTTTGGATGTTTAAATAAAGGAGATATTGTTTGTTTAAAAAATCCGACAGATGCTAATGAACAAAGTGTTATTAAACGAATTCACAAATTTATGTATAAATTTATTATTTAAATAATTAAAGTGGGAAAATTAAGTATGTGGGAGAATTTTAGGGTGAAATTTTTAGAACAGAAAAATGACCTTCAATTACTCCCTTTTGAAGAAAAATTTCCAAAAAAAAATTAAAAAAGCCCTCAGATGGTAGTGCATGTGAATACTCTAATCACCTTCTATCAGAGATCTTGGTGGATCACGATCGATCATCGGGCTAGTATCGAACCTACATACTTCTCCCTAATAGGCAAGGATAGAACCATTAAGCCAGAGTGCACATCGTTGGAAACTTTCCTAATAACACTAATAAACTAAAAAATATTCTCAATTTAAGCCAAAAAGATCGTAATTCTGCTTCAAATGAAATTGAAATACGTGGAGATAATACTTTTAACTCTACAGATTCACGAGATTATGGGCCTGTGCCTACTGGATTAATTCAATATAAGGCAGTTTATCGGCTATATCCTTTGGAAAGAAGAGGGCGGATAATAGAATATAACTAGAAAGGAACTTAAATTTCAAGTAGTCTCATTTACAATAAAGAATTTTAAATTGTTTTAATCGTAGTATTTTGTATAAATAAAATTATGAACAAATAATAAATAAAAGGGTTGTCGAAAAGTATTTTTTGATTTAAAATTGGTTCAATTTTAACGTTCTTGTTTTTAAAAATTAATTATCGACAACCATAAAATACAGGTATATAGTCAATAATATCATTGTTAAGATAAAAAAAGTTGTAAATTATCTTTTGAGGAACTAATCTTTCTTTTTAGTTTTTAATAGTATTTATTTCCTCAACCAATTTATTAATTATCTCTGTCAACAATACCTTCAACATTACAATCTCGTTTCTTTTTTAAAGCAATTTCCAATATTGGTTCAGATTGATCCAACTTAAATAAATTTATAGAAAAAAAAGAATAAAATAAACCTTTAATTCTTCAAAAAGTTCAGCACTGTGTGAAGGCGAAACACTCCAAAGAACTTGTAGGTTTGGATATTCACGTATTAGTATTGCAAATAACGAACGAACATTTCGACTATATCTACTCATTTCACCCTTAAAAAGAAAAATTATTGAAGACAAAATGTTAGAAAATATCGTAGAAGGGCATCAAGACGGGATTTTCAGGTTCCAATTGTTGGGAAACTGTTTTATGATAAAACCCTGATGGTGATTATCCCTTAAGCGACACATACTAATTTCGGCGTGTGAGAAAAAAGTTTGGGTGATTTTAAAAGAAAAATCCAAATCTCAAACTAAATTTAAAAACTTGTTTGACAAAAAAAAATTTAAGAAAATTATTGCCACTCATGTACATATTTATCAAAAACAAAAATAAAACCTGAAAAGGATTATTCTTATTCCTATATTTTTCAGCAGATTCAATCAAAAGAATATAATATTTGTAACATTTCTTCATCTTTAATATAAAAATTATTTAAACTATTTCTTTTAACAAAACCTGCTCAACTTGTTTGAAAATACGTCCACTAAGCAATGATTGAGTTAAATCATCAGGAGATTTTCTTTCACAACAAATATCTGGAGATAGAATATAATCACCAACTTCAAGCATTGCTGCCATTAAATCAATTCCACGTCTATATAAAACTGTAGGTAATTCACTGTTGAATTCACGAAGATCGACTATAACCTAAAAAATTTAAACTTTGATTATGATGTTGTAAAAATTCGGAGTTAAAAACATATGTATAAAAATATTTTAATTTTAAAATACCTTTTGTCTATTCTCCATATTTTCCTCCTCTTCATCTTCACAGAGAAACATTTGGCTAGCTTTTGAAGAGCCTGATCTTTGGTATCTAGTGTCTCTCCTTTGTGGAGTAGTTAAACGTCGTAGTTGTGATGTAGAATCTCTACTAACATCAAATTCTCGTGGAGCCAAAAGGAGCTAAAAATAAAATAATTAAAAAATTTTTTAAAGAAACCCACAGATTGTTCCTTTATAAGTGTTTCTATTGCTTCATTTTCGCGTTGTAAAGAAGAAAGATAACGTTCTTCTTCATAACTATCCTCATACATTAGCACATATAATTCAAGTGGATGATCTTCATTAAGACATTTAAAGGTCTTTAAAAGAAAATTTCAAAAAAATGTTTAAAATTAACCTCAATAACCCGTGTAGCAGCCATATCTTGACTATACATAATTATATATAAAGGTTTTAATGTTTCTAAACAATTTAATAATTGATATCTACTTCCAACTTCTAAAAATATGAGCATTGAATTTTGTTTATTTATTTGGTTATTTTGTATTTTTGTTTGTTCATTTTGGTCATCCTTTTTATTTTCTGCCAAATTTTGTTCTTCTTGGGTTCTGTTAAATTCATCAATAATATGAATTGACTGAAAAACGAATATTTTTAATTAAACAACCATTTAAACCTTTTCAGCACGGATTCTAGCTGCAACAGCTATTGATTTATCCAAAGGAGGGTCTAATTGTTTTATTTGCCAATCAACGTCATTTTGTGGCTGTTCAAAATTATCATCATTTTGAAATCGTCGTAGAGGTAATCTACTAGATCTATGTGGCTAAAAACATAAAAATATTTTTTCAAAAATGACAAAAAGATCTAGACTGAAAAGAAATTGCCTAACAAATATATATTATTTCTTTTTTTTCCTAAATTAAATTTAAAAAATAAAAAAAGCAAACATCTTCTGGAGTTGGTGGGAGAGGCGGGGAATAATGTGAAGTAGATGCACCTTCTTCATCCTCTTCTAGGCAAATAATAGAGTTTTGTGAATTCTTTTGTTGTTCATCCTCGACTTTTTGTTTTTCTTCCTTTGATTTTTCATCTTTTTCGTGCTCATAAAATGAAGTAAATGGATCTTCAGGTAGCATTCCTTCAGGGACGACTTCTCGAATTAATGGCAATTTCTTAAAAAATTATTTTAGCCAAGAAAAAAATACACACAATATTCATCATTGGACTCCGTCTTTGATTCTTCAAAGTATTCTGTCCATTTCCATATTTATGCGAAGTTTTTGGAGCAAGTGGAGCAATACCAAAACAATCAAGTCTAGTTTGTTTTAAAGGTTCAGTAGGAACATCAACCAATTTTCCACGTTTTCTAGACTTTTTAGTTTCCTCTTTCTGGGCAAAACGTAAATCAGCCCGAAGTTCTTGTCTGTCCTGGAAATCAAGTTTTTTTGCCGGCAATTTAAAGATAAAACTACTTTTTCAAATATTTGTTCATCATAACATGCTATATTTGCTGGATTCCAAAGAGGTTCAATAGGAGGCGCCATTGAAAAACTGTCACGACGTGAAGGGGCCATCTAGGAATTTTTAAATCTTAAATTTCCTGTAAAAATTACAAATCGTCTGGTTAGAGTCCAAATGTAATGGCGCTGTCCAAATTTTACCAAATCAATCAATTGACGTGACAAGGACTCATTAGAGACAAGTACAAGCAAAGGCGAATCTATATTTTCAGGAAATTTAAAAGAAAACTGGATAATTAAAAAATTTACCAGAATTTTCGGTTTTCAATTTGTCAGTAATTTCTTTTATTAAATTGCAAAAAACACTCCATTTTGAAGGTGCTAAATTAAAGAGTTTCTATAATTTTTAATCAATTAATTTAACCTGTAATTGTTCTATTCCCTTCATTATCATGTAAAGAACATAAATCGTCAATACTTGAGAAAAGAGTTGCAGCAGATTTGGTGAAAAGCCATCCACTATTGTTTTTGATTGTCTAAATTTAAATTTTTTAAAATAAAACCTAGTTCCAAAATTTACCTCTTCATCGTTTCGTAACCAAGAAATAAAATTCATAGCATTTGTTGGATCCAAATCCTCAACCTATAAAATTAAAAAAATCTTTTTAATTAAAGAAAATAATTTTACTCAATTTTTGATATAAATTCCTCAAAATTTTCAAATCATCAAGAAGACGTCGCTGTCGGTCAGTTAAACAAACATCATTTTTACGCAATTCTATTTCAAGTTTAGTGGGATATAAAGTCGCATATGGTGCTAATGTGTCAGACAAAGTTTCTGGCTTAAAAAATTTTTTTAAATATTTTCTAGTAAAATCTTCCTTACATCAAAACCTTTAGTACTCTGCTTCAATTCACGAACACAAGTAGCAATTATATCATGAAGGGTTGATTGTGTTTTGCGTTGTAAAGGTTGTAATTTTATAGACATTTGTGTAAGTTTAGGCTAAAAATTCAGATTGAAATCGTTAAAAATCTAACCGGATTCTTTTCAAAACACGCTTTAACTTCTTCATGAAATCGAGGCACTATAACAACTTTTCGAACATAAAGTAAATTTAATAATCTTTGAAGCTGTCCAATTACTCCTGTACTAACAATGTAAAGAGGACGGTCAGTAAAAGCTCTTAAAATTAATTTTAAATATTAATTTATTTTTAAAAATAAATTACTTAACAATTCCATCTTTCTTTTTCTCTCGAAATAAGCGAAGAATAAAGGATTCTTTAAACCCATGAAGTACACTTAAAATTAAAAATAATCTAAAAAATAAAAAAATACAAACTCATGAGCTCTATATACGAGAATACCAGCAACTTTATCGAAAGGAACACGTCCCGCCAGTAAATCAACCATTAAAATTCGAGATGTTACAAACTGAACTCCGCCCGATTTGTAGATGATGACACTAAAAATAAATAACATTTTTTGTCTGTCTCATTATTATAAGATACCGATCTTTGGCAAGCACATCTGCTGTAATCAATTTTGGTGGTGAATCTGGATTTAAGGCTTTCAATTTCTCCAAATAAAAATGCTGAAAATTTAAAAATTAGTTTTAATCTTTAGAAAAATACCTCATCTTCAGGTGTAGTGTTAATTATTAAATAAGTATGCCTTTGATCACTGTACAAATGCAAATGTGCAAAGAAAAGGCGTTCTAATGCGAGGCCACTAAATTAGAAACATTTACTTTCTTCAGCGATTTTAAATTATTAGAGGTGTCCATTTAAAGCTTATTTATGTTGATTAACTAACAAAAATACTACACAAATTCCTATTCAATTTCCAATAAGTTATAGTGTATTTAACCTTGCCATTATATACAAAACATCACTAATAAAATTTTCAACCATAAGATTCTGCTCAAACGGGATTAATTTAAAACGAGTATCTTCTTCCTCATCCTCTCCATCTATTGTAATGCAAATATTTTCACAATCATTGGACATTTGTTAATTAACTAAATGCTAAAAGCCAAAACATTCCATATATTTTAAAATAAATTTGCATAATACAATGCTTTAAAAATTCGACAAATATATTTTTTAATTTATTTTTATTTGAATTTTCAACAGATCAAAATTTAGAAAAAATTTAAATATTTTTTAAATTTAAATGTTCCAATCTTCAATCCAATTTCAATCCGCGCTTCTTCAATTCTTCTTCTAATTGTTTATGAAACTCAGTCTCAACATCCTCATCATCCCAATTGTCTTCCCAAACGTTAGCGGTAGGCTGACCTGCAGCAGTGTTTGATTGTCCATTTGCTGTGTTTCCAAAATCTAAATATTCGGGAGAAATTTTGGCTCTATATGAAATGAAGTCCCAAATCAAATTTTTTCCATCTTCCTTAAAATGAGTAATTTCCTTTACATTTCTCTCTATTTTTGATTTATGCCGTAAGTCTATAAATGCAAACGTGTGTGTCCGTGTTTTCTCTGTCTATGTCCGTCCGAGTCTTTGTTTGTCCGAGTTCGTGTTTTGACTGTCCGGGTTCGTCCGTGCTTTGACTGTTCGAGTCCGTCCGTGTTTGTCTGTCAGAGTTGTTCGAACCGGTTCTAAATCGGTTCCGGACCTTTGCCGGTTCCACGGACACGGACAAACTCGGACAGACAAAATTTGGACGAACTCCGAAGTCAAAACACGAAAGGACTCGGACGGACACAGACAGGGAAGCGGACACACACGGTCATAAAACACAACACACGTTCAGTTATTCCTTTAACATTCATAGCCTTACAGCACAAATCAAAAATGGAGAGAAATGCAAAGAAAATTACTCATTTTAAGGAAGATGGAAAAAATTTGATTTGGGACTTCATTTCATATAGGGTCGAAATTTTGAATTCGCAAAAAATTATCAACCCCTAAAAATCCGGCCCATACTCATCAAATTCAGTTACTATTATTTCCCCCCCCCCCCTCCTACCAAAAACAAAATTTAACATAATTTCAAAATAACCTTCAGATTCTTTGTAAATTGGAAATTCTTCGAATTCCTCTTCCTCATCTTTTGGCTTCGAGGAAGAAATTAATTCAGATGATTGAGTCGATTCAGTGGTTACTGTCGTAGTTCCTTCACTACTTTGTTCTCCATCCTTTGGATCCACGTCCATTATATTAAAATTCCAGAAAAAATTATTTTAATAAATCCTTAAATTATTCTAAGAAAAAATTAAAATTATAAAAGAAATAATTGGTAAATTTTAACCAAATAGGTATCTCAAAAAAGTTTTAATCAATACTAACTTTATTTTCTTTGTATTTAAAAAATTAATAAAGAAAAATGAATTTTAAATTCAATATGTAATAATTTTTTAGTTATACAGTGTAAATTTAAAAAATATTAGAAAAATATTAAATTTACAGAAATGCTTTAAAAATATATGATTTTGAACTGATTGATGTTGAAAATAAATGTTAAAAATATATTAGAATTCATTAGAAGCAAATTTTTTAAGCAAAATATGAAATTATTTTTAAAAAACTAAACAAATAATTTTAATTATAAATTAGAAGGAAGCATTAAATTAGCAAATAAACGGCTTCCAATTAATAAAAGGAGTTGATAACGTTGCAGTAAAAAATGTAGAAAATTTAAAATAAAAATTAAAGAAAAAAGTTAAGAATTACTTTTAAAAAGGATTAGAAATAGTTCAGAAAAATGCCTCAAAATTGTAAGTAAACTAACAAGCCTGACAAATTTTTTGAGCCACTGAACCTTCAACAAAGCGATTTCCCTGCAACTTTTGTTCATTTAACCAACATTTAATAAAATTCCAATTAATTACTCCAGAAAAAGACTGATTATTTGTATTTTCAGGCAAAACTTCACAATTAGTAGCTGGCATAAGAAAAAGAAAAAAGTAAATACTGCAGCTACTTTCTATTTCTCGTAATGTTAAAGTAGAATTTGTAATATCACAAATTTGAATCAAAGCAGTTAATGAAGAAAAAAACATTGCTTGAATTAACTGAGAAAAATTTTTTTTGATTTCTTTTGAAAAAAAGGAAAAAAAACCCTGGAATCATTTATTACAGAATTTCCAAAATTTGTTGAACGAAGAATTGATAAAAGTTCATCTCTTGATGTGATTTGAGTAAAAAGCGTGCAAAAATCTGTAGCAAATGATTGTACCTTTAAAATAAGAGGGAATCTTTTCTAGTCAATTCTACAAAAATATTTCTCTTTAAATGCCTATTTCAGACTCTCCAAAAATATTTTACCGATTCTTCATCAAAAATTCTTTTTCCCCATCTGTCCATCGTTTCTAAAACCATGCACAAATATTTAATAAATTTGTCATTATCTCCTTGCTGTCTCCTTTCATCTTTTGTGCATAAAAATTGTAACCAATCATATACTAATTGACGGCCTTTTTGAATAAGCATTACAATTGGTATTTGGTCTGGAACGAAAATGCAGGTATTAATAAATGAAATATTCTCTGCAAAACGTTCAAGTCGATCAACTCTGAAAAATTTTAAAAAGCTATTTTGAGTGAAATAAAACAAACATTTCATGTTTATCAATATATTCAGTTATAGCTGTTTCCTCAAAAAATCTCAATTTTCTTCGAATATCGCGACAATCAATAAGAGCTAGAGCAGCCTTTTCTATCTTCATAAGAATCAGACGAAGACGTCTTTGTCTAGTTGCAGCAGTTTGTTTTGTATTACCAGCAAAATCAGCAATTGAATCGTCCTCACCGTCATAATGAACTGAAAGTATCTAAAAAATGATTGAATAATTATGTAAAACTTAATTTATATAGAACCTGTCTTGGTTGACAAGAAGATGAATGAGTAGGTCTTCCTAGAGCGCCTGCAAACGACGGTGCAATATAGTCCCTAGAAGGAAAAGTTGCATCAAAAGAATAATATCTCGGTGGTCTTGCATCTTTTTGCCAAGTTTCAGGTGCTTTTTTCAAACTATTTCTTTGCTTCCAAACCTAAAATAAAATTAAGGATTATTAAAATGTGTACCAATTTTCAGCGTTATTTAGTGTGGAATTCTCAAGAAGAGAAACGTCAAATAGATAAGCTATCGAAATACAACTATAAGTAATACTTCGGCTGACGTCCCCCTTTTTCCTGTTTCCCTGACCATTTTGAGCTAAAAGGACACTTTAAAATAAAAAGCAACCGCATAATAATAGTCATCCGTCATTGGATCTCCTGTGCCTAGACATTGAATCAAATGTATTTTAATGAGCCATTCACGTTCTTTAGTAGATAAAAGCCCAGCATATGGATCCAAAGCAAAATCAGCAATCGTTTTTCCCGAAGGAAGTGCTAAACTTGATTTTTTAGTTTGTTTTTCAATGTGAGGATGAAGAGAAGCAGGAACCATTGCTAGCATTGCTGAATATGTATATTTAATTTGTCAAATAATCAAATTTGCAAATTTCTTGCATTTACGAATTTAATTATTAACCTTGCTGACTATGAATCGTTGGTGAGTTTGGAAGATGATGTAGTGGCGTTTGATTCAAATTTTGGCTAGGAGGACGCTGCAATATAGGTGCACCCACTAAATGAGGTGTAACAACGGACTGACGGCCGGATTGTAAGGATGCAGTATTCGAGGCAGCAGCATGTAAAGCCATTCTTCTTGCAATATCAGGCGGTGGTGGATGTTGTAAAAATGCCATTGGATTAAACTAAAAAATCATAAAAATGTAAAGAAAGATAAAAATTTAACCACAGAAGGAAATTGAAGTGACGGCATCCCTGGCGGTATCAAGAAAGGTGGAGGCGGCATCCCTGGAGATTGTAGAGGAAATGGATGTTGTAGGTGTTGTTGCCAATTGGGAGGATAATCTGTCCGCGGAGGAAATATTGGTTGATTTAAATTTTGAGGTGTTCTTTGTTGACTTAAAGGTGAGGAAAGTGTACTAGATAATAATATATCCTTCTCATGTTGTAAGCATTGAATTGACAATTCTTTTTGTTTTTGACCGTGTTCAATCAAAGAATTCCTCATTGATTCTTCAAGTAATTTCCTTTCCAAATCATTGGCACTAATAGGAGTTGGAGAAGCACATTGTGCGACAACGTCGTCAGAATCGGAAATTGCCTCCCTTAGGAACTTGCTTTCCAAATCAGAGCCAAACATTGCAGGAAATGTTCCTTCATGTGCAAATTGGGGCCAGAGATTAGTTAATGGAGAGGGTGACTTTTTATCTGTTCTTGATGACTTTGATTTGGGTGATATATTAAAATTGGACGATTCATACATTGGATGCGAGAACTAAATAATAAAATTTTAATAAAAGAAAATTGATTTAAGAGCACAACTGGGGACCAAGATTCACATTAACGTGGCCTTCAAATAGGAATTTTCGGGAGAGGAAATTAAATTGGAAAGGATGATTAATTTAAAAAATTAAAATAAGGATAAAGAACCCACAAAATGGGTAAAATTTATGACAATAAAATTTGCGTTGAACGTATGGGAATTAAGTTAAAAAAATACCGTTTGTTGTCCTTTGTAAATATCCAATAGAGAATTTATTCCATTAAATGTTCCAGTTCCCCATATTGAAGGAGATAGATCAATGTCCGCATTAGAACTGTTTGTATTCTTTGATCGATCATAAAACATTCGGTCTCTAACAGGCTATAATAATTAAAATTACCGGTAAATTATGCAAAAAAACTTTATTAAAATCTGCCCCTCGTTCAGCAGCAGTCGAAGAAACAAAATGTAAACAATGATCACTTCCCATTTGAGGAATAGGTATTAGGCTAGGATCTGGCGGCTTTGATGATGTAGTGGGCGAATCATCGAGGGCCAAATTTGCTGTCTTAAAAATTAATTTTGATTAAAAAATTTTATTTTAAAATAACCCGAATTGCAAAATCAGCCAAATCACTTTCTTCTGCAGAAATTAATGAAGTTTCAACTCCAAAAGTTTCATCATTAATAGCATCATAAATATCTTCATCAGGTATTGTTCCATCATAACTAAGATCGTCAAGATAATGTCCTAATGGATGTTCAGTGTCAGAGTCGAACTGAAATGGAACCAAAGCTGGATCAGACATTAAAGGTTGATTAAATTTTACATATGAGTAGGAACAAAATATGAAAATCTAAAGATTAAATTATTAAAATTGATCAGTTGAAAAGAAGGAACTAACAAAAAATGGAAATAAAACATTTCTAAATATTGGAAAGATTCTACTTTTGTAGAATGTTCAGAAAAAAGCTGCCGAATCTCAAGACCTCCCTTCGAATGACATTAGGAAAGTTATGGTCACACTCTAAATCGGCAACTCTGAAGCAACCGGGTACAGCCCGAATAATCGCGCGGCCATAACGGCGCAAAGCCATAACATGATGGAAAATTTCCGGCCCTTATCAATTTCGGTATCAATCTCTTAGGCTCGATGAGAGGAATCTTTTAATACTAAATTTGGAAAGATTCGGAAATCTTAAAGCAAGTTATGCCTTGGCGACTTTATGGACGCGCGACTATTCGGGCGTGTCCCGAATCGACCTATACCAATTTTTGGTCATTTTGTTAATTTATTATTTTGTTAAAAATGAAAATTTTCTTTATATTTTGTTTTTGAGCTTTTTTTTTAAATTTTTATATTTTTCCCTCATTTAAAGATTCTAAAAAAACAATGGCCACCGTAAATGTTGCTAAAAATATGTTGGAGCCTGTTAAATCTTTGCCTAAATATTTTGGAAATTTTAAGAAAAATTTGTTCTATTATGTTAGCGATAAACATGGAGATCGTTGGGGTAAATTTTAAAATAAAGTATTTTTAATACAAAATTTAAAATAATTTTTTTTAAATTTAGCCAACCGAAATATGGCTTGGTTTATTATTGCAACTTGGACAACTGTCTATTTTGTTGTTTCGACAAAGCTGGAGAAAAAAGCTTTGCGATTGAAGGTTTATTTTAAATTTTTTTCCAGTGTAGTACATCGAATTGTTTGTAGATTTTTTCAAACAATAAACATTATCGAGTTAGAATTTTATAGCTAAAATGGTAGTTTTTTAAATGGCTATAAACTCTTAAATTTATTTCTTCGCAATAACGAAGAAATAAGATTATTGAGGATTTGTGCATCTTTTCCAAAATTAAAGAACTATATCATCTGTTTTGCCCCCTTAACTGTTTTTTTAAAATTTCTATGTCGTTAAAATAAGCTACGGGGACTCAACCTAACTAGAATTTTTTATCAATATTTGGGTTAATAACCAAAAATTCCTTCTATTTTCCTACCGCATACCATTAATCAAAAATAAATTTCGATTTTTGGTTGGAAAGCTTTGACATTACACAAATCCTTATTAGAAATCTGAATAAAAGTAAACCGTTTCTGGTCGACGGGAAAAGGAAAAATGTTGGGGACATTAGCCAAACAAATTACTTTTATTTTTATTTAGGAAGAAAAGAAGCGTATGAAGCCAGATTTGGTTCGTGATGCACTTGCGCGAGCAGGAATTTCGACAAACTAAAATAAGCAGATGGACAGGAATTTAAATGGATTTGTTAGGAATTTATTAGAATATAAAAAGATTTACTTTGTTTTGGACTTTTACTTGCTACAAGTTTATGTCAATATTTTTGTTTTGGGTAAATCTTTAAATTTTCTATTTCTATATTTATAAATAGGTAAATTATATAATAATTCATAAGCTTAAAAAATCATAGAATTTTCCCGCTTTGAAATTTTTTTGACAAATTTTTGCCCAAAAATGCGGCTAATTTCAGGAAATCGAATCGTTCGTTTAACGGCGTTTCCTTAATTTTGAATCTAATTTTCAAGTTAATTTTCTCAACTTTCGCATTTTCCATTAAATTTATTATATGTGTATATGTATACGTGATTTTAGTAGTGATTTTTTGCAACTTTTCACCTTTGAATTTTCTGTCTTTTTTATTTTTCTTTATATATTTGACCTATTCTTTGTTTAGTAGTCTTTTTGTGTATTTTTGACTGATATTAGTAATATATTAAAAATTTGTCCTTGAAAATTTCCCACTGTGTAAGAATACTTAGATTTAAGGAATTTATTCCTGTATTTTTTCAACATAAAAAATTTCTCAATTTTCAAGAATCGGGGGACGGCAGCATCCCTGCTATAAACTGCATAGTATAAAATTTTTTGCCAACATCAAAATTTACCTAATATTTGCACACATTTTACCCCAAGTAAATTTATCTATTTCATTTAAATGTTAAATCAAAATTTTTTATTCTCGTTTTTTTTATTTTTTGTCAGATCGAAAATGAGTCCTTTTTAAATAAAAGTTGTGTAAAAGATTTTTGTTTGAGAATTTCACTTTGAATTTTTTTTATTATTTAATACATAAAAAGACCACCCCCACTCTATGTTAATTTTTTATCTTTTTTCTCGCATGTTTTAATTCAAGTTTTTACATATACACGGCATAATTTTCGTAAATAAACCGCCCTCCCTCGATTAATCATCTTTTAGAGTAGTTAGCCCCCGTATTTTCGCACAAAGGGATGCCGCCATCCTTTTGATTGATGATCAAAGGGATGCCGCCAACCTATGGGAGGGGTCTGGGGGAGGGGTCCGAGAAATCCTGTGGATATGGGGGGATTTTGTCGGCGTTTTCTTTTGATCCTGTCGCCGGGGTAATAAATTATTAATGGGGGAGGGGTCCGAAGTAATTAGTACCTAATTAATTATTAATGGGTGGAGGGGTCTGAACTAATTTGCTTTTACTAATTGATTACAAATTGTTTTTTGCGGTAAAAATCTTTAATTAATCCTTCAAAATACAAAATAGTAGGAGGGGAGGAGGGGGATTTATGTAAGTATAGAGTAGAGAAATAAATTTTGTAAACAAATTCATTTCTCTGACTTATACTAGAAACCCCTTCTATCAAACATTTGAGTCTGTGTATACTGTCACTCATCCATCCTTCCTCAATTGCTTTCTTTTCCTACGAAGATGAACAACTTTCCACGCATTGCTTTTTATTGATTCTTTTTATTTTCTTTCAGTTTTATTTATTCCAAATTAAAAAAAATATGCGGTTTCTCAGATTTGCTTATTGACCTGAATTTGACGTAAAGAGAAAATTTAACTTTTTTAATATTAAATACCAATGTTTGTTTAAATTTTAAATTACTGTTTGTATGCGATTGTTAAATTAATTTCTTAAATGGGAAAAATTCATCAGGGGTATTTTTAAATTTTTTAAACTTTAAATTTTTTAAAAATAAAAATAGTTTTAAATTATAAGGAAATTAAAAAAGGTTAAAAAATCTTATTTTATTAAAAAACCTATTTTACTCCGATAAAAAATTTTTGTATGGCTATGTTTTTATCAAATAATTGGGGACCATTTATGTTAAAAATAGTATTTTCATTTCCCGCAGTTCCACCCCCAGAAGATTGCAAAACTTCCCAAAAAATAAATATGTTTTACTAGTTTTGTGATTTTAATTAAAAAATTTGTTTAATTTCAATTCTCAAAAATTCAGTTTGAGCGGTGTATACGTTTTGTGTCGATGCAGAACAAACTTACTTTCATTGATGCGACGGTTTGATACACCTCATTATACGTTTTTATTGAACGTAAATGTTTTATTAAAAAAATCTGCGCAAACACGCGTTTTTTAACGATAGTGTAGAGCGGATTCAAACAGTGCAAGCACGCGCCAATGGCGATAGTGTAGAACTGTTGGTCTGCGCAAACACGCGTTTTTTAACGATAGTGTAGAGCGGATTCAAACAGTGCAAGCACGCGCCAGTGGCGATAGTGTAGAACTGTTGGTAATAAAAAAACCGTCGCATCAATGCATTCGTTGGTAATGTCCTGATTTTTATAAATATTTTAACTTACTATTAAAATCACAAAACTAATGGGATCAATTCAAAAACTAAAAATCGTCCCCAAAAAATTATATAATAGTTTTAACGGTACTTGATTTTAATTGAAAAGTTGTTTTCAAAATTACAATTCACCACAAATGCACTTTTATGAGTTGCGTCGAGGTGAATTGTTTCAGGACAGTACACATGCACCTGCGCAAGCAGAGTTGCGTCGAGCTGTCCTGTTTTTTTATTAAAATTTTAGCGTTTACTATTAAAATCATGTCCCGAACTTTTACCACCGGTATACTATACTATATCCAAAATCACTAAAATATTGGGATGTTATCCTTTACCCCTAATGTTTTTTGGGGTTCAATCTTCTGCGGGTGTACGGGTTTTAATTTTTGAACTATTTGGTTAAAATTAACTTTTTAACAATTTATTTCAACTTTATTTTCAATGAAAAATTTTACAAACAGTAAGTTCAATTACATTTCCTCATCGGTTTCTGAATCTAACATCTGGACATCTTGCTGAACAAAATCCATATGATTTTCAGCTCCCTCCGGTTCCAGAAAATAGTTATTTCTCAGCTAAATAAATATATTTTGTATCACAACTTCCGGTATACCGAGTTTTAGGGTTCCCCTTATTTTTTAATTATATTACATAATGGTCATAATTTCTCTTTTCATGAATTTAACTCAATTCCCTATGGTAAGTTCAATGAGAGACTTTAATAATTGAGTGGCCCAATCAGTGTTTGACCCAATATATTTATTAAAATTACATTAAGACGATCCTCCAAAATAATTATACGATTTTGAAGATAATTAACAGTCTCTTGCAAAACATGTAATTGTTGTCGTGCTTGAATAATTAGCATATTTTGATTTTCGACTGTACTTTGAAGCTCTTGAATTTGATCTTGAGCAGTTTCAACGTTTAAAGATAACTTATCCATTAATTTACTTAATCCCAAATCAATATTTTGGGTGTTGTTGTTGTCCATTATTAGTCAAATATAATTATCCTATAATATTAAGTTAAATCATGAAAAAATGGAAAAATTAATAATATATCCTACCCGAGAAAATTTATTCCCTATCATTTTCAATCTTTTCTGCCAAACTGTCAAAAACTACAGCAGATGCAGCTGTTGTTTTTAGGAAAGGCATGATATTGAGCGGGATCTTTGAGATGGAAAAGAATTAAGTATATTATTGTAATTTATATTTAATAAAGAGGGAACATATAATTTTAATTTAAAAATTTTAATTAAAAATAAAATTAAATAAAATTAAATTTCAGTTGTTGGTTTAAGTTAAAAATTGTTATTTAATAAAAATATTATAAGTTTATTTAATAAATAGAGTCGAAATTACAAAAATTTTAATCAAGCTTATTAATCGGCAATTTTTAAATTTGAAAATTCTTTAAACATCTTTTGTTCTTTCATCTTTTGAATAAATATTTGCTGATCGCGTTCTCGCATTTTCAGGAGACGGATACGCAGAGGTTCAGGATTCTTATATTTGAATATTTTACCCTAAAATTTTATATGAAATTAATTTAAAAGTTTTGCCTCTCTGTGATTAAAATGATAATTGTTCATCTTTCGATTTTTATAATTTTGTTTATGTTGTAATTTTCTTAAAGCATGTCGCATTTTTAGGATACGGATGTGGAGTGGCACAGGTTTCTTATTCTTGAATATTTTAGTTTAATGTTATATGAATCTAATTTAAAAATTTTACTTCTCTGTGATTAAGACGATGATAATTGTTCATTATCCGATTTTTACAATTGTGTTTTTGTTGTAATTTTCTTAAAGCATGTATACCAAGTGGCAAATCATAATGAGCTTGTCGTTTCTAAAATTTTTAATTAAATTTAAAAAACGATAATTACCGATTCATTTCGATAATATTTAATATTATATTTATTCATTAAAAATATTAAAGTATTAATTTAAATAAAATTTAAAAGATTTTCTCAAGGTCGTTCGAATTGTTTATTTGAAATGACGCCTATAATATACAATAAATCAAACATCTATCATTTAAAATATTGAAATAAAATTTTATGATTGATGATTTTTCTCAAGGTCATTCGAATTGTTTATTTGAAATGATGCCTATAATATACAATAAATCAAACATCTGTCATTTAAAATATTGAAATAAAATTTTATGATTGATGATTTTTCTCAAGGTCATTCGAATTGTCGTAAACAATGTCAATAATAATACTCAATAAATTAACCATCTGTCATGTAAAATATTTTGTATAATTGAGGGACCGTATAATTTTTGTTAAATTTTTTTGAAATATAAAGTATCGGTGAAATTTTGATCGAGTATAAAAGGCGAAAATTTTTTTAAAATCATTTAATTAACGTCATTTTTCAAATCTTTTGAAATGCTATATCTAATCGATGAATGCGCTAGAATTTTACAATGCCACCCCAAATCATTACGAGATAATTTACATCACCCATCAAAGCGAGCTTTACTCATATCAAAGCTTAAAGGAAGAAAAGTTCGAACTCTCTACTCAGACAGAAACGGATTCCGCAAGACATTTACTATATATGATCTGACATACAAGGGTGCCCATTGTACTTTGGCGTACGGTGCTTTATCTCGTCCTTTTAATGTTTCAGTCGCAGCACACTTCTATTCACGACACCGAATTCGGTTACAATATCCTTATCTGCAATGTGTCATTGAACACTTCCCTCGGCGATGCGAAGACCGATTTTATCCTCTAGAATTATTGGAGTTTGTTGATGAAAAAGTTGAGGATTACATAGGGTTTCAAATTGATGACAAACCACTTTATACTAAAGTTTCTGAGAAACTACAAATTGACAAAGAAACATCTGATTCGGACAGAAATACGGATGACCCGCTAATTTTCACAGATGATTTTGATGAAATTGAAGGATGGTGATTTTTCTTATTCTCTTTTAACTATTTATTCTGAAACTTTTCCTTAAAAACAATAACTTCTTTCCCTAAATTTGAAACTAAGTTAAAAAATATTCTCTTCTAAATCTTAATTCTGCAATTTTCCCCTAAAAATTATAAACTTCTTTCTCTTAATTTTATAACTTAAATTTATTAATTTTTAATTTATTTTTAAACTGGTTCTTCTTCTTATTAATATTGCATTTTTACCCCTAATATTTTATACTTTTAGTAATTAATTTCGCATATAAAATAAATTTTATTACAAAATATTAAATAAACAAATTACAAATTATATCCAAAATCTAATACAGTAAAATCACTAGGTCTTACAATTCCTTTCCCTACAAAGGGACGGTACATTTTCTTTAATGGTTGAGTAAAAACAGAGCCTTTTCTTACAGACGGGCGAAGAAAATTGGGATAACTTAAGTTTAGTGGAGGACAATTACCGTTAACAAATTGAAATAATTTTGATTTAAAAGTTTCATAGTGTAATTGTTGGTTCACAGTCACATCCCAATTCAAAGTAATACCTCTCAATTTAATTACATGTTCTAAGCCCGCATCTGGATCATTATTTCTTTGAAGTTGAAGCGCATATTGTTTGGCACCAGCTGAACAATATTCCAGTATTCTATGACGAGGGTACTCATCAGTAAAGTCACCCAAGTGCGGACCAAGCTTGAGTGGATTATCTTCCTCAGGGTGCACAAAAATAATCGAATCAGTGTCTTAAGTTAAGATTATATTAAAGTTAAAAACAATATTTACCTGTGTACAGAAGTTTACATCCTGTACTTCTGACCACCTTTTGCATTGCCTTTAACAAATATATTCTCGCCATGGATGTTGTCCATAACGAAATAACTGAATGTTTCAACAAAATTTTTAAAAATTTAACAAATACTTACCGACGTTTGAGCATCCGTGTTCTTCCACCCAATCCTTTTTTGTCAAATGGGAGATCAAGATGATGTCAGGCGTCAGTTGATCTACAGAAGACACTTCCTTGCTTGAATCATCCACAATTTTTCGCCAAGCTGCAGGGCTGTCTGTGATTGTACACTGACTCAGGCCAAAATTTCTAAGAGAAAAACGACCCCCTAAAATTTAATTTATTATTTTATCAAAATTAAAAAAACTTACAAAGATTATTCAGACACAATTTTGCCTGAGTACGTTTGCCTTTGTTGGGGACCTAAAATTCATATTATCTCTATAGAAAATTAAAATTACCATTTTATTTCGATCAATGATAATGTCAAATTTATCCGCGCATTCGTGAATAAATTTCTCTTCAGCCTCCCAATCTCCCTTGATCGAGTCATCAAATCCTGATGAGTGAATTTTCTGACTCATAAACTCCGAGATGTAGCCACGAAACAGACTGTTGTCACTTGATGTATATTCAAGAACACGAAAAAGCCTTGTCACCTTATAACCACAATCGAGAGCTTCATTAAGCTCTATGGAAGTGCATGTTGAGACCCAGCCGCGTTGATTATCTTCGTGCACACATTTATATTCTTCATCTATTCCTCCTTCAGGATGTTCTTTTCTTAAAAATTTTTAAAACTTTTTAATTTTTTTATAAAACTTACGCGCAAGCGATACAGAGAGGGAATAACAATCTATCATTCGATTTAACAGGTAACACAGGAACATCAATTTTCCTGGGAGGGATAACAAATACCTGTAAAGATTAATTTTTATTTAAAAAATTTTTGTATTACCTTGAGAATAGCCAAATCATATTTATTATCTTTTGAACTTGTCCAACACACATTTTCATTCAATATGTGAGGAATGGGATGGCCTATTGGATAATTTGTCGTGACATTAATGAACGGGTACAATGAAGTCACGTCGAAGTAACTTATCTTCTCTCCAGGTTGAGCAGAATAAAACAATTTAAGCGGACCCGTTCTTCCACCAAAAAATGCTGAGCGGATATCAATCGGACCATTATCCAGATACTCATCAAATTTTTTCTTCATTTCTTTATCAATCTTCAACATTGCTTTTATCTCGCATTCCCAGTATACTTTAACTTCTTGGACTTGTGACTTAATAAAGTTGAGCCTATTTTTATCCAATTCACGTTGTCGGCCAGCTGTCTTTCCAGAAGGTAATACAATTCCGTCGTCCGGGTAACACTTGATGCATGCATGCCAGCAGCACCCATTCACCTCAATTCCCAGTTTTTGATCTTCAACCCACCCGTCTAGACGATAATTCCCAATTCTTAAACATTATTTTAAAATTTATCTTTTCTAACTTAATTACCTTTTTTCACCATCAACAGAATTAGCCGTTTGAACAATAACTCCGTTTGCTTCACCATACCACTCCAGGAATTTTAGTGCTAGTAGACTTTGATTATCTTTGTTGTCGTAGCCCCGTTCTGGTACAATTGCGAGATGATCAGCCTTGAGATGATTGGAACGGAAGTGCTTCATGCAAGCACTTGCAATCGTCATAGACTCACGCAAGACATCGATTCCTTCATTTTGTCGTTTTGAAACCTAAAATATTTTTTTTTAATTATAGAAAATTTTAACCTCTATGAATTCTTTTCTAAAGGCAACAAGTGCAGCCATTAAGATTTCGACATCGTTTGTACAATAGGAAGCCAGAGATTCATCAAGGTTGAAGGGTTCTAGATGATGTTGATCGTACCACAAATCAAATTTTTTCCTCTTTTCCGGAAGAAAGCCATCTGCCAGATAATCTGCTTTCGTTGGGTAGATTTCTTTTCCATAATTGCGTGGATGGTTTGCCAAATGCGGAAAATATGGCTTGTCTTCAACCTGTAGGCCAAATGCAGGTACTAGTGTTGCAAGACTCATAGGCATTAAATTGAAGCTGTCCCTGAAGATGATGTCCCCTTTCTTCTTCCCACGTGATGTTACTTTCATTTCATACATCTTGTTGCCTCTTTTTAACATTTCTGGAGTAAAACCTAAAAGTTCTATTATTTGATAAAAAGATCAATAGTTAATTACCGTTAAGGAACAATTCTTTGAAGACAAGGACCATATCAAAACGACCACCAAAATGTGAAAAAGCGAATGTATCATGTTCTTGAGGTAATCCATTAATTATCCATTCAACAAAGGTCTTCAAAGGGTTTTGACTGATGAACATTTTATCCACGACTGTATTTGTAAATGGACGATGAGAGAAAGTTAAAGTTCTATATTGACCACAAATTTGACATTCTTTTTCCTAAAAAATTTTTTAAATAAATTAAATTTAAAATTTTAAAAATTTACCTCTAAAATACAATCCGGGCATGTAACCTTTGCACAAATGAAATTTGCTTCGTGTTTCTTCCCTAGTTCAGTAGGTAGATATTGAGTGGTTTCGAGATCAAAGGCTATAAATCTGTACTTCTTTACTTCTTTAGGTTCTAGAGTCTTGATGAAGCATCCACGTTTAGGATTATGATAATCATTGCAAGTTGAGCAATGACGTTCGCCGCACACGTGACCCTGACGCCCTCTCTTGTTGTAGTTCTTCACATTCCAAATAACCCCACATTCTTGACATTCTTTCGAAATATTGCAGAAGCCACAATTGAGGTGATACTGATAACAGTTGTTATTGAAGAATGTCTTGGAACAATGATGGCATAATTTGTAGAATCCCTCAATGATTTTGCAGGGGAAGCCGGGACCAACTCTAGAGCACCTTTTACACCTAGCTTTACAAGATGTTTTATGTGTCACGTCTCTGTCGTACACCTTTTCACAGTGTAAACAATATGGCTGTCCAAATAAACCTCCTGTCCTTTTTACTCCATCAAAGTGTTGATTATTGTAGTAGAGTATGATTGCTGTATCAAAATTATCAGGACCACATTTAAATTCGGGTTCATAGTAACCCAGCGATCCGAAGATGAAGACTTTGAATATATGCTTTCCAGAATACTTGTTGTTCCAGTAGTTAACAACAATGGGAACCCATTGTTCAGCATTATATTCCTTTAAGTTTGTAGGTGCTCCAATAATATTCATCAATTCTAAAGCATCTTCTCTAAGTTTATTTGCCATTCCATGTTGACTTTTGATGTAACGTGAGAACTTTTCCCAGTGCCAATTAAATACTGTGTGAACAAGTGTAGCTACTAAGGAATAGAATAGACAGAAGGTATTATTGTTGTTTTCGATCTAAAGTTAAAAATTATTATAAAAATCTATGATTCATTGCCTATCTAATTAATAATTTTAATTCCCACTTTACTTTAATCAATCTAAAGATGTTTATTTTAATTATTTTTCCTGATTAATCCCACACTTACATATAATTTTTCTTTTATTAAAACATTGATAAACTGGCCTTAATCAAAGCTCTTTCATTTATTCGATGACGAACTGGTGCAATTTTTCGATTTCCGGCACCTGGTAGTTTATGTTGTTTAGGCAGGGAGCTTTTGTCCACGATCGTAGCAGTTACAGTGAAGGGTTGTCCCCAAAGTGAGACTTCTTTCTGACGAAAACTTTGGGCAACCAGGAGAAAACGGTTGAGTATTGCTTCAACCGTATTCTCATTTCTATCCCTGAAATAATCGTAATTTTATTAAAGGTTATAACAAATTTAAGGTGACCTGATAGGGATCCAAACATCGTGATCCAGTACAGGGCTACTCACGACGCATCCAATCTGTTCTGCCTTCATTCCTCTATTTACACTAGCTTCCACAGCTTCATTTAAAAAGTATTGGAAAATCCCTATAAATTTTATTTATTAAATCAAAAAGTTTTAACTTACTGCTCAGAAGCTCCTCAGGGTCGGGGGGCAAGTCCTTGATAAGGAACTTGCTACGGCTTTTCAAAAATTTAAATTTTTTATTTTCCTCAATCGATCCTTCGAGTTGATCGACATAATCCTTTGGTTCTTTTGAGGAACCGGAGCCGCTTTGTAGTCCAAGTAGATTAGTGATGGAAAAAATAGATTGTAGCCCTAAAAGACTTTCAATAGAAAAACGCGATCGTTTTTTCGGTGGTTGTTGATCCATTTTAGAAAAATTATAATAAATCTAAAAAATTTATTTAATATAAAAATTATCGATTGTATTAAATTTTAAAAATTACACAAATGACGAGATTATTACATTTTTACGATATTTATAATTAATTATTCTGTCTTTAAACCTCGTCTAAAATTTTGGCGGGCTTTTTGTAAAATTAAAGCTGTCAAGTCTGTAATAATCTTATTACTGTAACATCTGTCGACAGATGTGAAAAGATCAAAAGGTGCCGCCATATCCTAGACAATTAATATTTGTAAATTTTTATGTTTATTTAAATTCCGGGGATCTATTTTTAATAAATGTACCATCTCGTACCATTCACATTTTTTAATTTGAAGGGAAAATATAAAAGCTTGCAGCTTACTATATTACAGTATTATTTTTCTTCTAATTTTTTCGATACTAGTAACAAGAATGGCTGAGGAATCAAAGCATTATTTAATTGAGGTATTTTTTTAAAAGTTTAATATATTATACCAATTATATAAGGGACATGCTAACTACAAAACGTGTACAAGACATAGTTACCTGTCTGCTCTCAATTTATCGTTAAGAAACCATGAAATATTGGACAAGGGTGCTCGAGCTAGTTTTATCTGGCACTATTTTAATGGCTATCACTGGTGCGAGGAGTGTTCGAAATTTAATTTGATGAAGAAACAGAAGAAAACCCTTATACCAATAACTGAAAATGTATTTTTTTACTCGTTTTGGTTATGTACGGATTGTGCATTATTTGCTACTGCACCTTAATCACGTTTATTTTCAATATTAAAAGATAA